ATACAGGCTGGCAGAAGCTGCTCAGAGTCCTGAGGCAAGGGGCAGGACCACAGCTGCCCCACCCCCACCGAGCAGGTGGGACCCGGCTCTGCGTGTAGCTGCCAGCAGCCAGCTGGCCTTTCCCTGATCCCTGGCCAGTTCCCAGGAAGCCTGGAACGTGGGCAGGGGGTGCCCACCCAGGAAACTGAATGAAGAGGGGCCAGCAGAAGCGGAGCCCGTCAGTGCCCGGAACAGGGATCTGCCTACCGAGGCCACTGCTGTGGCTGGTGCTCATCCTCTATCTCCACCCTCAGCACAGGCCTTGAGTGGGACCATTATCAGCTCCACTGCACAGATGAGGAAGCAGCCCCAGAGTGCCCACCTACTGAAGGACACTGTCCGGATTTGAACCCTGAGCCCACAGCCCTCCCCACTGGGCTGAATGCACACAGCCTGCAGCAGGTATGGGGCAGAGAGGTAGGCGCCTGCCTGGGTCCCTTCCTGGTGCCCAGTACCATGCCAGGGCCAGAGCGTGCAGGGGCAGCCAGGAGGCTGTGGGAACTGGAGGGCGCTGGCCCAGCCAGATGTGTGTGGCTTCCAGCTTGGTTGCTCAGGGAGCAGAGGCCGCTTCCCTGGCCTCAAAGGCAGCCTGTGGGGGGGCCCTGCCGCCTGCTGGGACGACTGCTCCCCAGATGGCCTCTGAGGCCCGAGCTCAGCACACAAAGCCCAGGCAGCCCGTGGCGAATGAGTTTGTTGCTGCGCACGCGCCTTTTGTGCCAGATGAATGTTTGAGGAGGGGGGTAGGGTGTGGGAACCCACCCGGAGCGGGCTCCAGACCAAATGCCCCTCCAGGCAGGGGAAGCAGGCGGGTGCCGGGGGCAGAACACAGCCTTGGTGCCAGTCCCAGCCCCTGCTGCAAGCAACCATGGCCAGGCTCCCCCTCCCCCACCTCTCGCAGGGGACCCAGGCAAGAGAGGGCTGAGGGTGGCCGTGGCTTTGCTCTGAGGGTGGCTCTAGGGTAGGCAGGGCTGCCTGATGGGGCCAGAGCCCAGTGGGCTGGAGGCTGCTGAGCAGGAGGCTGTGACACAGCCCTGGGGGCTTCAGGGGCTGGGTCAAGGGGAAGCAGGACCTTCTGGAACCTGCCCTGGACACCCTCAAGTCCAGAGGGTGATCGCCCTCCAGAAGCCAGAGCTTCCTGTGGTTGAAACCAGGATGCGTGTCAGTCCTGGGGGTGGGGACAAGAGGCTGAAGATCTCTGCCAGACCTAGGACGCAACAAGAGGAGGCAGTGCAGAATCCCAGAGCCTCTCCTGTTCCTCCTCCCCCACCACAAGACCCGAAGAGCTCTTGGCCCTCAGTGGCCACTTAATGAAAAAGGGTGGTTCCTGCTGTGCTGGGCTGGCAGCCTGACCTCTCCTCTGCCCGAGCTGGCCAGGCCTACCACTCCCTTCCCTCCATCTGTGATTGGGGTGCCATGTCCACTGTGCTGCAGCAGGTCCCAGGAGACCCCCATCCGTGGCTGTGGGGTGCCCCAGGCCTGGGTCCTCCCTGCTGGCCCCTGCTGATGGCCCCCACGCTGGGCTGGAAGCCCCTGCCTGAGACAGCTGGCCCCATCTGGCCCATCGTAATGGGAATGGCAGCAGGGGTAGGAGCCCCACTCGGTACCACCCCCCAAATGGAGTGCTGAGAAAGGCTGGCATCCCTTGTAAGAGTTGGCATAGGAGTCCCAGGGTGAGGCACCATCAAGGGAGGGGCCAAAATCCAAGGCTCAGGGAGAAGTGATCATTGGGGCCTGGGGCCTGAGCCTCACATCTGTGATTTCCCTGGTCCCCCTACATGTGGTTGACAGAGGCTTATAGACAGAGGGTTCCCCACCCTGGCCAGATCGTGCTGGAAGAGCTAGGGCACTAGATGGGGGGGGGCTGGCAAGGGGGCAGTGCAACAAGGCCAGGGCCACAGGAAAGGCCAGACACCTGCAGGTCAGTGGGACAAGAGAATGGACTTCCAGACCCAGAGTCCCAGAGCTACCAGCCCCCATTCAGGGCTTCCTGGGTAACTGACAACCAGCAGGGTCCCCACACACCCCCAACCCCAGTGTGGCTCAGACCCCAGCCCTTCACAGGGCCTCGTCTGCTTCAGGAGCAAACAACCTGCCATCCCCCAAAGGCCTCAGCACTGTTCCCGGGCTGCTCCCTCTGCACTCTGCCCCCACCAGAAGGTGTGTTGACCCCACCCTGGTTCTGTTTGGGGAGCCCCAAAAACCAGCCAGGCTATCCCCTCAATAATCAGTTGGGGGAAAAAGGAAAAAAAGTCAGCCCAGGTCTCCAGCCAAGCATGGGGGCCGCCAGTCTAGCCAGGAGGGGGAGCTGGGACGCTTTTCAGTACAAAGTGGGTCTTCCCCAGCGGTGGAAGAGCAGAACCTTGCACTCTGCGGCAGGGACCCGAGGAAGTGCTTGTGGCCAGCATGAGGGCCACATGACCAAAGCAGGAGCTGACCTGGTGGGTGAGGCTGCCCCGCCTCCCCACCCCAGCCCAGGATTCTCTCCAGCCTTGGCCCCTACCTGGCAGCCGGGTGCTGGGCTTCCGTGGGCCTCAGTTTATCTCCCTGTCCAGCCTTAGAACAGTGTGGCCACTTGCTCAGTCCCCTCCTGAGGCTCCCACGCCAGCCCCAGAACCAAGAGGAGTGGGGCACCCCTGGCCGTGGCTGGCTCTGCGTGGCTCTGCCTAGACACTGGCCATGGGAGGCTCTTCACTACGGGTGGGGCCAGTGCTCATGAAGAGGGCCAAGCAGTAACTACTGCAGGCCACATGGCCAGGCGTCTGTCCTCCCACACCATGGGTGTCATGCCCGGAGGTGGATAGCAGCAGGTGTGGAGCTGGCTGTGTCTCTACGATGTTATTTATGGGCACTGAAACTCCAATTTCATCTTTTTCACATGTGAAATATCTTTCTCCAAGTATTTGTTTCAGCCGGTGCTGAGACTGGCTGGCACAGGGGCACATGCCTACAATCTCAGCTACTCAGGAGGCCAAGGCAGGAGGACTGCTTGAGCCCTGGAATTCAAGACCAGTGTGGGCAACATAGGGAGACCATGTCTCAAAAAAAAAAAGTAAAATGTAGAAAATATTCTTGGGTGGGGGCGGAGAGTGGAACAAAATCACTGAGGCCCAGACGCTCAGCCCTTTTCCAAAAGCTTTACACACAACAATGTCGGATCCTCCCAAAACGTCATGAGGGCACCCATTTAGCAGATGAGGAAACTGAGGCACAGCCGAGGGAAACCCTGGGAGTCCTCCCTGCTCCCATCTCCCCAGCCTCCAAGAACCAGGGACTAGGGGGCAGGGACGAGTGTCCCGAGCATCCCCTCAGCCCCTAACTCCAGAGCTCTCCTGGTGCCCACCCTTCTCCACCCCTCCCCAGCTTTCTGGTGCTCAGTTCGGCGCCCCTCCCTCCAGCAGGCTGTGGGTTCACGCTCGCAGGCGGTTCCCACACTGCGCGGGCGGGTGAGGGGCGGTGAGGGAAGCGTGCCTGGGCGCCCCCCTCGGGATTAGTGCCGGGGTCTGACTCTGAATGAATGAGGGCGGCGGCGGGGGGTGCAGGGGGCAACTCCCAAAAGACCATCTGGCTCCGCGTTATAATAGAGCAATAAAGGGCTTGTCTGCCTTTCAGAGGTTGGGAACGAGCTGCTCTCTGACACCACAGGGTTTTTAACCAGCTTGGGACGGCGACCCGGCCCTGCCCCGGGGCATGCAGGGGGTGGGGGGAGATGGGCGGGGTGGGTCGAGGCCACGTGGGTCCCGATCAGCCCCTAATCCCAGCGCCCGCCCGTGAGACCTCGGACCGAAGGCTTTCCCACCACCCACCCCTGCGCTCCAGGGGAGCCAACCTCACAGGTGTCCCCATGGCCTCCACAGCAGCCTGGCTTTACAGGAGGGAAACTGAGGCCCAGAAGGCTGGGCAGGGGGAGCCTGAGGTTTTGCCCCTGTCCTCTGGGATGTGGACTCCAGTCTCTTGAAGAAGGTGGGGCCTGGACTGGTGCACAAAGCTGGGGTCTCAAGCCTGGCCTGGGACTTGGAGGGCTGCAGTCTGTTTGGGGGAGGTGCCCCCATGAGCCACAGGAGCCCCCTTGGCCTCAGGAACACTCACCCCATCCCCACAGACTCCAGGTGCCCTGGGAGCAGCTGGTGTGCCCTGCGCAGGGGTGTGAGCTGCTGTCTCGGTGGCCTCTCAGGTGTCAGCCCCACCCAGCAGCCCTGGAGAACACAGGGCCACCCTGGGGCACCAAAGGACTTCAGTTTGTTGGGCCTGGGACACCCTGACTCTCCAGCAAGGGCCTTTCCCTGAGGTTTTGAGTCAGGGCTGTGGCGGGGAGCCCGGCCACAGGTCCTCGGTGGAGGGATGGAGTCTCACCTTAATCAGATGAGAGAGGGCCCTGGGGCCAGAGCACCCAGCAGGCTCTCACCACAGCCTGGAGAGGAAGCCTCCTCACCCCCACTCTTTCCTAAATAGGTGAAACACTGGAATTCAAAGCTGACTGGCCGGCGGGGAGAATGGTCCACATCCCTGAACCACAGAATCTGAGTCTGTGGGTTTGAGACCTGCAGCCTCCGCAAAACACCAGACCCCAGCCAGGATGAGCCTTGGAAATGGCATCTCCACAGCCTGGCCCGGCCACCCACAGGGCTCTCACTCGAGCTGAGGCCTGCCTTCCCTGTTCAGATCCTCCAAGTCTTGGGCCAGGTTGGTGTGAGATCAGGAGGTGGGTGAAGGGTCCTGCCCACTGACTCGGTGCCCCTGGCCAGATGCAGGGTGCTGGGACACCTGTTTGGGCCATAGGCCATATTTCAGGTGAGGATCGGACAGCAAGTGGCCAGCCACGCAGAGGCTCTTTGTGGGCTGGGCAACTGGGTGTGGAGGGGTCAGATGCTACTGCAGTGCCCAGCTCTTTCTCAGCCATCCTCAGGGTTTGTCTCACTTCCGGCAACCTGGAGCCAGGCCCCTCGAGACCAAGGTGGTAAGCCTTGAAAGCTGAAAGCTCATTTTTATTTTTTTAATTTTGTATTTTTTGAGACGCAGTTTTGCTCTTGTTGCCCAGGCTGGAGTGCAGTGGCACTATCTCAGCTCACCACAACCTCTGCCTCCTGGGTTCAAGTGATTCTCATGCCTCAGCCTCCTGTGTAGCTGGGATTACAGGTGTGTGCCACTACGCCTGGCTATTTTTTGTATTTTTAATAGAGATGGGGTTTCTCCATGTTGGTCAAGTTAGTCTTAAACTCCCAACCTCAGGTGATCTGCCTGCCTCGGCCTCCCAAAGTGCTGGGACTGCAGGCATGAGCCACAGTGCCCAGCCTGGAAAGTTCATTTCATAGACCCATCAACTGAGGCTCAGAGAGGAGTGGGGTGTGTCCACCAGTCTCTAGGTGAGAAAGACAAGGGCAGACCCCAGCCCTGACCTGGACCTGCCATTTTCACCAAGCCACTCAGTGCCTGCCCTGGGGCCTCTCAGAAGGAAATACGTTCCTGGGGGACCCCTGTAGGTTCAAGCTGCACCCAGACTCTGCACCCCAGAGCTGTGCCCCAGCACACCCCTGAAATGTCACGGGAGACTGCAGAAGGGTGGTCTGTGTCTCCACAGGCACAGAAAGAGGAGGGCTGAGAAACTGAGGGACCCTGCGCAGGGCCTGCCAGCTGGCGGAGCTAGGCCACACAGCCACTGTTCTGGCCACTGTCTGTGGCTGTCATCAGTGCTACTGGAGATGGCAGGCAGGTCTGGAAGGCACCCAGTTCACAGAGGGGTATGTGGAAGCCCCACAGAGATGGTTTAAGCAGATGCCTGTGTTCCTGGCCTCAACAACCTGGAGCCTGGGGAGCTGCTGCAAAGTACGAGCTGAGAGGCTGACCCCTGCGTGGGACCAGGAGCACACCTGGGCAGCCCAGTCCCCTCACCTTGTAAAGGCTCAGTTTCCTCATCTGTACAATGGGCTTGATAATCATAATTTGTAGGGGGGAGATCCCATAAGTGGGGCAGGAGCAAAAGGCCTCAGCCTATTTCCATATAAATAATGAAGAAGAAAGTAATTAGAAATATAACCGTAGTAGGTATTAGTTATTTATATGTGCTCCTGGTTATTCATAGGTGATCTTAATTCCTTTACTAATGTCTCTCGGGTCGGAAGTGTGAACCTGGGTGACACTGTGAAATGAATGACTCTAAGGCAAGATGCTCTAAGCCCTCTGTCACGCCCGCGCAAGGGCTGCCAGAGGGCGCCTCGGCTGTGCAGCAGCGGCAGCACTGGGAAAGCGCCCACTGTTTAGCCAGCTAGGGAAGGAGACGTCCAAGATGGCCGAGACTTCTCCTTCTTTGGGGGAGTTTGAAGAAAACTCCGCTTCTCCAAGCTCTTGCGGTGGGCCTGGCGGCTGTCAGGAAGGCCCACAGACATTGAGGCTTAACTGTCTCTAGGTGACGCTGTGCTTCAGAGGTCACATTCCATGTCCACTCTCATGTTCTGCTTCTGCACCCGGCTCCTTTTTTCTTAGAAAAGATAACCAGTAACAGTAACATAAATCTTCATGTTTGAGTTCTTTCTTGATAAGTATGGAAAAGGAGCTGACAGCATTATGCTCCTTACCTCACTTCAGGTGCCAGAAATTCCTGAACCCCTACCTGAGTGACACGTGATGTACTTGACCCTATCACTGCCACACCCTACCTACCCTGCCCCCAGATTTGCAACTCAAAAAAAGTGAGAGCATCCTGACTGGTCTCTGCGATCTGGGTGGCAGTGGACCCCTGGGCCCAAACTCTCTTTTCTCCATCTCTGTCTTGTGTCTTTTATTTCTACAATTTCTCATCTCTGCACCAGCCAGGAGCGGCTCACAGAACCTATAGGGCTGGACCCTACGGTAATCCAAAGTCACAGAGTTGCTCTGCAGATATGAAGCCCTTCTGCAGCTCTGCACACAGGGGGTGCTCAGCAAATGGGAGTGCTTCACGCCCGGGGAGGCTCCACATGCTGGGGGGCTCAGCACACAGCAGCAGCTCAGCACACAGGACACACATGCACGAAGACACAGGCACATGCACACACACACGCTGGAACCCACAGACATATGGGCACACACACACACACACATGCACAGGTGCGCTCACACAGGTGTATGCACAGGTGCACTCACACAGGTGTTTACACAGGAGCCTCCTTCGTGGGTCCTGCTCTCCTGGCCTCTCTCACGAGCTAGTCCCTGCTGTGTCCTTTGCCTGGAAGTTGCTTCCCGGAACTCCTCACCCAGAACTCGCTAACACCCTCCTCAGTCACTGTCCTCTGTGGAAGTCCCTCTTGGTCATGCACTTCCCCTTCAGGGGTTCTTTCTTGCCCTCCCGAAACTGCAATGACTTCCTCTGGGGGCCCCTGCAGGAGCCTAAGTGTGTGGATGCGTGTGTGTGTGGGGGGGGGAGGTGTGTGGTGGAGTCCTTTCAAAACCCGCACAAGCAATAAATGCTCATTCAAGAAAACACAGACATGAAAAATCAACCAAATCTATGCCCCAAACTGTGCTGCTCTGCTGGGGGCGTGTTGCTGCCAATTCTGCCACCAGTGTCAGGCAGGCCCCAGCCCTGCTGCTGTGCCTGCTTCACCGAAGCTCCATGCTGGACCAGTCCCCTACAAGTAAGCGTGTCCCCAGCCCCCGTAGAGGAGCCAAGTCTCAGTCCCATTCAGCATGTGTGCCCAGGCATCTGCTGACCAAAGGAAGTAAGGCTGCCCACCGAGGGTGCTGGCTGTGGGGAGGAGCTGGGACCAGCCCCAGTTCTGGACCCAGGTCTTTGGTTCAGTTCTGCATTAAGGAGGGGAGGGGTGCAAGGAACTAAGGCCACCTAAGAGAGGGGCCAGGGCGTGCAGAGGGCTGAAGATTCCCTCTTGACCTCACGGTGGTGCTGCCACTCCCACAGAGCACCCCCAAAGATGAAAGAGAGCCCAGAGGAGCCGAGCAGCCGGCGGCTCCCACACTCAGAACTCCTGGTGGCCTTCCCCGGCAACAAAGGGCAGCCTCCCTGGCCGCCTTCATGTTGCAGCCTCCCTTTGTCCGCGTGTCCATGCAGGCCACCAGCCATCTGGAGCTCCAGCACCCAGCACTGATTGGATCGATGTCTGGCTCTCCCAGCGCCAGAGGGTGGAGGGCTGCAGGCACCCGGGGGAGGCCACCCCATCCCTCATCAACGCCCCCCCAGCCCCCCTCCCCCACCTCCACACAACCTTCCCCTCCCTTCACTTCCCACCCCCCCCAGCTTCTCAGGAAGAAGAGTGTACACAGCACCACAGGTGCCCATCTCAGGGCAGACCCTCACCTCTGCCCTGAGAGGTGTGGGCACCTCTCAGGGTAAAGAGAAAATGAACAGTGCCCACCTCCCGGCTCCATAGTCAAGTCTAAACTGGCAAGTACACATGATATACATGGCAAATACTGAGTGTTGACTCCTCTGTTAGCTGACCCAGAGTACATGATCCTACCTGAACACCACACTTAACCTCTGTGAGCCTCCACCCCCAGCCCCTTTGCAGGATGGGTGCAGGAAGGCAGGTTTCCATGTTCCACATCTGCCTGGTACTTCCCAGGTGCCCAGAGCCTGGGGACTCTTCCTCCCTCCCCCACTACAGCTCCCACCTGGAGCCCCAAAGAGAGAACTCAACCCCCTGCCCGCCCCCAGGAGAGATCTCAATCCCCTCCCCATCCCCGGGAGAGGTCTCAACCCCTCACTACCCCCCAGGAGAATCTCAACCCCCTCCCCACCCCCAGGGGAGATATCAACCCCTCCCCAACCCCAGGAGAGATCTCAACCCCCTCCCCACCCCCAGGGGAGCTCTCAACCCCTCCCCACCCCCAGCCCAACTGAGCAGCCACAAGGTGCTCGCTCCTCTCCAGGCAGACACTCACCCTCCCACGAACAGGTGTCCTCCCTGGCTGCGGGTCAGACTCGGGGTCACACCTGGCCAGCTGCATCTGTTCACACCTGGGGAAACAAGTCGGTGGCACCTTGCAGCAGGTGGACTGGCTGCTGACAGTGGGTGGGGGGGATGGCCTAGCCCTAGGGCAGAGCCCCACCTGCGGATATGCCCAGGGCAATGTAGGTCACCATTTGTTCGGGCAGAGTCCTGGACGTAGGGGAGGCTGCTGTCTCTGAAATCCGGAATGGGACCACCTCCCTGAACTCACTTTCTAGGCAGCAGGGCATTCTGCAAGCTTCAAGCAGTTTCCACCCAGAGCCCCCAGCAAGGGCTTCTGGGGAGGGAAGGGGAAAAGCTGGGAGCTGTGGTTACCCCTGACCCTCCTTCCCCAGAAGATCGGCCCGGCTCTGGGTCTCACCAGCCTGCCTGCTCCCCACACCCCAAGCTGGAAACCGTGGGGACAGGAACGACAGGTGGGGGATGCACGGTGCCACACCTCAATTTCTCCACTGTAGGCAGGGTGTGGCCATGAGGAGGCGGGGCCTAGGGGGCACTGGTGGCTACACTGCCTGGGTGGGGAGGGGGCAGCAGGAGGGAGTTCGTGGTTCTGCTCCCGAAAAGGTCCTTTTTTTTTTTCTCCAACTGGGGCAGAATACAGGTAAAATAAAACAATGATCTCTGCCACTTCCCAGCGTACAGCTTTGTGGCATGAATATCATTCGAGATGTTGTGCCACCGTCACTGCTGTCCACCTCCAGAAAATGTCCCTCTCCCAATACAAGACTCTGTCCCTGGGAAACACTCACTGCCTGTTCCACCCACCCCCCCATCCCACTTTCTGTCTCTGTGAATCTGACGCCTCTAAGGCCTCCTATGCTGGAGTCACACAGGATTGGCCCTTTTGTGACGGCTTTTGTCATTGAGCACAGAGTCCTCACGGTACAGGCCTGCTGTGGCCAGAGTCAGAACTGCCTTGTCTTCTCTTCTGAGGCTGAGCTGTCCACAACGTGGATGGGCCACATGTGCTTGTTCACAGACACTGGGGTGGTGTCTGCCTCTTGAAGGGGTGGCGTCCGCCTCTTGGATTCGGGGCCACACCACTCTGAAGAAGGGACCTGAGTGTCTCCCCGAGGCCCTGCTTTCCGGCCTCTTGTGCATGGACCCAGAAGTGGAGCTGCTGTGTCCTATGGTCATTCTGTGCTTAGTTTTTTGAAGGACTGCCAGGCTGTTTCCCAGCATCTGCACCAGTTGACTTCCCAGCACCACCGCCTCCTTTGGGGCTGGGAGCAGAAGCCCCCGGAGCTTCCCACCGCCACCCTCAGCCCCAGCGGGCCCCTCCCCTCTGAGGAGCTCTTCACTTTGCTGGAGGGGAGTGGTGCTGGACGTGCGAATGGTTTGGAAATGGGTCATGGTTCTAGACGCTGCATTCTAGCCCCCAGCAAAGTGCCTGCCTCAACAGCTGCTGAGCCAGGGAGGGGAACCGGGAGTCAGCGCTCTGTGGGGACAGAGGTTCAGCCTGGGGAGGACATCTTCTGGAGACGGGCAGTGGTGGTGGCTACAAAGTGCCCTGCCTCGACAGCTGTGTGTGCAGACAGGAGGAGCATTACCAACCCTGGATGTGCCATCCCCACCGCAACCATCAAGCCCCTCAGGCTTACTGAGCTCTCCACAGTGGGGGGACTCAGAGAAGTCCACATAAGACAAACCCCCTCCCTCCTCAAAGCCTCACTAGGGAAGAATTCCCCCAGCCCACACTGAGCTGCTGGGGCAGCCAAGATGGAGGAGCCCAGCCCCCCACCCGTCTGCAGCGCTTTGGCGCTTCTGCATGGTGCAGCCCGCCAGCCTGGAGCAGCCTCCACCCTCCCTCCTCCAGCCCCCTCCGCAGCCCACCGTGGACGGTGTGAGCCGGGAGCCCAGCAAGTTTCCCACACTTTGGCCCCATTCACAGTGTTAAACGGCCCACAAAGGCCAGGCGTGTGCCTCGGAGGCCGCCAGAGCTGCCATCTGGCCCGAACTCAGGGAGGGAACCAGCCTTTCATCCGGCCGGGATTCAACACCATTCATTTCATATTTCCCACAACTGAAAATTGGATCAAAGCTGCTCCAGTCCAGCGGGAGGGAGAAGGAGGCAGGAGGCGGCAGCCCCCACACGGCCCACCCACCACCCTCACCTCCAGCAGGCCACCGTCCTGGCCCACTGCGGTGGGCGGGCCGGGGGGATGGGGGTGGGGGGCTGGACCACATCTCCTGGCGGCACGTGTCTCCTGTGGGCCAAGGAGCTGGCTTAGGGGAAGGGACCAGGCCAGGACACAAGCCCCAGCCACCTGCCCCTCCAAAGCTTCCAGGAGCAGGGCCTGGCCAGGGTGCCACGCCTACATCTGGGTATAGGCCCGGGTCCCGCTGCCAGCAGCCAGGCAGTCAGGGCACATGTGGCTCAGGTTCCATTTCCTGCTGGCAGAGGGGGTGGCCAGGGCCTGTGTGGCTGGGGCCGCCTGTCTGTGCTCTTGCATCTTCTAGCTCCTAGCTGAGCACCTCCTCAGTGTGGGTGCTGGGCCAGCAGTGTGTAGGTCATGAGCACACACATGACTACATTCTCCTGCCCTCCCAGTCCAACCCCAGGGAGCCCATTGCCAGGCAAGGGAGATGCCACAATGTGACTGCTGCCAGCATGAACCCCACTTCAGCTGCGAAATGGTTCCACTGAACACCACCAGCTCCTCTGTGTAGCTGGGGGGGTCTGTGGCCCATGGACAGTGCCAGCTGCTATTAGTGCCCAGGGGTGTGGTAGCCACAGCGTGAGCATGTGGCCTGGACACTCCCCCCCCCCCCCCCGCCCCACAGCTTTGCGCTCTTGCATCCATCAAGGGCCAGAGTGTCATGGTGGGATCCACCTGCTCAGAGAGGAGCCCCCAGCTAGTCCCAGCCCCCAGTGTTGCCGCCTCCCTCTGCCAGCCTGGGGCATGAATCCCCTTCAAGGGAGGTGTTGTGGGAATCCAGCAGGGGCATGTAACAGAGGGTGTATAGGGGCTCCCCTCCTGCCACCTCCAAAGTCACCTGATGTTTCCTCCTGGGAGCCTCCCGGTGTCCTGCTGGCCTGCGGGAGGGCCACCCTGCGCTGGCTTGAGGGTCTGCCTTCCCCTGCTGACCCAGCACTGTCCTGGCTGCCTCCTGGACTGTCCATCCTTGTGCCGAGGGCCTCCTGGAGCTAGGCCCACCAAGCGGGTCACTGGAGCAGGCCAGGGAACCCTACTTCTGGATACAGACTCTGCCTAACCAGCTCTGATGCCGGCCCCAGCTCCAAGGACTGAGGCCCTTTCGCTAGGAGTTGGCAGGGTCCCAACCTGTCCCTAGGAGCCAGCCCAGTCCCTGAATCTTCTGGTCTCGGCTGCAGAGCATCAGAGGAACTGTGACCACTGGCTGGGGGTTGGGTGGCTCCCAAGGGACCCTCTCCTAAGGTCCCAGGGTGGGATTCATTGCCCCAAATCAGCTGCTGGCACTCAGCTCAGTTGGCCAGGTACCAGGGTTATTAGCTCATCCCATGGGGGGGGTGCAGGGGATGTAGGGCTGGCACGGCCTCTGATCCTCAAGTCTGCCACCTGGCATCCACTCCCTAGCCACTGGCAAAATGCCGGCGGAAAGCAAGCCCTACAAGTGTCCCGGCTGCGAACGAGGCACAGTGTAGCATGCACAAACGGTGGCCTCACCAGGTATGCCCAGAGCTGAGGACTCCCTAGCTGCCGGGACACTATGGTCAGATCCCTGGTCAGATTGGGGTGGGGAGAAGCCCCTGAGGGACACCTGCCAGCTCTTGGAGCAACCCTAGTGCTCCCAGGAGGACAGGGTGCAGGAAACGGAAAGAGTTGCCTGTGCTGGGCTCCACGTGGAGCACGGGCTCCAGCTTCCTGGAGCTTCTGGGAGCCCAGCCAGGAAGGCGAAAAGCCCATTTTCTAGCTCTGGAGAAGTCATGAGTCCCAGGTGACAGTCAGGGGACTTGTAACAGAGGCCAGTAGGACTGATCCTAAGAGCGTGGCCCCTTCTGTCCCCCTCCCCTGGAGGGAACAGCAGGTCCCCTTCAGGGGACGTGCCCATCCCCCAGGAAGCCACGCACTTGTTCATTCCACAGCTTTTCCCTTAATCTGTGCCTGTGGCCTCTGCCAGCCAGCAGTGGGGAGCCGCTGCGGAGAGGGAGGAGAGTGGAGCTGAGGGAAGGGCAGGGGAGGGGGTGCTCCTTCCTGCCCCCTCCCCGATTGGCGGCCTGGGAAAAGGCAGCATATTGAGGCGCGGGGCTCCCGGCCTCAGGCCCCGGGATGCTAATGAGGGCGAGCGCGTTCCCACAGCCCGGACATTGTGCCGCGCGGCCCACCTGCTCCTTGGGGAGCGCCCATTGTGCCCGCGCCAATTCACAGGCAATTTAGCGTGCGCTAATGGGCCGGCGCCTTTGTGCGGCCCGCGCGGCCATTGGCCGCGGAGTGTGGGAACAGCCGCGGCGCTCGGACCCCAGGCGCCAGGCCGCCACCCGCGCCTATATAAGGGGAGCCGGCGCGCCGGGCCAGTGTCCGCGCCAGCCCCGGACGCGCTTGGCCCTGCCCGCTCCCGCTCGCCCTGCCCGGCCTTCCCGCCTCGCCTCCTCGACTCCTCCACGCCTGGCACCCGGCATGGCCCCCAGCACCGTGGCCGTGGAGCTGCTCAGCCCCAAAGAGAAAAACCGAGTAAGTGCCAGCCTCGCCCGGCGCGCGGTTCCCGGGGGGTTTCCAGCGCCAGGCGGGACCCGGCCCGCCTGACGCCCCCTCCTCCCGCAGTTGCGGAAGCCCGTGGTGGAGAAGATGCGCCGCGATCGCATCAATAGCAGCATCGAGCAGCTGAAGCTGCTGCTGGAGCAGGAGTTCGCGCGGCACCAGCCCAACTCCAAGCTGGAGAAGGCCGACATCCTGGAGATGGCCGTCAGCTACCTGAAGCACAGCAAAGGTGAGCGCGCCCGGCTCCCCCGCGCCCCGCCGTACCCCGGCGCCCCGAGTTCCCTCCATGCCCCGCCGCCCGCTCACCGCCGCCGCGTGTCCCCGCAGCCTTCGTCGCCGCCGCCGGCCCCAAGAGCCTGCACCAGGACTACAGCGAAGGCTACTCGTGGTGCCTGCAGGAGGCCGTGCAGTTCCTGACGCTGCACGCCGCCAGCGACACGCAGATGAAGCTGCTGTACCACTTCCAGCGGCCCCCGGCCGCGCCAGCCGCGCCCGCCAAGGAGCCCAAGGCGCCGGGTGTCGCGCCCCCGCCCTCCGCCAAGGCCACCGCTGCCGCCGCGCGTCAGCCCGCCTGCGGCCTCTGGCGGCCTTGGTGACCCGGCGGGACCTGCGGGCGCGCGGCCGGAAGACCAGAGGGCAAGTCCGCTCCTCTGGCCCATAGGGAAGCGCCTTCCCGCCGCCGTCCGCCCCGGGCTCGGACGCTCCCTTCTCCGGAAGGCTCCGGCCCCAGGCTGGCCGGCCCGCAGCAGTCCTATTCTCAGAGAATGTGTGTGCAGAGTCCCTGCCGTTTAGGACAATCAGGGCCCAGCTTCTGCCAAGTGTCTGACCCCATGGGGTTGTTCTGTGTTTGCATTTAAGCAAGTGACTTCTGCGAAGTCCCCGGCCGCCGGGGGTTCTATGATATTTGTAGCGCTGGGACTGGCACGCTGGTGCCCCCAGCCGTAGAGGACTTTCTTCAGGGCCCGTTGCTGCTGGGCGCACCCCTGGCAGGCGGGCTGTGCCGAGGGCACATTTGCCTTTTGTGAAGGCCGAACTCAAGCTGTATCCTCATAGGAAACGGTGATCAGCCTGGACTGGCGTGGAGGACCCTGTGGGCCGTGGCCAAAAGGCTCTGAATGTGCCTGGCGGTCTGGCTGGGGCTCACAGTGGACCGTCTAGGGAGGGTGGGTGCCTCCACTATGATCCTTAAAGGATTCCTCTGTGTGGGTGGGTGCACGTGGGCACGACTTTGTACTCAGAAATTGAACTCTCGGTCACGTGGAAGCTACGGGACTGCTCTGAAGCCGATAATAAAATCTGACTGTTCAGCCCCCTCGGTCTGTCTGCTGCTGTGCCTCTCGCCTGTCCTTGGCAGCCACGGGCCGGGTCTGCAGGGGTGAACAGGAATGGGTAGGGCCATGGTAGCAGCTAAGGTGGGAGGGACCCCTGCCAGCGGCCCCCTGGATCCATGAAGAAGGGTGGGGTCCTGGCTGGGGAAGAAGGGAGGGATAGACCGAGGGAAAGAAGGCGAGGAGCAGGACAGCAGGGGCAGGGGGAGGTGGGCTGGAGGAGTGGACATGGTCCCAGCCCTGGGTACCCCCCAGGCTTTTCACTGGCTCCTGGAAGGTGGGGGTGGAGCAAGATGACAGCCGCAGGACCTTAGGCTCTGTCCACTGAGAGGGGATCCAGGGCCACAGTCTGCAGTAGACCTCACTACACCCAAAGGGGGCCCATCCAGGCCAAACAGGAGGAATCATTTGCCACTAGTCCCTGCCCTACTCCCACAGCCTGTGGCACCAGTCCTGGAATGGATTCCAACAGGCTGGCTGCCGTACCAGGGTGGGGCCGTCCCTTACCTCAGAAAGGGCAGGTACTTTTAGGCCAGCCACAGGGTATTGGCTGAGTCTGCAAGAACTGAGACCCACAACTCCCAGGGAACAGCTCCCAAGGGGCAAAATCCATCAGGCAAGGATTTGGCCAGAGTGGGATGCACACCCACCCCTGCTGAATGGCAGCCCAGGCACAGGCCAGCTCTGCCTGCTCCTTCCTGCTCAGCTCTTCTCACCCCGCTCAGCCTTCAGCCCCTTTCTGGCTACTTGGCAGGCAATTTCTAGACAGGGTCCCCACTCCCCTCTCCTCACCAGCCCAGTGCCTGTCAGTGGCCTCTTGAGGTCCCTATCAAGACCCCAGGTATGGTGGGCAGAGCACAGGGAGGGTCCCCATTCGCCAGCATGTTTCCAGCATGCTCAGTGGGCACACAGGTGTGTGCCCCTGGTGGAGGGCACCTCCTGCCAGGCTGGCCCATGGCACACCATGCTGCCAGGGGTCTGAGCCACCAGAGGTCTGAGCTGCCTGGGGTGTGCTCAGCTCCTCACCCAGGCCTCCCTGGGGCAGGCTCCCCCTCCAGAGCCCCACATCCACCCCTTGGAAGACACAGCAAGGATGCCTCCTCCCCGAAGCCTCACCCCAGCACACTGTTGCGTCATCCCTGGATTTTGCGCTGCCTGCAGTCCTGTGCGCCCAGGAGCCCCGCCAGGCATCTGGTGGCATTCTCCACGTGCAGACAGAGGCTGAGGGCCAGAGACATGCTATCATGAGCCCAGTTACCTGGGAAGGCCTGAGCTGTCTGCTGCCAACACTGGGCTCTTTCCAAGGCGACCAGGGCCTCTGGAGAAGACGTGCCTCTTCACGCCAGCAGGGCTTCCCTTCTCCTTGGAATCCTGGCCTGCCCCACCTATACCCCTGTCCTGGTTCCAGCTGCCTCTGAGCTTGTTCCCATTGGCCTCCCAGGCACCTATCTTGCCCGCAGGCAGCCTGCCTAACTTCTCCCAACCACCGCACTTTCCATGGAGCGCCATGACAGCACACATCTTCTGTACACACAGGTGACGCTGGGCTGAGGTCCTCCCAGGCAGGGCAGGGTTCCCCACTCCTCTTGTATGCATGGAACTTTTAACATTGAAAGTCCCAAGTCCCCCCTCCCCCGCCCCGGAAGCTAGGATTGAGTCACCCTAGCAAAGAACACATCACATTCGCCCTGGCATGCAGGGCCAAGCTGACAGCAGGCAGTCGCTGAAAGTGCAGTGGTCTTTGATGGTCTGCAGACCCACGTGCCCCCTGAGAAGCAGGTGGGCGGCCTCCCTCAACAGGGCTCAGAGCACTTGAGTTAAGCCTGTGGACAGCGCGGTAAAAGAACATCAGTCCAGATGTTCTGGCTGATGCACAACTCTGAAGGATAACCGCCCACCCGCCCGCAGCCCCGGGCCTCTCAGATCCCTGCTCAGTACTGGCCCTAGTGCCTCTAGCAGCGGCCAAGACCGCAGAGGCCGCTGGAGCTGGGCCGATGCCTCATTAGCATAATATATGCAAGGAGGCGTTTAGCAGTCAAATATATGCGCATATATCTCCATGGCTGATGAGCTGGCCGGGCACTTTCAAAATGGCGGAGTGTGGAGCAAGCGGCAGCGGGAGCAGCGGGGACAGCCTGGACAAGAGCATCACGCTGCCTCCCGACGAGATCTTCCGCAACCTGGAGAACGCCAAGCGCTTCGCCATCGACATAGGTAGCCGCAGGCCAGGCGCCGGGCGCGGGCCGCGGAAGCGGGCGGGGCGTCGGCGGCCGGCCAGCGAGCGGGGGTGGCGGGAAGGACGAAGGGCGGGGGCGCGGGCCTGACGCACAGCCTCACGGGCCTTGTAGTCCGTAGGTTCCGCGCACAGCCTCACGGGCCTTGTAGTCCACGGGGCGACGATGCGCGTGTTCGGGGGCGACGGCTGGACTACAGTTCCCGATAGGCGCCGCGCGGACCAGAGCGGGGCATGCCGGGCCTGGTAGTTCGCTCGGCCGTCCTGGGAGGTTGGGGGCCAGGGTCCCGCGTTACCCGCCGCGAGGTGGAAGGGTCGGCGGCCAGCCGGGCCCTGGAGAAGGCGTAGGGTAATGTCGGACGCATCAGCAGCTGGGCGTCCCGGTCTCGCCGCTTGGCCGGTGGCCTGCCTGAGATTAAGGGTCCTTAGTTCTGGTGGAGAGGAGAACGAGCCGGACGGGAAGCCCATGACAGAGTGGCCCCGAAAAGGCCGCGCGTTCCCGAGGCCTGGCCAGTTGTGTCCCACGAGCTGGACAGTCAGTGCGCAGGCCCCACTCTCTGGAGAGTGGACACTAGGCATGAGTTCAGGCGGCCATGGGACTTGGGAACTCGTGCCTCTTGATTAAAAGCCACCCGTGCCTTCCATGGTCTTCAAGGCGGCCTGCACTTCTGCCTGGCCTTTCCAGGGTCCGCTGCAGACCCTTATGCTCGATAATGGCCGTAATGACGGCGCGCCAGGCCCTGTTCTAGACCTTCCCAAGTTCCTGACTCCCGGACACCTCCCAGCCACCCCTAGAGCAGGAATGCGAATTACCGCCATTTCGTAGATAAGGATACAAGGCCTGGAAAGGTGAACTAATTTGCCCAGGGTCATCCGGCTAGAAAGTGGCAGAATCTAGAAATATTTGAGCCAGCCAACCCCTGCTCTCCTACTCTGCCCATGTTTCAGGTATGAGGGCTTCCCGGGGGCAGCTTCACCAGGAGAAACCCGCCTTGAATAGCCACTGCGGCGTCGCATACCTCTCCCTCTTGGCACTGGTTTCAGCTGTAGGCTCAGTCTGCTTGTGTGTGAATCCCCGGAGGGCCCGGCTGTGTGTTGTCTTGTAGCCCCAGCCCCCGAAAAGACACTGGACCTGTCTTAGCTGCCCAGTAAATACTGGAATGAACAAGCCTGCTGCTGACTGCTTCCCACCTCCTTGGGCAGGTTGGCACTCAGACCCAGGCCATTCTCTCTAAGCTGTGTGCTCCTGGCACATCTGACGTGTTTGCTGCTGTGGTATCTTCAGGGTCGCTAGCGTCACCATCTGGCTGAGGTGCCCAGCCAGGGAAGGGTGTCTAGGGAAGTGGAGGCGGATGAGAATGGAAGCAGGTGTGAGTCCTGGCTCCCACCTTGCAGTGAGCTTATGAGAGGCAATGCTTCTTAGGGTTTGTTTGAACAGCCCTTCAGGGACCCCGGCTGGGACTTGAGACGGCTCAGGTGTTGAACTCACAGGCCCCGCCCAGGGGATCGTCTCCCGAAGGCCTCACTAGAGGCCCCCCAGCCTTCTGCGACCTCCAGGCCCGGGGGAGCGTGTGCTCTGAAGGGCTCTGCTGCCCTAACACTGAGGGATTCTGTTACTGGGAACAAGTCGGGTCGAAACGTTTCTGAAAGCAGTTGCAGTTGTCCTGCCTAAGTCACTTGGGAATGGCCAGAACAGGGCTCAGTGTGGATGTTCTGTGTGGCCAGGAGAGGCCCCCGAAGCCACAGAGCTGGAGCTGTGCAGGAAGGGCTGTCGCAGCCCTGGAGGGCCCTGGAGCACCAGTCTCTTCTCCAGGCTGAGCCCAGGGGGTTCTTGGTAGAAGGACTCTGAGGGACAGGTTTAGTGCTGGTGTTTATTTTCTTCTTTTGAAAGTTTCTCCGTGTGTCTGGGTCCTTTGTGTCCGGTTCTTTTGGGGACGTGTTGACTGGTACTGAGAGAAGACCTTTTGTTCGTTACTACTGACCGAGCCAGGGGGAGGTCACGGCTCAGGGTGGGGTGTCTTCACCCTCAAAGCCAATGTGCTTGTTAACAGTATTGTTTGAAACGGGCTTCTCCCATTTCCTCTTCCTTGCCTGCGTCTCCACATCCAGGAAAGCTCACCTGCCCTGCGTTCTTGGCAGGCTGCTTTCCTCTGGATGGGACTCTGATGTCTGCTGAGCAGATTCGCGTCTTTGAAAGCAGCAGGGACATTGTGCTTATCAAAACATATCGGCAGCTTTGATCTGATTGTAGGTTTCTACAGGCTGTGGGGCAGGTTCCTCAGGGCCATGTGGGACAGGAAGTGGCCACAGGGAAGTGGTGTCTGCTGACTGTCCTGCTCTCCATTGGTGCCCAAGGAGGAAAGACAGGACCAGAGAGGCTGGCAGAGGGGACGGGGCCGGTGGGACAGGGAGAACTAGAAGGGCTTCGGCTCAAGTATGAAGAGCAGAGGTGACCAAACCTCTGGTTAGCCCCCTTATGCCACCAGCCAGCCGATGCTGCTGGCCTCAGGGTGGAGTGTGGGCAGCCTGGAGAGCCGCCGGTTAAACCTGTCACTGCCTTGCCACGTGTGGTCTGCTGTGATTCTAGGGGGTCCCTGAGTTCAGCCCAGGAGGCGTCCCACCCGCAGGCTCCCTCTGCTCTGTGAGACCTCCCTGCTCTGCTCTAACAGAGCCGCCTCTCGCTCAGGCCCCCTTCTGTTCCCTCCTGGGTGTGGGGAGTAGGAAGGTGGAGCCTGGCCTCGATGGGCTTCTCAGTGCAGGCTGTCTCGGGGAGGGAGGATGTATATCTGGCAGAAATCAACTCGCCCCTTACCGCTGTCTCAACCCCAGTACATCCTGTTTGGGATGTGTTTAACACAGAGAACACAGGTCCTGAAGTGGGGTTTCTGTGACCTTCGAGTTTGTTTATAGTGACTTCTCATGAGTGTCTTAAAATAGGTCTTCATCCTCTTGCATCATCTGTGGTTTTAGAGAATGATTTATTTACCGAGGTGAGTCGACAACACGGTTCATTTGAGTGAGACTCTGAGGCTGGGCCAGGAGTGGGGGCAGGAGGAGGGATAAGGAGGCTTAAAGCCACGGGCCAGGGGATCAGTTGGAGCCTGTGACGTGTCCACTAGACTGCACACAGGCCATCAGGGAGCCCGCCCTCAGCTAGGCAGGCAGTGCCGAGACCGGCTGCTGTGCGGCTGGACACGGTGGTTTTTGTTACATGAACAATGCTGGCTGTTCCCTTGGTGGTTCCAAGCCCATGTACTGACTTGAGTGTTTGTTCTCAGACATCCTGGTAGGAGTTTGTTGAAAGACAATCATTGGAAAATAATTTTAGCCTCCTTACTCTCACCATGCAGGGTTTTTGCCTCTTTTTGTGAGGCCCCGGAAGAAATGCACCTTGTTCGGGTCACTTTGTGTAGTACCAGGCATTTTGTTTTTTCTGTTTATCATTTGTGGACCTCCAAAGCTATGAATAAAATTGTAGCCTCAAAAATGGCCTTTTTTGGGGGCCGGACGCTCACACCTGTAATCCCAGCACTTTGGGAGGCTGAGGCAGGCAGATCACAAGGTCAGGAGTTTGAGACCAGTATGACCAACATGGTGAACCCCCCGTCTCTACTAAAAACACAAAGATCAGCCAGAGTGGACACGCCTGTAACCCAGCTACTCAGGAGGCTGAGGCAGGAATTGCTTGACCCCAGGAGGCAGACAGAGGTTGTAGTGAGCCAAGATCGCACCACTGCACGCCAGACTGGGTGACAGAGTGAGATGCTGTCTCAAAAAAAAATGCCCTTTTTTTCAAACTTAGAAGAGTTTGTCCTTGAAACAAGGTCTTTTCAGGCCATTTCCCTGAAATGTGGTTCAGGTGTGAAGGCCCATTCCGTTTCCTGATGCTTACTCAAGCTTCCATCACAGGCAGCATCCTAGAAGCCACAGGTCTTCTGGAGACCATCCGAGGGACCTTGGCCTGTGGGGAAAGAGACTTTGGTGGCCTCTGACTTCCTCTGGCTGCTTTTGGGGCTCGGGCTGCGTCTTCTGCCCAGAGCCTCAGGAGAGGAGGGAGTCTTGCGTGATGCCACTATACCAGCGGTCCTGTTTGCCTCTCAGGGTGAGGGAGCTGCTCAGGCTGGTTACCGCCCTGGGCTCTGAGAAGAGCCTCGTTTGTGAGGCGGGACAGTCGAGGGTATGCTTCTTAAAATGAAAACAGCCTGGATTTGTCAGCATATGGCTTTGGGTCATTAGCAAGATTGCTTGAGAGCGAATTGTCTTAAACCAGTAAGGATAGCCAAGGCTACCCAAAACAAGACAGCTCTTTCTCCGGCTGGACTTGGCGCTATGAGGAAGTGGGACCTCACCAGCTCAGTTTGGTCAGGGACCTGAGGAGGAACAGAATTTGGAAGAGAAAAGTGTGGATTCGATAGTTTGTTTTCCCTTCCTCTCTTTTGTGCCCACGGGGTTTTTAAGTCGAAGTAGAGCCATACCCCTCAGCCACAGAGATTTTAGCCTCCAGGACACTGGAAGAGCATGGGGGATGGACCCGCGGGCCCCCATCCGTCCCAGTCCTGAATTCTGCTAGCCTTGTGTCTCCCCTTGCAGGTGGGTCATTGACCAAGCTGGCCTACTACTCCACGGTGCAGCACAAAGTCGCCAAAGTGCGCTCTTTCGACCACTCAGGAAAGGTGAGCCTGCGCTGTGGCCGCCAGGGGGCAGGCTGGGCGCGCCTGAGGCCCGGGGAGGGGCTGCTTCTCCGTGGGTGTCACTCAGTCACCCTGCCACTGCTGCTGCCGGCCTCGGCTTCAGTGTCCTGGGAGTTTCTAGCACAGACAACCTTCCCTGCCTTCTGCCACGTCCCTTCAAGACCCTTTGCGGAACCTGTGCCTGCTCCTCCTGGGGAAGCCTTCTGCTCCCGCTGGGTGGCCTTGAGGTCTCCACCATCCTAGGCTCCTCCCTCTTGCCCAGAATTCTGCCTCAGAACCCGGCCTGGTTGAAGATTGGCGAGAATGGCCAGTGCTGCCAGGGCAGGGTGCGCACGGCTCAGCCCGGCGCAGTGCCCACACCCATGAGGCCTCCCTGCTCTACTTTCCAGGACACAGAACGTGATCACGAGCCACCCTATGAGATTTCGGTTCAGGAAGAGATCACCGCCCGGCTGCACTTCATTAAGTTCGAGAACACCTACATCGAAGCCTGCTTGGACTTCATCAAAGACCACCTGGTCAACACAGAGACCAAGGTCATCCAGGCCACCGGGGGCGGGGCCTACAAGTTCAAGGACCTCATCGAAGAGAAGCTGAGGCTCAAGTGAGTGGGGACCTCGAGGGCGAGGAAGGAGCGTGTGGCTGCCCCCGATTCCCTGGGTGTCCCAGAGCCATGTCCCTGGCGCTCATGTGTTAGATGGTGCATCAGGCCCAGCCACCCCTGTGGACCGGGCAGGCTCCTATGGTTGCTCCCTTCTGTGGCCTGGACTCTTGAGGGGGTTGGCACTTTCCTTTCAGAGTCGACAAGGAGGACGTGATGACCTGCCTGATTAAGGGCTGCAACTTCGTGCTCAAGAACATCCCCCACGAGGCCTTCGTGTACCAGAAGGATGCTGACCCTGAGTTCCGGTTCCAGACCAACCACCCCCACATCTTCCCCTATCTTCTTGTCAATATCGGCTCTGGAGTCTCTATCGTGAAGGTGAGACCCAGCTTTGTGAAAGGGGTGAATGGATGGTTAAGCCACAGATTGGGAGCCAGGGCCGGTCATGGGGCGCAAGGCCATGAGCTTGGAGCCGCTGTCGGAGGGGCATCAGCATCCCAGGCTTGGCCTTCAAGAGCATCCTCCCCTGGCAGTCCTCAGGGTGGGAGTGGGATGCCCCTGAGCACCGCACACCAGGGAGCCTGCATGGCTGAGGGCCCTCTGTGACATGCCCGCCCTGGCTCTGCCTCAGGTGGAGACAGAGGACAGGTTCGAGTGGGTCGGCGGTAGCTCCATCGGAGGCGGCACATTCTGGGGGCTCGGGGCTCTGCTCACCAAAACCAAGGTACGAAGTGGCCGCCACAGGTGCTCTGGGGTCTGTGGGAATGTCCACGTCCTGTTCCTCCAGGACTGCTAGCTGGGAGGTGCAAAAGCTGCTTCCCAGCCTCCCTTCCATGTGCGTCCCTGGGTCTCTGGCCTCCGTGGCTCCGCCCTGAAGCATGGGTGTCCTTGCGGTCAGAGCCTCTCCTGGCCGGGTGGCCCTCAGGTTCCGCTTGCCTCCTGCCATTGCTTCCGCATGATGAGGGCCCATTCGCCCCCTGCCCACCCATGCCTCCTCCTGTGGCCTTAGTGTCGGGCACTCACCCGCCCCCTCGCCGTGTCCTGCAGAAGTTCGATGAGCTGCTGCACCTGGCTTCGAGGGGCCAGCACAGCAACGTGGACATGCTGGTGCGGGACGTCTACGGCGGCGCCCACCAGACACTCGGGCTGAGCGGGAACCTCATTGCCAGCAGCTTTGGGAAGTCAGCCACTGCCGACCAAGGTACCCGCCCAGCCTCTGCTGCCAGCCGGCAGGGCGGTGGGCCCATTTGGGGTCTCGTGGACATGGAGCTTCCCCCGCCATCGCTTTCCCACATCTGCTCCTTGGAGAGTCAGCTTCCTGCTCAGAACGTCAGGGATAAACACCACTGTCTTGGTTTTAGAAGAAAGGATAGTTCTTACGAGTTAGGAAAAGCAATTTGGGGTTTTTTTTCCTCCTTTAAACAAAGCCTAACCCGTCCAGGAATGATTCAGGCATCACACGCAGCCTCACAAGCTCTGGCTCCGCTTCTCCCACTCAGCTCTCCCTCCACCACTCCTCCGCCCACTCTCATGTTGTGCAGGGGGAAGTGCAGGCGCTGTTTCTGAGGCGTGAAGGCTACCTGGGTGCCATGCTGGGAGTCAAGCACCCTTTCCTTCTCCTCCTCAGAGTTCTCCAAAGAAGACATGGCCAAGAGCCTGCTGCACATGATCAGCAACGACATCGGACAGCTGGCCTGCCTCCACGCGCGGCTGCACAGCCTGGACCGCGTGTACTTTGGGGGCTTCTTCATCCGGGGCCACCCCGTGACCATGCGCACCATCACCTACAGCATCAACTTCTTCTCCAAGGTAACAGCCTCCAACACGGACCCCAGGGGCTTCACAGTGGAAGCCATGCTGATCAGATGCCGAAGGAGCCCCAGGGAGACCCGGAGGGCGGGTGGCCGAGAAGCCCAGTGCTCCTCCGTTCTGGCTGGTATTGGAAAGCCTGTGTTTTGTGGCACCATGGCCACCTGAGCCTGAGCGCATTGCCAGTGACGAGCATTCTCGAGAGAGTCACGCCCACCCACACGCCTGAGGCAGAGACTTGTTGGATGGGGAGAAGCCGTCTCACCCTTAGTGTTTTTTTTTTTTTTTTTTTGAGACAGAGTTTCACTCGTTACCTAAGCTGGAGTTCAGTGGCGCGATCTCAGCTCACTGCAACCTCCGCCTCCTGGGTTCAGGCAATTCTCCTGCCTCAGCCTCCTGAGTAGCTGGGAATACAAGCATGCACCACCATGCCCAGCTAATTTTTTTTATTTTTTAGTAAAGACGGGGTTTCACCATGTTGACCAGGATGGTTTCCATCTCTTGACCTCGTGATCCACCCACCTTGGCCTCCCAAAGTGCTGGGATTACAGGCTTGAGCCACTGCGCCCAGCACCTTTAGCGTTCTTTAAACAGCAGCCTGCCCTCTGGTATCAGGTGTGGTTCCACTGGCAAGTGCGCCGTGGACGCCTCTTCAGGGGGCTTGGGTTGCACAGTGCAAGGCCCATGCGTGTTGAACTGGGTTGCAGAGGTCCTGGGTGCTATGTGGGCCAACAGCAGCCCGTGTGCTCTGGTCGCGGCAGGGGGAAGTACAGGCGCTGTTTCTGAGGCACGAAGGCTACCTGGGAGCCATCGGAGCGTTCCTGAAAGGAGCTGAGCAGGACAGTGAGTAGCGGTGCTGGTGCCCTGAGCGGTGCGGGGCTCGGGGACACGGCCTGGGCCTGTGCTCCAGGCCAGGGCGGCCCAGGTGGAGGTGGGGTGGGCAGCGCGAGTCCTCTGAAGGTGACCACAGCGGCCATTTCTAACGTTTTAACAGTTTAGTTAATAGGCGATTTTATGCCCTTTCTTCCTCCACTCCTGCTTTTGAGTCAAGAGCAAGGTTGACGCAGGCGGCCTGGCCTTCTGCTTTCCAGACCCTAACCAGTACAGCTGGGGTGAGAACTATGCAGGCAGTTCCGGGCTGATGAGCACGTCGCCTGAGCTGGGCCCGGCGCAGCGGGCGCGGAGTGGCACCGTAAGTAGCAGGCTCTGGGCGCCCCAGGCTCCGAGGGAGCGTCCCAGGCCGCACTCACTTCCCTTGTTCCCAGGAGAAACCCCTCGTGGCTGTCTTGGCTGAAAGGCGCCTCTGCCTGTGGCAAACCCTCCCATGGTCCTGGGGCATGATGGGGATAGGAGGACACTGCCGCTTGCTTTCCTCTCTCCCTCCTTGGGTCCTTTCATATTTTGGAAACATTTAGTAGGAATTTTGAAACCTGTAGTCTGGCCGTCTTGTTTCCAGAGAGACTGCTAAAGTTCAGGGGTGCCGGGGGCCTCCTCAGGGGTGCCAGGGGCCTGTGCACTTTGGGGTTGAAACCCAGAGTCACAGGAGCATCCCCAGGACTCTGCCCTAGGCCTGTGCACTCTGGCTGACGGTCTGGTGTCAGAGTCTGCTCTCCTCGGAGTGCCTGGGCTCATTCCTCAGATCCCCAGTGGGTTTGTATGGCCTGAGCTGGATGGCACTGGCGGGCTAGGAGACACATGCCATGTCTGCCAAGTTAGAACTGCTTCAGATGGGCCCCTGCCAGGACCGTGTCAGCCTGACAGGATCCCCCAGCACAGCCCCCCATGTGACAGAAACTGCCCCTGTGTCACAAGCTATCTGGGCCCTCAACCGTGCCCCTGGGGGGCTCATTCCTTCTGTAGCTGGGAGCAGTCACCCTCGGTCACGCACAGAGCTAGTTGGACCCCTCAGGAGAGGCCCCTGGCATTGTGGATGGGAAGTTGCTTTTCATTTGTGGACGCGGGGTCCTTTACAAGTCCGTGTTCGTATTTTCAAGACCCAGCCTGGTTGGGTTCTGGCTTCTCAGGAGGGCAGCTCTCTTGTGTGTGGGTCCTGCCATTCACACCAGGCAGGGGCTCTGCCAGATGCACCACACTGGCCACAACCTGCTCTGTTTCCCACGGCCAGTACTTGGCAGAGGAGTGGGGGCAGGGACCTGGGGCCTGGCAGAACCCCAGGCTCTCAGCTTCCGCCCTGGTGTTGGGCAGAGGGACTCCGTGTCTTCCAGCCTCAGTTTCTGATTTGCCAAATGTCCTGGACCATAACCCGGAGTGCCTGCGTGGGCAGCCCTAGTGCCTCAGGCCCAGTTCAGTAATTTTACTGTTTGGCGCCCCCACCAGCAGCACAGCCCTGCCAGGCAGGAGGACCCCACCATACTGAGGATCAGACTGGCATACGGAGGGATGGAGTCATTTCTTTGGGTTTATGTCATCCAAAAAAGGCAAAGCAAAGATTTGCACCCCGTTTGTCAGGACAGAAGGCGCCTGCGGCCTGGCCAGGCAGCACCAGGTGGTCCTCTCTGTCAGCGGTAGTTAACAGGGCTCTGCTGGCTTCTGCGCTGGCTATGGGGAGTCCCTGGCTCTTCCCTCCTGGAAGGCATCCTCCTCACCACAGAGCTCCTTACCCGGAAGTCCCTGCTCGTCTGGTGGCTGCTTCTCCAGTCCCAGGAGTTGCCTTGGGGTGTCCCAGTGGAGAAGGGCTGAGGCCCAGCGTGGGACCTGTGAGGAAGCCACTGGAAGGTGGGAAGAGGTGGCCAGCTGTATAGTTCCCCCCACAGCCCCCCTGGCCCCAGAGCAGCGGCCGCCATGATCAGTGTCCAGAGGGCCAAGTACTGGTGTGTGTCTCAGCTCAGCTCCGTTTAGTTCCTCCCAGCATAAGGTGGAAAGAGCCAGCGGGGCCCGTGAGCGCCCCTATGCTGGGTGCAGGTGGCCCCAGAGTGTGCTGGGTGCATAGGGGCCCAGCCTCGCCATAGCCCTTTGCAAACAGAACATGCTTGGAATTGGGGCAGCCGGGGAGAAAGGAGGGGTGCATTTGGGGGGTATAGGCTGCCTGCCCAGCACTTGAGGACAACACACCAGAGCTCAGTGTGCAGACACAGCCACCTGGAAGACCAGAGGTGGGAACAGAATGGCTGCAGGGGTGACACAGGAGGGGTGGCTGCAGGGGTGACAGAGGTAACTACAGGGGTGATGGGGGAGGGGTGGCTGCAGGAGTGACTGGGAGAGGTTACTGCAGGGGTGACGGGGAGGGGCGGCTGCAGGGGTGACAGGTAACTGCAAGGGTGATGGGGGAGGGGTGGCTGCAGGGGTAACGGGAGGGGGTGGCTGCAGGGGTGACAGGTAACTACAGGGGTGATGGGGGAGGGGTGGCTGCAGGAGTGACAGGGAGAGGTGGCTGCAGGGGTGGTGAGGGAGGGGTAGCTGCAGGGGTGACAGGGAGGGGTGGCTGTAGGGGTGATGGGGAGGTACCTGCAGGGGTGTCGGGGAGGGGTGGCTGCAGGGAGGTGGTGATGGGAAGGGGGTTACTGTAGAGATGATGGGAGAGGGGTAACTGCAGAGGGCGGTGATAGGGGTTACATAGGGTTAGTTGGGGAGGGACGATGGGGAGGTTGGCTACAGAGGGGAGGTGATCGGGGGAGGGGTGGCTGCAGTAAGGAGGTGATGGGGGCAGGAGGCTGTGTGGTGGTAGCAGACCCAACCCCAAGGTCAAACCGGGGGTAGGTCAAAGTATCTGGCTCAGACCACCGGGCAGCTGAGGGCGGCGCCTGGGGTGGAGGCCTGGTGGAGGTCTTATCTGTGGCCAAGATGTGGCAGAAGAAGGCAGTACCTCTCCTTCCTTCATAGAGAGTGGAAGCTTCTGAGCGTGGCTTAGGTCTTTCTGAACCGTGGTGACATTTCCACCCTGCCGCTGCCTGTTTTCCCAGTTTGACTTGCTGGAAATGGACCGGCTAGAGAGGCCGCTGGTCAACCTGCCGCTCCTCCTGGACCCTCCCTCCTATGTGCCCGACACGGTGGACCTCACTGACGACGCTCTGGCCCGAAAATACTGGCTCACCTGCTTCGAGGAGGCCCTGGATGGGGTGAGCACTCTGGCTGCTGTCTGTAGACGACTCCGTGGCTGCGGCTGAGGTTAACCTTCCCAGGCCCCCTGGGCCAAGCCGGTGTGGTGAAGGGGGACAGGCCAGTGTTCGCCAGAAGTCCCCTGACCTGCGTTTGAGTGTGAGAGCGGTGACTTCTGTTTCTCAGGCAAAAACCTTGCTCCTAGTCACTTGGTGAGTCAGGACAAGATGGCTTCTAAGGACAGCACATGCTTTTGTCAGCTATCACATTTCTTCAAAAAGCCAGCAGTTTAGTAGACTCTTCTGCTCTTCTGAGCTGTGATTGAGGCTCAGGGAGGATTGGGGGACCCTGACTCTGAGGGTGGGGCAGGTCCCCCTCCAGCCCCCATGAGCTCCTGGTGAGGCCACCCTGGCTCCTGCTGCCCCTTGGGGGCTCAGCTCCGGTGGGCTTGGCTGCTTCAGCTCGGGCCAGGGAGCCCCGGTAGCAGCATGCCCCCTTCATGAAGCCCTCGGAGAGGCTGAGTCCTGCTGGGGTGTGTCCTGAGGGAGGAGTCCCAGCCCTGCCCAGGACCCAGAGTGAGCTCTGAGCGCCCAGAGCTTCCTGTCCCTGGCACAGGTCAGGGGCTCCAGTCTGAGGACATGGGTCTCAGCCTGGGGTTTCCTGGGTACTGAGGGGCCAGTGTCATTCTTGCTCCTGCCTCCCAGAGCAGCTGGGAGGGGCAGATGGCAAAGGAAGGCCTCAGGGGACTGTGAACTGTCACCCTCAGCCTTTCCTGTTCCAGGAGGAGCCGCCCTGACCATAGCCTGGGCAGCTCCCTGTGGCCAACCCCCATCCTGCCCCTAGCCCCCATGGCCAGCCCCCACCCTACCCCAGGCAGACTCCAACAGCTGGCCCCCACCCTGCCCCAAGCCCCCTACAACTAGCCCCAACCATGCCCCAGGCAGCCCCCACAGCCGACCCCCACCCTGCCCCTGGCTCCCCATAGCTGGCCCCAACCCTGACCTGGGCAGCGCCCCACAGCTGTCCCCTACCCTGCCCCGGGCAGCACCCCACAGCTGGCTGCCACCCTGCCCTGAGCCCCCCACAGCTATTCCCTACCCTACCTACCCTGAGCCCCCCACAGCTGGCCCCCACCCTATCCTGAGCCCCCCACAGCTGGCCCCCACCCTCCCCCAGGGCCCCTGCTGTCATGTGTGGGGACTTCTCGAACAGCAGGACCAGTGCTTGGCTGACCCCTCCTTCCATTGCTGCCAGGTAGTGAAGCGTGCAGTGGCGAGCCAGCCAGATTCTGTGGATGCGGCCGAGAGGGCAGAGAAGTTCCGGCAGAAGTACTGGAACAAGTTGCAGACCCTGAGACAGCAGCCCTTGTAAGTGTCCAGCGTCCTGCTGTGTGACTGCCTCTCCTGCTGAGAGGGCCCCTATGCCAAGAACGTGCCCGTAGTATTGGCATTCTGACCTGGGCTGGCTCAGGAGTGGGGTGGGCCCAGTGGCACAGTCCCTTGGGGCCACACCTCAAGCGGCATTGACACTGCCTAGAAAGGCCTGGCTCAGAGGGCTCCCACCACCCTGAGGATGTCTGTGGCACCACTGAGATGTGCAGACGGGCGGGTGATCAGCCACCAGCCAAGCCTGCCCTGCTCAGCACCTTCTGCCACATCTGTCGCTAGCGCCTACGGGACCCTGACTGTGCGCAGCCTGCTGGACACCAGGGAGCACTGTCTGAACGAGTTCAACTTCCCCGACCCCTACTCCAAAGTAAGTGCAGTGCGCCCAGGCCTGCCTTGCGCCCCTGTGCCTGTTCAGTTGTGCCTCCCGTCCCGTCCCCATCTCTGTCCCGCTGGCGCCGCACATCCCATCCCGTTCCTGTCCTGCTGGCACCACACGTCCCATCCCCGTCCTGCTGGCGCTGCACATCCCATTCAGTCTCCATCCTGCTGGCGCTGCACGTCCCATCCCCATCCTGCTGGCGCTGCACGTCCCATCCCATTCTGTCCTGCTAGTGCCACATGTCCTGTCACATCTCTGTCTTGTCTCTGTCCCCGTCCTGCTGGCTCGGGGCATCCTGTCCTGTGTCTGTCCGCTGACTCGGGGTTTCCTGTCTGAGGCTGCACAGGCTTGGTAGTGGTCCGACTCTTGGCATTGACTCCACACTAGCGGGGGCCTCTGTTGGCAGCATCTGCTGAGGAACTGTGTTGGGAGCCGCCCTGGTGACCCCACAGATGTTAGAGCCAGTTAGGGACGGGAACCGCTGTGACGGGAGAGAACAGGGGTGATGGGAGGAGAGGAGAGTGTGAGCCCTGTTTGGGCGTGTTTACCTGAGAGAGGCCACCTGCCTGCGGGAGCTAAGGGCCTCCCAGCATCTGCGAGGACTATGGTTGGGGACTGCCTGCCCCTCATAGGCAGGGGCTGGACCCCTGGGCCACCCTTGCCCCCTCCTAGAAGGCTGGACAGTGCCTGGAGGCCTCCTGTCAGGACAACGTGCAGGGCGGTGGGAGCCCTCTGAGCCAGGCCTTTCCGGGTATCTGTCTTGCTTCCCCAAGTCTGGCGGCCACAGCCCTCCTTGGCCCCTTCTGCTAGGAGGCAGCGGTGGTGGCAGCAGTGGCCCCTCCCAGCCCCTTCAGAGGGGCCAGTGCCACACCCCCCTCTCCTCCCCTCCCCTCAAACACCCAGCCTTGTGACCAGAAAGTCTGGGTGTCAGGGGTTTGGAGGCCAGGGCTGTGGGCACCTGTAGGGCCATGGCCTCCTCCCCTTGTGGCCATTGCTCTGTCACATGGGGACTGAAGCTGTCCTGGGCCTCATCCTCAGAGCCCCGTGCAGCTGCATGCTGGCTGCAGCGCCTGGGCGCCCCAGATGCTATGCCTGGCGGTATCCTGGTGGGGCCTGAGCGCATGCTCTTAGGGGGTTGATGTGGAACAGGATGAGGCTCTGCTGGGGACCTGGAGAGACGCGGCCTGGCAGATAGCAGGGGACAGCCTGCCCCACGGGCTGAGGCTGCATGTCCTCTCAGGCCTGGTGTCTGGTGCCCTCCGCAGGTCAAGCAGCGGGAGAACGGCGTGGCGCTGCGGTGCTTCCCCGGGGTCGTGCGCTCCCTGGATGCTCTGGGCTGGGAGGAACGGCAGCTGGCGCTGGTGAAAGGCCTCCTGGCGGGGAACGTCTTCGACTGGGGGGCCAAGGCTGTGTCTGAGTAGGTGTCCATGGGCTCAGGGCGGGCTCTGCAGCCTGTGGGTCCCCATCCTGCCCCAGGCTCGCGTTGGAGGAGGTGGAGTGGGTCCCTTGGGGGTCATGTGGCACTTGGTGGCTCGGGGCTTTGGGGCCCAGGGAGTGCACACGAAGCTGCCCCTGGGGCTGTGCCGGGGCCTGCGTCCTTGTCTGTTCCCACTCAGGCCCTGAGGAGGCCCCTTCCTTAAGCACAGGTGCAGTGGAGGGAGGCCTAGGAGTGTGGATTCGAAATTCAGGACTGATGTTTTCTTTCCTTTTTTTTTTCTGAAGCAGAGTCTTGCTCTGTCGCCCAGGCTGGAGTGCAGCGGCGCCATGTCGGCTCTCTATAACCTCCACCTCCCGTGTTCAGGCGATTCTCCTGCCTCAGCCTCCCAAGTAGCTGGGATTACAGATGTGCCCCACCACGCCCAGCTAATTTTTGTATTTTTATTAGAGATGGGGGTTTACCATGTTGGCCATGCTGGTCTTGAACTCCTGGCCTCAAGTGATCCACCCGCCTTGGCCTCCCAAAGTTCTGGGATTCCCAGCATGAGCCGCTGTGCCTGGCAGGGGCTGACATTTTCTGTTGTCACAGTCCAAATTCGTGTTTCCTGCGTGTGGCAGGAATCAGACGTTCTTGCTGTTGTGTTGGGAGGGTGCTTTGCAGAGGCATTCTCTAGACTGGCCTGTGGGGCAGGCACGTTTCTACAGCACTTGGTGCCATCTCCTGGGCTCTGAGTCTTGGCAATGGCCCATTCCCACAGCCATTTGCCTTCACTTCCAAAGAAGCTGATTCCAGGCCCTGGGCCTCCCCAGGCAGCCGCACCACCTCTCGTGGCCCCAGCTTTTGCATGTGGGGCCTGGGGAGGAGACACCTGGGTTCCCAGCCTTCCCTCGGTCCCATTTGTGTCTTCACACGCGGACGTCAGAGCGCCGCCCCCGTCATGGCTGCCTCTGTGGAACACGGGCCCCTCCCGAAGCCTGTCGGGAACGTTAGGGCAGTTCTGACCTGCGGGCTTGGCTTTGTGGCTGGGGGCTCTTCACCTTGCTTGTGTGGGTGCCAGGTGCCAAGCACACTGACACGCTTCCCTGACCCCCAGCTCCGGGTCCACCTTGAGAAACACGTTTCCTCGGCGGCCCTCGTGCGTCGGGAATGCTGAGTCTGTTCTCTCTGGGAGTGCTGGGGTCTCTGCACTGGCACGTGGACAGAACGTTTCTTTGTCTACTCAGCTTTCTTTTCTCCTCCATGCAGCGTCCTTGAGTCCGACCCCCACTTTGGGTTTGAAGAGGCAAAGAGGAAGTTACAAGGTACGGATGCCTGCGGCTCACAGCTCTGTCGGTTGGGCTCAGGGGGCGGGGAGAACTTGCTTCCTGGAGAGACAGACACCTGAAGATGCGTTTCCCTGACCCCTGACCCCTGACCCCTGACCCCTGACCTGGGGCACTGGGATAATCTTATGTCTGTCTCTCTCTCTCAGAAAGACCCTGGCTTGTGGATTCCTACAGCAAGTGGCTTCAGAGATTAAAGGTACGTGGAGGGGCCTCCCGCCTCTGCCCCTGCGGATGCAGCGTGGGGCCCAGGGGGGTGGTCACTGGAGGGAAGTGGACATGGGCTGCCTTGGGTGGCCCTCCCCGCCTGTTAGAGTCTCACGGTCCCTCAGCCAAGGGTCCTAGTGTCCCCTGGTCTGCTTTTGCCCTCCTGCTGTGGCCACTTCTTAGGTCACCTTCCCTAAGCAACAAAGCCCGCTGAAAGAAACAGGCACTGCCCCTGCAGGCCAGCCTGTCCCCGGCGTCTCTGGAGCCCTGAAGACCCTGGTCTCAGGCCCTACAGGGCAGCTCGGCGGGTGGCGGGGGTGGGGTCTGACTGGCTTGGCTGCGCCTGTTCCCAACTGAACATCCTGGTTTTGTCTTACAGGGGCCCCCTCATAAATGTGCCTTAATTTTCGCAGATAACAGTGGAATAGACATCATTTTGGGAGTCTTCCCCTTTGTCAGGGAGCTACTCCTTAGAGGGACGGAGGTGAGTGGCGAAGTGCCAGGGTGGGGCCCTTCCCCTGGGCTTCTCTGCTCTTGGTGGGCTTGGCGCCGCTGTGGGCCTCTGGCCGTCAGGTTCCTTGGACCCAGCAGGTAGGTGCAGGCGGCAGCATGGGAGGCAGCTCAGAGCCCTCAAATGCCGGGAGGGTCCGTGTGCTGAAGCCCAGGGCTGACGCCAGGCTTCTGGAGGGTGCTCACAGCACGGGGGCTCTGGGCTGTGACATGCCCATCAGAGGCAGGCAGTTCCCAAGGGCAGACTCTGAACTCAGCTCAGCCCCTTGGCTGGGCTCCCTCTCAGAGGCCACAGAGTAGCAAGGTCAGGCAGGGTCCCTACACCTTAGCCTCAAGTGGCTGGCCAGACCCGCTGGGTGTAGCACCCTCACCCCGCCTGGCCACTTGAGGGGCGGCCAGCACACAGGGGCCATGCTGGGCTGGTGCAGGGTCCTAAAGAGCCTGGGCCCTCCTCCTGCAGGTCATCCTGGCATGCAACTCTGGCCCCGCCCTGAACGACGTGACCCACAGCGAGTCCCTCATCGTGGCCGAGCGAATTGCAGGCATGGACACTGTCGTGCAGTGAGTGCTGGGGGCCTTGAAGGGAGGGGCACCAGCTGGGCGGAGCGGGCCGTGGGGGTCATCACTGAACGGGGAGCTTCCCAGGGGCCCTGCTCAAGGCGCTGACTGCCTTGTGTCCGCAGCTCCGCGCTCCAGGAAGAGAGGCTGTTGCTGGTGCAGACGGGCTCAAGCTCCCCATGCCTCGACCTCAGGTAACCCCGCAGTCTGTGCCCCGTCCCCCCCAACTCCATGCCTTCCATGCCATGCACCCAGGCACGTGCAGGACACCAGTGTCAGCCCTGCCCCCACTGCCTCTCCTGACCTCAGGCCTGCTTTGACCTCAGGAGGGGACAGAGACACTATCCCTGAAGGTGGCCTGGGAGGGTGGATGGATTCAGGGTCTGATGTGGCTCCACCTGGGCTGGGTTGGGGGACTTGAGGCAGGAGGGCCAGTGTCCCTGTGGCCACTCAGCTGGGGTGACTGTATAGACGCAGGCTCTGCTTCTGTGGTTCTGGGGGTCCTTAGTCGATGGCGTGTGGCACTCTCTATCCTCCTGACTACAGAGGAGGAAGGAACACCCCTTAAACGAGCAGGCTCTGAGTGCCAGGCCACTGGTCTGCTGTGCTTGGTGGGATTCTCCAGTGTTTCATCTGTGCTCCAGTCCCACTCTTACCAGCGGGGGGGGTACAGGGCAGCATGAAAATGCTGAGGAATCAATCCCTAGAGTTCGTAGGAGATCTGGGGCAGAGTTTGCAGGCTGCAGCTGTTGTCCCTGCAGGAGCTGCTTCTCTGAGGAGCCTCTGGGCTGAGGCAGCACCAGGCGGAGGCTGGGTTTGGAGGCACCCACGTCAGGGAATTGAGGGGTGGGGCTTCAGCCTTCACGTTGGTCACTGCACTCTGCGGGAAGTGGGGTTTGGTGTCCCCTCGCCCAGTCTCTCTCTCCCCTTCCTCCTGGAAGCCGCCTGGATAAGGGGCTGGCCGCACTGGTTCGGGAGCGTGGCGCGGACCTGGTGGTCATCGAGGGCATGGGCCGTGCCGTCCACACCAACTACCACGCAGCCCTGCGCTGCGAGAGCCTCAAGCTGGCCGTCGTCAAGAATGCGTGGCTGGCTGAGCGGCTGGGCGGCCGGCTCTTCAGCGTCATCTTCAAGTACGAGGTCCCAGCCGAGTGAGGCGCCACAGCTGCCCGACTGTTCCGCTCGTCACTTGTCAGGAATGTGTTTTACCGCCACAGGGAGACTGCGTTCGAATCAACATATTTATATTGTACTGCTGGGACCCGGCACACGCCCCTGGCTTGAGGGATGCGCGCGGCCGCCAGGCGAGCCGGTTTTGTCTTAGGTGACGTTCGTATTGGAATCTATTTAACTGCTAAAAACCTTTTATATGTATATATATATATATATATATATATATATATATATATACATAAACAGAGATGTATACAGGTATGTCTGGCGGGACGTAGCACCACGGGCACACACCAAATAGAGTTTTTAAAAGAGGCCACAGCCACCTGTGCTGTTTTCTTGGAGCAGGGGTCCCTCCTGACCCTCCCATGGGGAAGCCCAGAGTGAGGCCCTTCCTGCGGGTGCTTCTAGACCTCATGGGGAGGGAGCACTATCCGCCCCGCTGACTCTCTGGCTCCAGGTCCTGCGTCTCAAGGCTCCCTCCCGGCAGCCCAGGTCCTGTGTGTCACCACTCCCTCCTGACAGGAAGAGCCAACGCAGTGGGCCTTGTCCTTCCAACGCCCTCCCCTGCACCTTGGTGATGTGTGGGTGCTCAGCAGCACCTCTGATTCAAGAGCCACAGGAAGGAGCCCTTGTCATCGATCACCCACAAGGGCTCTCGGGCAGCCGGCGCTGGTGCAGACCCAGTGAGGAACTGCAGAGCACGTGGGTTTTGTTGCTATGGCCTTAGGCCTAGGCTCCCCGGGGCCCTGTTCTGTGGCCAGGGTGGGCATGGTTGGGGGGAGCAGCAGGGAGGCCCTCTGGGCGCTACTAGGTGCCTGGAGGTCCCTCCCAGTCCCCAGGCTCCCCGCTCAGCCCAGGTGTGGGGTTGAGGATGCACACAGCCACGTAGGGAGGGCAAGAGCTTGCGGAGGCCCTACTGGGCTGGGGTGGGCTGGCTGCAGGCCCAGCTTTGACCTTCATGTTCGGAAGCTGTTCCCAGTGCTGAACAGCTGGGTAGGCCCTGAGGAGGCCGAGCTGCTGCCTTGTCCCCCCAAGCCCCCTGCTAGGGCCCCCAGATCAAGAGCCTCACTGAGACTCCCAAGCACAGGCTATCCTAGGCCAAGGCTGGGGGTTGGCATTGCACCCCTGACAGCTTTGCTTGGCAGTCTGGAACCCCCAGAGGCCAAGGCTCCTTGGGGGCTTCCCCATGGAGACCTGGCCTGCCCAGCAATGCCCAGTGGCTATTTCTGGCCCCCACTGTGGTGTCTCCATGACCTGCCCTTGGAGTCCATGTGGAGCCTAAGGCCTGAGGCCCAGCCCTTGTTCAGCGACCACGAAGGCAGCCCCCGTCCTGGCAGTTGGGCTGTCCTGAGACTGGCTCCATGTGGCTCCAGCTTCCCCCTCCCCTTGGGTTCCAGGGCAGAGGCCCAGCCCCCAGGACCCCTGTCGGCCCTCACCACTTTGCAGCCCTCTCCTGGGGCCCCACTTGCTGCCAGGAAAGCCCTCCCAGCCTGCCCCTCTGTGTGGCCTCCGCTGCCCCTACTCAGCCTCTCCAGCTCTTGCCCCTGTCCTGGCCCTGCCCTCACTGGTGGTGTTGGCAGCACTGCGCCTGCCCTGCCTGACGCCCACAGGGCTGCCCCAGGGCCAGAGAGTCCATCCACGCTGGGGGGCGTGCCCACTGCAAAGGTTAGACCAGATCCTGACCCAGGCAGGACGCCTAGGAGGAGGTGGGGGTGCACAGAGACCTGGATGAAAAGACCTGGGACCAGCACCACCAGTACCCAGCCCAGCTCAGGAACCCCTGCACAGCCCCACACAGGTCCTGCCTGCCCAGGGGGCTGCACAGCCTATGAGCCAGGCACCCTGTGCCTCCACATAACCCCCAGCCTCTGTGACCCCAGCTGGAGCAGGAGGGCTCTGCCTTGTTCCCTCAACGTGGCCTTTTTTTTTTTTTTTTTTTTTTTTTTTTGAGACAGGGTCTCTTGTTGCCTGGGCTGAAGTGCAATGGCACAATCATGGCTCACTGCAACCTCCACCTCCTGGGTTAAAGTGATTCTCCTGCCTCAGTTTCCAGAGTAGTTGGGATTACAGGCACCGGCCACTACACCTGGCTAATTTTTAAATTTTTTTTTCTTTTAATGAAGACGGGGTTTCGCCATGATAGGCTGGTCTCGAACTTCTAACCTCAGGTGATCCACCCACCTTGGTCTCTCAGAGTGCTGGGATTGCAGGTGTGAGCCCCTGCACCTGGCCCAATGTGGCTATTTTGACGGGGCTTTCCTCGACAGGACCTGGCCCTGGCCCTCAGCCCCTCCTTCACTCCTGCAGACCCCAGCTGGCTCCCCCAGCCCTGCCCTGCCCATGGCACCACTCGAGGGCTCAGCAGGAGGCCTCAGTCACCAGGCGCTGTCAGTGTCACCATCTGGGAGCTCTGTGAGTCCCATTGGCAGAGCTGAGACTCCTCAGGCTCAGGTACCACCCTGGGCCCCAGGCAACCAGCCCATCTCATCCCCGCACTCAGTGGGGCCACAGCTGCCCACGTGCAAATGGCCCAGGGCTTAAATGAGAAGTCTAGCCAAGCTCCCTCGGTGGGGCCAGTGGGGCTCGGGGGAGGTGACACCAGTGGCCCCTCTGCCTGGCTGAGTTGGGGTAGTGGTTCCTATGGCTACCAGTGCAGGAACGTGGTGAGGGCAGAGCAGCACCCCCCCCCCAGAGCTACTCTAGGCTCAGGCCGCATGCCCAACTTCCTGAGGTCCCCACCCAGGTGGGACACAGTCAGGGGTGAGCCAGGACACCCTGACAGAGCAGCGCTCCTCGGGGTGCTGGGCAGGGTGGGCCCCGTGGGCAGTGGCAGGTGGCAGAGCCTCACGGGGCAGGACACCACCTGACTTCCTGGCCACGGGGTGGGCCACACCTGCTCCCACTGCTGGGGCAGCAGAGGACGGGTTGCAGCACAGGCTTCCCTGGGGTGTGACCAGCAGGCCAACTTCTCCCTCGAGGGGTCTTTCTAGAACCACCGTGCTCTGAGGCGTCAGAGCAGCTGCCAAGGCCCCAGGCTGCTGTGGCCTTCGGTCAGGGCCTGTGCCCTGAGGAGTGGACTTTGCAGCTCACTCCAAAGCCTATCCAGCTCAGCCCTTGGAGGACGGGCTGGACCTTTTCTTGGGGTGTCCTTTGGGCCTGGTACAGGCTCTGACGGGCAGCTGGCGAGTGGCGCAGGAGGCCAAGCAAGTAGGAAGCCGATCTGTGCTGGCAAGCACACTCATCTGAGCCACGTTTGGGAGTTTACAGAGGCTTAGCGGGTGTAGAGCGTGGTGTGGTCAGAGCAAGGCGGACACAGCCTTCAGGGTGAGGTCCAGACTGTCCTGAGTACCGTGGCCAGGTCAGCTGTGTCTCCCAGGGCGGGCCCACAACAGGTGCAGACACCACACATCAAGGGCAGAAAACCAGGTAAAAGTGCAAAGGGACTCGGTATCATTTTAATATTGTGTACATTTTGCTTCTAAAAATTTAAATATTTCTCTGTGTATAGATCCTAAAACGCCAGGAAGACTGCCTGGCGGGGCCAGCCTCAACGCCCCCTCCTGTGGGCCCTGGGCTGGCAGCTTTAGCCTCTACTCCCTGGAGCAGGGGCTGATGGGACACAGAGGGCAGCCGGGACACAGTTTTGGGAGCCTGGCCGCCCCATTTCCTGAGCAAATGAAACACACCCACCCCTGCCCCGGGCCTCCACAGCCACCCAGGTTCCCACCAGGGACAGGGTCAGAGGCGGAGCAGGACCAGGTTCTCTGCAGTCACAGATGCTGGCCCAGGAGCTCCCTTGGAGGGAGCTGGCACATCCACCCTGCCCTCATGGCCCACAGAGCAGGCGCCCTCGGGGGTGCCCCGCTCCTCCTCTGGGGGTCCCTGCCGGCCCCGGCCCTGGCCCTGCAGTCTGTGCTGCCGCTCCTGCGCCTGGCGGGCACGGCTGGCAATGGCGCGCACACGGCTTTGGCTGCGGGAGGAGGAGCGCCGCAGAAAACCGGGGACCCCCGCCACCCCGTCCCCAGCCACACCCAGGCTGGTGGGAGACGTGATGTCTCCCGCTTGCTGGAAAACCGTGAGCCAGCGCAGCTGCTCTGTAAGGATGTCCCGCCTCACCCCTGCCCCCAACACCTGCCGTGCCCCTCCCGGGAGGCCCAGGCTGTGGCTCAGGCTGCGGGAGCCACCCTCAGAGCTGGGGGCAAAGTCATCTGCAGTGAGGTCCCCCAGGCTCTTGGACTTGGCAGCCACGGGGCAGTCCTGCAGGCTCCCCGGGGAGAGGCGGCCCCAGGGCGGCCGGAGCGGGAGGCCAGGCATCCGTGGAGCCAGGGGCCCGGGCCGCAGGTCCTCAGGCGTGGGAGGCCGCTGGCCTGCAGCCCGAAGGTTAGGGTTGGATTTGCTCTTGGTCACCCGTGGCAGGTCTGGGTGGGCAGCTGAAGCTAAGTGGGGCCTAGGGGGCAGGCGTCCCACGGGGCCTCCAGTGAGGCTCTCTCGGCTGCAGCCCAGGCCCAGACTGGGCATGGAGAGGTCGATGACCGTGTCACTGGATGACATGCTGGAGGAGGAGGAAACGCTGTCTCGGTGACCATGTGGCTCCAGCCTCTGCCACAGCCGGTCACTGCCCGTGGCATCAGAGTACATGGCAGGGGCCAGGAAGGGCCCGGCCAGGGGCTCTGTGGGCACCTGCCCCTCACTTTTCACCCTTCTAATCATGGGCAGGGGGCCCAGGGTCCGGGGCTGACTTCTGCCATCCGTCTGGCTGCTGGGGGCCCCCTCGCATGCCTTGCTGGGGCCCCTGCCATGGCACGGCCTCGGCCTGCTGTTTCGGGGCTCCTCAGGGTCCTCTGGGGGGCTTGCCACATTGGTTCCGGGTCGCATGGGACACGGGGGCCATTCCTGAGAAGAGTTGGCAGGGACGGCTGCTGGTGGCGGGGGGCCGGGGCCTGCGGTAGGCTCCTCGGCAATGGTCTCCAGGCTGCACAGTGCAGGGAGCGGCCGCTGCGTGGAGAGGGGGCGGGTGTCTTTGGGGAGGTGGGTGGAGTGAGAGAGTCACAGGGAGGAGCAGAAGAGAGAGAGGGAGACAGCAAGAGAGGCGTGAGGAGAGTCGGATCAGGGTGGAGTCCCCAGTGCCCGGCCCCCACCCTGAGGCATATCCAGGCACACTCAGTGCCCCCACCCTGCTGCTGCTGGGTGAAGTCCACGCCCTGTGCCACACACGGGGCCCTCCTGGGACTGGGACAGCAGGGACACGGGGGCTGGGCCCCGTTACCTGTCACTCGTGCTCTCAGTTCCTAACTATGGAGGCAGCGTGGGTGGGGGCAGAAAGGAAAGCTCGGTCAGGGGGGCTGGAGGGGTGGGGTGGGGAGGGTGGGGCGGGCTCCCTGTTTGTCCCTCTCTGGGCTGTAGCAATGTCCTCACAGTGGGATGCCTCAGCCCAAAGCAACAAGGCCCAGGGCCCAGGGAGTCCCCTCCACTCAGGCGTCCCGGGCACAGAGGGCGTCCTGCGGCTGTACCACATCAGGCTTCCCGGTAGGGACCCCTGGAGCCTGCCCTGGCATAGGCAGGAACAGGATGGAAAGTGACCCCCACTCCCAGGAAGGGCATCAGGGGCCATACCGGTCGCCAGCCCAGGAGGCTAGTTTGGGGAAGTGCCCAACAGGAGGGGCCCAGCACATCAGGCCACACTCCAGGCCCAGGTCCTCAGCAGGAGCAGTGCCTGCTGAGAGCCCCAGCCCAGCCCATTGGGCCGCAAACCAGCTCCACCCGAGTCCCAGGGCCTCAAGGTCACACAGGAGGGCTGGGGCTACAGGCCACAGGCAAGCCAAGGGAGCAGATTGCCACGGAGACAGAGCCACGAGCACACAGGGTGACGCTGTCCACACAGAAGCAGCAGCAGGTGACCCAGGTCCAGCCATGCCAGGGGTGTGCGGGAGGACCGAGCAGGGCAGGAGGGCAGGGCTTACCGGCGGAGAACATGGGGGATTTACTCCTGATATCCTCCAGCTTTTGAGCAAACAAGGCACTCATCTCTCCCTGCAGGGCCCCCGGCTGCCTGCAGGCGCCCTCAGGCCAGCGGGCCCCCACTTCGGGGCTGCCCGGGCTGTCTGGGCTGCTGGCGTCCGAAGACATGGAGCCGCTACCTCCTGGACCCTGTCCCCAGGCCCCGGGACCCTTGGGGGCCTCTCTGCTTCTCCCCGAGAGAACTTGAGGGTCCAGGCTGCTGCAGGGGGCCCCCATCGAGTCCTCGCGGGCCTGGGGCTGCTGGTGAATGGCGGCATGCCTGCTGGCCGGCCCCAGGCTGGGTGGCCACTCCCTCCGCAGGCCGTCGGTGTTCACGCCAGCACAGGATCCCACCACGCACTTCATGCACGTGGCAGCCATCCCAGCAGGCCCCAGGCCCTCTGGGGCACATGGGGGCCGCACACACACGGGGCTTTTCTCCATCACCACAGCTGGCACCTTACCTCGGGGGCTGCCACTGCTGGGCCCCTCCTGGGCCAGGGCTTCTGGAGCGGGGCCAGGGCTGGGGGGCACCATGTCGTCTGCCGCCCCCTTGGAGCCCGAGTCCTGCGTGCCCAGGACCAGCTCCGGGAAGCCCTTTCGGCCCGGCTTCAGACTCTTGGTCGGGGCGCTGGCCGTGCGCCGCAGGAACCGCTGGCTAACTGAGGGCCGGGCCAGGGGCCGGCCAGCAGCATGACTGTCCAGCGAGCCAGGCTTTGGGCCTCGGAGGAAGAGGCCTTTTAGTCCCAGAGCCTGCTTGACCTGCAAGAGAAGGAACCCACATAGGTGGTGCCAGGGCGCCCAGCCCAGCTGCCAATGCACCCTAGGGCCAGCTCTCCAGCCCGCGCCACAGATGAGTCTTGGTGCGAGGGGCTGGCTGCCTCGGGCTGGGTGGGTGTGGACACACCAGGGCCTTCAGGAGCAGGGTCCCTGGGGCAGCTCTGCCGGGACAGTGACTGCTGCAGATCTAAGGATAGATGGCACCCCCACCCTCCGGCAGAACCTGCCCCTGCCAAGCTGTGCAGGGCCTGTGGGGCCCTTGAGGTGCACAGAGAGAAAGTCCTTTCCTCTGGAGGAGAGATCTCGAGCCCTGCCCTGGCCCCCCGCAGCCTGCACCTGCCCGGAGGCTCGAAGCCCCAGGTCTGGCAGGGGCACTGGTGTGGAGCCGGAGACAGGAGAGAGTAGAATCCCGGGTCTCCCTGCTTGCATCTACCCTGCCTTCAGAGGTAGCCAGGTACAGACGGAGGCCCGCTCGCCCAGTCCCTGTCCTGCCCACTCCCATGGCAAAGCTCCTGCCCAGGGAGGTGCCACATCTTCCAGGAAGCCTTCCTGAACTCTCCTGGGCAGCCTTTTCTTGCCCTGTCCTCTGCCCGTGTGAGCCCCCAAGGCCCACAGCTGGCTTGCTGCCCCATGAGCCCTGCCAAGATGGGCTCAGGCTCCCTGCCTGAGCACCAGGCCACAGCCAGTCTTCCCAGACAGCTGGGCCCAGGAGGTCCCTGCCTGAGCGGATGCAGCTGGTGAGGCAGCTGCATCTCCAGGGTGCCGGGGCCAGAGGGGCCCTCACATACCAGACACCCTGAGACCAGCAGCACCCACCAAGCCCCCATGACGAGCCGTGCTCGTGCACAGAGCGGCCCAGGCCCCCAGCTGGGTCAGCCCCTGCAGGGGTGCCTCTGGGCAGATGCGTTCAGATGGCCAGCACTTGAATCAGCTTCCTGATTCAAGATCCCAAATCCACGCAATTTGGTCACAGTGGCTGGGAAGCCATTTAGAAGCAGATCCGGGATTCCGGCTCGAGCACCAGCCTCGGGGGTGCCCTCATCCAGGCACTGGGCGTGGTTGGCAAAGACAGGGAGGGACCAGGAGGGAGACTCAGAACCAATGGCCTGAGGGGCCGAGGTGGGCGCACCAGAGAGGAGGGGGACGGGAGGGGTACAGCAGGGCCACAGCAGGCTCCCCACCAGGGAAGGGACTGAGTGAGGGGAGGGAGGACTGAGGGCCGGGAGGCCGGGAGGCTGGGAGAAGGCGGCCGCCCAGCTGAACCCTGGATCTGCCTCGTAAATGCTGCTCTGGCTGAGGATGGCCAGGGCCCCCGGAACCATGTCATGATCCATGTCACATGAGCGACAGTCTTCAAATGCTACTAGGAGTCACGGATGCTAATGGGCACGGCCTGGCATGCAGGGGCGGTGGGCGGCACTGTCCCACACGCCGGGTACCTTCAAGGCTCCTAATGGAGCTGCGCTTCTAAAAGTAGACTGTGGCCATAGAGAAGCCGACTGCAAGACCAAAGAGATAGAGGGGTGGGTGAGGCGGCCACAGCAGCCGTGTGGGGAGCCCCGAGGCCTGCGGGATGAGGAGTGGATGGGTGGGAGACGGCAGGGGCCGGATGGCACCTCTGGGCAGGAGAGAGTCAGGGTTGGACCTGGGCAGGCCCCTTGTGCTGTGTGTGCAGTTATAGCCAGCAGGACCCAGAGGGCACTGGGCCCCAGCTGAGAGTCAGGGCTGCCAGCTCTGCAGGGCAGCAGGGCCGGCACCGCGACCCCCTCCTGCAGAAGCTGAGGCTGGGGGACACACATGCTGGGTGTGGAGTCACGGGGAAATCCCGGGCAGCTGCCTTCCACATGATGCCAAGTAGAGGGATGGGATGATCGAGGGGAAGGGGGTGGGAGGGGGAGGGCCACCACTTGGTCTGTGCTGAGAAGCCAGGTGGCCACACTGTGGGGTGAAGCCTGCAAGGCCCCCAAGAGAGTCTGAGACAGGCATTGGTGGCTCAGGGCACTGGGGCCCCGCATTGCCCAAGACTCCCACAACTGGCCCTGGGGTCAGAGGTGAGCAATGGCGGCTCAGGAGCCAGGCCCTCCAGCACCCGCTCTTGCAGGTAGAGAAGCAGAGGCCTAGGGAAGGGACCCTAGGCCTCACTGCCTCAGCTCAGGAGCCAGCCCTAGGGACACATGGGGGCAGTATGGGACAAGGGCTGATACGGCCCATCCCCACAATGGCTAGTGGCCAGGGGTGACACTCACCTTACCACTGATGTCACTGACAGCCACATGCACAAAGATGGAGGCCTCTTCCATCCCTTCCAGGTACACGTGCCGGTAGCCTGGAGCAGCACGGATCAGTGGGATCATGAGGTGTCAGCTTCCCAGGGCCCCCACCTGCTCTGTCCCCCACCAGCCCATTCTACTTAAAGGTCTCAAGACCCCAAATACAGCCAACAAACCCAGGCCGGGGACCTCTGCCTCCTGTAGGCCCAGTACTACTACTCACCTCCTCCAGGAAGCCCACTGGCATTGCACCAGCCTACAGAGACCTCTACCTGGGGGTGACCTCTTCTGTATAGGCTGCACCTCAGCCTGACCTTCAGAGCCCCAGGCTGGCTCTCATCTGGTCTTTGGCACCCTTCCTGAGGGTGACCTCTCCCCTACAGGCCACAGGCCATGCCCCAGCCTGACCAGCAGAGCCCCAGGTGGCTTCCTCCCATCCTCAGCCCTCTTCATGGGGGTGCCCCAGCCTGACCCGAAGAGCCCCAGGCCGGCCCCCCTGTCCTCAGCTCCTGTCTCTTTGGCACCAGGCCCACCCACACAGGTGCTGACCCACAGGGGAAATGGTATCTGCCCTGCCCCAGGGCCTCAGCCAGTGTGGGGGGGCACCATGTCCACCCATGCCCACCTGGCATCATGCTGCTGAAGGCCAGAGTTCTCTGGCCAATGAAGTCACGCCCGATGGGGTCGTGGTCCCAGACGAGGAATCGGACCAGCGCGATCTCTGGCATATGCACCGTGAACACCAGAGTCTCCTCCCAGGTGGGGTTGAACCCTGGAGGCAGCGCCAGGAGGAATGTCCCACGGGCAGGGCCCAGCTCCAGCTTGGAGGCCCCCGGCCCACACCACTCCTGCTACTGCTTCCTGGGCTGTCCACTCACAGAGGATTGGGGCCCGAAGTATCAGCAAGGGAGGCCTGGCAGAGCAGCTGGCACAGCAGGCAGCCCTGACCCTCCCACCTCAGGCTGCCGTCAGCAGTGTGACAGTGGTGCTGGGGCCTGCCTGCAGGGCACAGTGCCCTCCCAGCGACGAGTAGGCCCTGTTGCCCACCCCGGCCCTGCCAAGGCCCGAGCCTCACCATTGTCATCCACCACGCGGGTCTGCTCCCTGCTACAGTCCACGGGGAGCCCGATGACCTCCACCTCCACAAAGGGGTCGATGATCTGGGGCACAGGCATGGGGCACATCAGGCCCATCGCCATGCCCGCCCATCCCACCCCACCCCTACCCCACCTGCCTGTGCAGGGCCGGCCCTACCTCCCCACGGTCCCCTAGCATGGAGTCACGTGGCTTGGGGAGCTGTTGGCCACTGATGATCCGGAGCACCAGCTGCTTCTTGAGCTGCCCGGGCAGGGGGTCCTCTGAGTTGGGGTTGAACATACCTGAGAGGGTGTCAGGCATGGGGTCAGTGGCTCAGCCCTCGGCAACACCCCCACTCACTGGTACATGGCTGCCAACAGCCCCCTTCCAGCCCCCACCTAGGAGACTGGAGCCAGTGCCGGGTGGAGGGAGGAGACAGCAGTGCAGTGGGAGTGCCTCGGAGGGCAGGTGCGGCAGGCCCAGTGTGGGTCACTTTTGTGGCCACTGCAGCACATGGGACAGAGCCTAGGCCTCCCATGGGTGAGCAAGGAGGTCACACAATGGGGGTGGGTCTGGGTCCCTGGGGGTATGTGGGGTGGGGTCTCTGGTGCCAGTGCCCTGGGGCCCACTCAGTGTGAGAACTCTGAGGAGGACAAGCAAAGGACAGAGGTGGGAGAGGAGCCAGGGCCACACGAGCAAGCTGGAACTCAACCACAGCAGACAAAATGGAGGGGAGGAGGTTCCTTCAAATGCCCAGCCCAGTCCCAGATCCTAAGACCCAAAGATGGGCTGGGCACAGGGGGATGGGCCGCTGGCATTGGGCCCCCCTCAGGCAAGCCCTGCCATGAATCCCACGTGGGGCCCAGGCTCCTGAATTCTCCATCCCTGGATTCCTGCAGAGCTGGGCTGTTGTTTGCAACCCCAGCAAGGAGGGTTTCCCCACCCATCTCCCCAGCGTCCTGGAAGCTTCGTCCCAGCCTGATCCTTCAGGGGACCCTGACAAAGCTGCCCACCCCCTTGCCAGCCTGTGGGGCTCCGATCTCTGTTCTGGGGACACCCAGGAGGCCCGTCCAAGCCCTGAGCGTCTGAGCGCCTCACCCTGGCACATACACTCGGGCTTGAGTACGTAGCCACAGCCACCATTGGCACTGAACTTGGCTCGGTTCAGCTGCAGCATCCGCCCCTCTGACTGGTAGTTCAGGGCAACTGTGAGAGGGACATAAGGCTGCCTGGTCAGTACCTGACCTTCCAGGCGTTTTGCCCCCTGCCTCCCGCCACCACACACCAGCACCCCCTGCACAGCTGCTGCGGGTCTGCTGTGTGCCCCTCGTACCCCTGATATGAGTGGTGACCCGAGGCCTCCACCTGTGCAGGAGTGGGGCCTGACATCCTGGAGGGATGTCCCCAGAGCCAGTGCACCCTGGAACCTCGGGGACAGACCTGCACCACCTCTCCTACAGCCCCCCTGAGGTCTTAGGGACCATGCCCCAGTGCCAGCCCAGTGTCAGTGTCGACCTGGTGTAGGCAGCAGGCCTCAGGGGTGGAGGCTTCAAGGGCAAGAGAGCCCAGCATAGAACCAAGTCCCCAGTGGGTCCCTGCTCGCCCCTCAGGGTTCAGGGACTGTCTGAGCCGAGCCCTCCCAACAGCCCGCAGCGCACCGTGCCCACACCCACCCATCTGGCAGCCGGCGTTCCAGAAGGGCTGCGGGTTGTAGTTGCTGGAGTCCACACGGTAGGAGGAGGGGTAGATGCGGGAGAGCTGCTGCTGGTTGAAGCGAAGATACTGCACCGGCTTCTGCTGCAGGATCTGCTGGGCCTTGGTCTCGCTGAAGGACGACACCTGCCAGCTGGATGCCGCTGTGGCACCGGGGGCTGGACATCAGACGCCGAGTCCTGGAGCTCGCCCGGTGCCCCGCAGCGTAGCAGGGGTGGGGGACAGGGAGGCCCCCACCCGTGGGCCCCGGTCCCCGAGCCTCTCACCCTCCACCTCTATGTCGTGGGTAGCCACGGACTTGGTGTACTTCACCAGGTCGGAGAGGGCCCGGGACAGCTGCATGGTCTTCTTCTGCCGTGCCGTCCTGTGGCGTGTGGCAGGGGTGAGCACCCCTCCCATTCAGGGCCAGCCTGGCACCCAGCTCCATGAGATGGGCTCCAGGGCTCGGGCGGGTTCATTAATTCACGCGGCAGCCCCTGAACCCTCAGAGACAGACCCCAGACTGGGACGCAGGCCACGGAGACCTGAGTGCCGGCAGGACATGGGCAGGCTCGGAGCTACCAGCAGGTGTCAAGGCCCCAAGCACCATGTGTGTGTGCAGAGAAGGACGTAGCCTGCCAAGCATGGCAGGGGTAGGGCTTCTGGAAGGTTCTGAGCAGGGAGAGCTAGGGTCGGGACCTGGGTCTGGCCTAGAATCACTATGTGGAGAGGAGGCCAGGGGTCCAAGGGGGCCCCCGAGTTGCCCAGGCATGTGGCCGCCCTGCCCCACACACCACACCCCCACCACTTCCCACTGCTTCCAGGGGCCGGGAAAGGGGTGGGTCCTGCCCAGCTCAAGGATGGCCATGATGGGGTCACCACAAAGAAGGGGCCAGCTAGGCGAGGCCCCCAAGAGCGTGCAGGGCCTCCCCATGGGGCAGGGCACCTACCCTCGGCTCTGGCCTCCCGGGGAGTCCTGGCCCTCGTCCACGCTGGCTGCCTTCTTCAGCTTGCTGCCCTTCTTCTGTGCAGGAGGCAGAGGCATGAGCTGTGGGGCCCCTGGCCCAGGACAGGCCTTGGGGAAGTCTGGGGGGTTAGGAAGGGCCTGTCCTCAGGGTCCCCCGAGGCCTCCCATGTCCATCCCGCCTAGCTCTGCCTGCCAAGGCCTCCTCAGTGCCCTCTCGACCTGGGCTCCGGCGGCCACAGGGCACCTGAGCTTGGGGTGAGGGCCAGAGGCGGGAATGAGCCAGGAAGACGCCTGCTCCCACCAGCTTCCAGCCCAGGCTCCTGGCCCAGCCACTGGCACCTGCAGCCGGCCGCTCAGCCCAAGACTCAGAGGGGATCCTGCAAGCCAGGCCGGGAACCCTGGGGGCTGTAGGAGACCCCCATCTGCTCTGGCTGGGGCAGGGGCCGCTGGGGCACTAAGAGCAGTAAGGACGCTGGGCCCAGACGGGGACCCTGGGCTGGGAGCTGCACCAGACCTTGCGCCTAGAGAAGTTTCCCACGACAAGGCGGCTGTTGCGTCTGCTGGCCCCAGCGTACTCCCCAGATTCCACGTCCTCTTCAGCCTTACTCTGAGTCCAAGGGAGAGACAGGGACAGGGTGAGCCCAGCCTTGAACCCGGCAGGGAGGCTGGGGCAGCTCCCTGGTGGCCCCAGGAGGCCTTCCTGCAAGAGGTGGACTTGAAAGGCCTGGGGGCAGAAAGGCAGGGTGGGGCCAGGTTGGGGAGCTCCTGTGGCTGCTGTTCCCAGTCCACCCTGGGGCAGAGGCAGTTGCTGGTGGGAAGGCCCTGGGAGGCAGGCCTGTGGGGGGAACATTCACTCACGCTGCCTCAGTCTCCCTCCTGTGTTGTCTTGAACTCATTAAGTTCCCAATTCTGAATTTCTTCCCCACCAGTGGAGACTGCATAATAAATGCATTTGTGTGTCTGGAATATTCCTCGGCCAGGGCTGCTTACGAAACCCTTTTATGAGCATTCCTCAGCCCTCTGCCTGGGCCTCTTCCCACAGCACGCAGGTATCACCTCATCAGACAAACAGCTCCAGGTGGGCGCACCCCAAGGCAGACTCTGAGCCGGGAACCCCAGGATGCCACTGTGAGCCTTCTGATTGCTGTGCAAGCAGCAGGCACAACTAGGGCTCCGCTCCCTGCCCCTGCCCCTGCCCAACCCAGGGCTGCATCCAAACTGCTCATTCATCCCAAAGCTCATTCCTGACAGAGTCACCAGAGCCTCTGCCACCCCGAGCCCTGCAGCCCCTTCCACTGACACCCCCAAAACTTTGTCCAGCTCTGCTCAGGGGGGTCTCCCATCCCTCATCCTGTCCCCACCCATGGGGGGGCTGCTTTCTTTCAAACACCACGAAGCTGTGGGCCCGAAGCAGGGTCCCTGTTAGAGAGGGGCTTTGACCAGAGGCAGACACGGTGCCCATCCATGGCCACACCCCTGCACACGCCCACACCTCTGGACACATCCCTGCCACACCCACAGCACACATGCCTCACACACCCACGGATGCTCCCAAGACCACAGACACGCAGCGCTCAGCCTTGCCACAGCCAACAGTGCCTCCTGCTCCCCGGCCTCACCAGCCTAGACCGGCGCCTGCCTGGACACTTCCTCACTGGGCATATTGGAAATCAGGACACACATGGCAGGCCCCATGCCAGGCGGCCTCTCGGTCCTGTGGACATGACTGGGGAGCTCCTGCCAGCCTCTCTGTGCTCTGGGTAGCTTGGCCTGGGTGTGTGCCCTGCCCCTCCTTCACCCTCCTAGGGAGCCAGGATAGGATCGGATGGCCCTTCCCATGGCCCAGAGTGGCCAAGGGACCGTCCCGTTCCCAAGTGGCACTGGCCGGAGCCCAAGGCCCGGTGTGCACCGCGGCAGAAGGCTCCCGGGTTGTGCAGGCCCTGCAGGCTCGGAGGTGTTCCTCTCTCTCCACCTCCAGCAAAGCCAGCCCCAAATTCCTCTTAATTTATTGATGCCACGGCTGCCGGGAGAGGCGCTGGGAGCCAGATTCACAGTGTGCCTGGGGCCAGTCGGAGTCGCCACAGTTCAAAGCTCCTTACAGATCCCCAAAATGCTGCAGTGACCAAGAGCCGCAAGCGACTGTCCATCCAGGCATGACTGAGGAGAGGCATGTGCTGACCCAGGAGATGGCCATCCGGCCAGACACAGCACGTACTACACGGCCAGACCTGCTGTCACTCCGGGACTCCCACACAGGAGACAGCAACACCCAACCACACTCCCAGGGGCTCGGACAGCAGAAGGCCAGAAGGAGAGGGGCCTGGATGAGGGCAGAGGGTCTCAGCCAGCAGCAGACCCCCCAGCCCTGCCTGTGTGGGGAGAGGGTCCCTGTGGGGCGAAGCTGTTGGCAGCATAAGCACTCACTGGGCTGTGCCCACATCTCTGCAGATGGGTCCCCTCCTTACCCATCCGGCTTCTCTCCCCCAGATACCCATTCCTGCTGCCCCCAGGCCTCAGGGGCCCATGAGAAGAGCCTTGTGTCCTCAAGGTTCATGGGCAGAGGGGATGCTGCCTAGCCCAGGGGCACAGAGAGGCACAAGTGTCCCTCGGTGGGGTGTGCCATCCCCATGACCCCCAACACAGACACCCCCTTTACCAGGGCCTCGCCCCCAGTGAGCTCCAGGGCTGAATGTTCCGGCCTGGCCTGGGTATCAGCCCCGCCCTCTCTTGTGCCACAGGCTCTGAGATTCTTCTGGTGTGTGTCCCCACCCGGCAGGTCCCATCTCACCAGGGTGGGACCTCCAATCCTCCCTCAGCCTTAGTGGCTATGCCTGAGCCCCTCATCCTCCTGCAGGAAGGCTTCCCTGAGCCACTCAGACTGAGGTCCACAGGGGATCGCTCTCCTGGACCTGAAGATGCATTTCCAGGTTTTGCACAGGTCCAGCTGGCTGCCCAGGGAGCCACAGATGGCCATTCTCCCCACCCAGACACCTCAGGATAAAAATAAAGGAACGCCTGTCGGCTTGGGACCCGAGAGCCACCACCTGCACAGGCATGTTCCTCGAGCTCTCCTCAGTGTCAGCTGTGCCGAGTGCACTCAGGCCGTGGGTGGAAACACAAACACCAGGTCTAAAAATACTGGTCCTGGAAGGAAGGGGACATGGCACCCCACCTGGCCCAGGAGGAGTCACCTTCCCACCCTCCCTGAGCATTAGGACAGGCAGAGTCGGCCGGCACCACAGGGCACAGTAGGGTGCTCCAGGTACCAGGAGAGTCCCCAGCACTGGCGCCCCACAGCACTGTCCCCCTGGGGAGGGTCTTCAGGGCCCACCCACATTCCCCACCCAGCCCCACCCCCCGCAGGACTGCAGGACCCGCCAGCCACAGCTCCTGGCTCCTTCAAGGGCTACAAGGAGGCTGTGGGACCTGCCGACCCTGCCTGGCACCTCTCACCCACACACACACCACTGCGTCTGCCGTGACAGCCCCCAAGGGCCATTCGCTCCACGTGGAAACTTCCCCACGTGGCCATGACCAGCTCCAGGCAGGGCATAGGAAGGGAGGGCAGTCGTGTCCCCCCAGCTGGGAAGCTCCCAGGACTGGCTGGGCTTTGAGACCCCGCTGGTATGTGGGCATGCATGTATGCAGGTGTGTGTGCCAAAGTGTGCTGTGTGCAGATTTATGAGCACACACACCACCTGTTCTGGGGCCCTCGCTGGCCCACAGGCTGGCTGTCAGGGGTTTTACCTTTTTGGCCTGTACCTTGCGTCCGAGTTTTCCGGATGGGGACAGTGTGGAGACAGAGAAGTCGTTGGGATCCTCACAGTCCCGAATCTTCGACTCCTTGATGAGGGAATCCAGTTTTCTCTTAGCAATGTTTTCCACACGCTTTCGATTGGTGGACGCCTGTGGACCCAGAGGCTGGCCTGTTGGCCTCTGCCCCAGCCCTGTGAGCAGTGGTGGTGACAACTCCCAGGGTCACAGCACTCCACCCACCCCAGGCTCATGGAAGTCATATGATTCACTTTGGACCTACAGGCAGCCACTGGCAGGACAGGAACCCAGGCCCACCTGATTCCACCAGCAGCATGAAGCTGCCCACGGGCGCCCAGCAGAACCTGTGTGGCCTCTGGCCCTGTGTCCTGGGAGGTCAGCATGCCAGCAGGCGGCACAGGTTCTGGAGTCTCACCACTGGCTGCCATGTACCTCAGAAGATGGCAGGGCCAGAGGCAGACTTCACGCCAGCCTCCAAGTGGGACTGGATGCCCTTCCCTGTCAGTGCAGCCCTTGGTGGCCCTGATGAACTTGGAACCCTTGAGGGCAGGGCCTGGGCCTTGGGGGTCAGATGCCCCGGTGCCAGGTTGGAGTGGGCATGAAGCTAGGAGCACCATGGAGCTGGTTTTTGCCATCACATGGGCCACACAGAGATGCGCACCCCAGGCAGGAAGAGTGCTGCTGCCTCAGGACTTTCTAAAACAGCTGGCCACGTGGCCCAGGGCAAAGCTGCTCAGTCATCTTCCCATACCCGGCCCCTCTGGGAGAAACGGCCTTCGCCACCTCGCTGCAGCAGCCCCAGACCAGTGCCCGGGGGAGAGGAGGTGTGGCTCCCCCGAGCCCAGCACTGCACGGGACCCTCCCGACTGCGCAGCCCCCGTCCCGGCCCTGGCGAGGACACAGTGACAGTGATTGGTGGGGGTGACTGCTGCCGGGATCCCCACATCAGGACCAGCCTTAGAGATAGAACTGCTTGGAGGTGAGCCCAGCACTGGCCACCCAGGCTCTGGCTGGATTTGGTGGGGAAAAGGCCAGGAAGCTGGGCATGCCAGGTGCCGGCGGGAATGGGGTAGAGTCTGGCATGGGACCTGGCCCCCAGTAGTGCCCCCACTTGCTGAGGTGCCAAGAGGGCAGGGCACCCCAAGAGTCAGCTCAAATGTGGGAGCTGAAACCGGGCACGGGCAAGCCTGCAGCACTGTCGCAGAGGGGTGGCTGGGCAGGGAGGACCCCCCAGGCCCTGGGCCACTGTGCACATCTGTCCTAATGTCCCTCTGTCCCGGATGCCACCCTTTCCAACTTGCCCCAATAGCAAGGATAGACAGCTGCTCTTGGGAACTGCAGGCTCCACCCTCGCCTGCCCCACCCCCACCCCACTCACATCCCCATTCAGGAGCTTGCAGTCATCATCAATCTCATCAGCACTGTCCTCATCAGACACCTCGCCTTCCTCCGCATCCTCGCTGATGTTGGCTGGAAGCTTCTTCCCCTGGGGGAGGAGAAGCATGATGGGGGGGCCCTGGAGAAGATGCTGGGAAGCCAGTACCCCGCACCCACAAGGAGCCATTGGCCAAGGAGAGGGACCTTTTCTCAAGCTCGGTTTTGGAATCCCAGCCACAGGGCAGGCCAGTTCCCCATGGCTGCAGCAGTGTGGAAGGAAAGGCCTGGATGTGCATGAGGAGGTCCTGAGACAGAGTGACCATCGTGGGGAGATGGAGGCCAGGCCAGGGGTGCAGACAGCCCTCAGCCTCCCAAATCTGCCCACAGATGGCATGATGCCCCTGCCTATCTGGAGCAGGGCACTGCCCCAGGCCCAAGACTTGGCGTGAGCTGGTCCCAGGAGGGCAAGGGCTCACTCACCTTCACAAGGATCTTTCCCTTGAGCATCTGTGGAGAGGGAAGTGTGGTGGCATCCTCACTGCTCACAGACGACAGGTCCAGCTTGTCCCCGAGGATACCAGTCAGGTACTGGGCCATTTTCTTCTGCTGGATGACACTGCAGTGGTTCTCGATGGACAGGATCACTGGGTACCTGTGCCCCCAAGGCAGAAGGAGCAGGATGAGACCAAGGCCTCAGAGGATGGGTAGGCCCCATCTCTGCAAGATCCCAGGTCACCTAAACCATTGAGTGAGGAGGGGTCTTCACCAGGAACCCAAGGACAGCTGTGACTACCAGCAGCTCTGGGAGGTGGCCCACCCATCAATGGCTTTGAAAAGCAATTGAGTGGGTGGGAAAGGAGCTGGGAGAATCTTAAGCGCCAGTAAAGACAGTATGAGCTTCTTTCCCCAATAAGGAAAAAAACAAAGGCAACTAGAAACTCCAGGAAAACAAAAGAACATTTGAAAAAGTCATGGTTTTAAAATGATGTGGACAAAATCGAGGTGCAGCATAGAGCAATAGATAGGCTGGAAACTAGAATCTCTTTGGCCTAGATACTGAGGACACTGTCCTCTGAATGACCCTGGGGTCCTGCCATTGGCCCATAAAGAAGGAGACATAAACCTGGCACACACCATCTGGTGGAAGACAGTTATTATGCGCCCAGTGCAGAATGGGGAGTGCAGCAGGGACTTTTAATTACAAGCTTTTCAGCTTCATTTTTAACCATTTTACTTGGACTTTTACCAAAAGGCAGCCATGATTCTTTTAGAAAATGTAAGTGGCCCAGAACAAGAGAGCATGAACCAGAGCAAGATATGAGCAAGTCGTGATGAGAGGGCAGGCGGGGTGCAGGGGCACAGGGGCTCCTATCCCCACTTCTCAGGCCAGAAACTGAGGCCTGAGGCCCAGGGACTGCAGGAGAACATTGTGCCTGCACAGATTACACTGGTCATGAGGGGCAACCCTGTCCTGAGATACCAGCAGGCCCCTGGCTGCTCCCAGCTCATCCCTCCTCCCCCTGCTTTCCCCCCATGCCCTGCAATGCCCTCCCTACCTACAGACCCAGGGGTAGGGCTGGCTCAAGACAGGGACAGGAAGGGCCCGCTCTTCCAGGAGAGGCCGTCTATTTCTGTTTCCTAAATCAATCTTGCTTCTTCTCCCTTCCTTCATGCAATTAGCTACTTGCCAGTCTGTGAGCCTTGTGTAGCCAGGACTCAAAGGTAACTCAAACCACACGGGGAGGCAGCCTTCTAATTCCAGAAACTAAATTGGATGTTCTTCAATGGTGTCTACAGTCTCAGCTAAGTGACGGCAAATTGAGTCTGGATACAGAGTGGCTTCTCAGGGTTGGTAAGTGTGGGAGCCACAGTTACCATGAGCCCTGGCACCAGGAGATGCCACCAGGCATGTGGACGAGCTGCTCCTGTGAGGTCCCCGCCTGGACCTGCGGCCACTCCCTCCCCATCCCTCTCTCCTCAACAAGAGATGCCAGAATGAAACCAGCACCCGGTCACCAGTCACTGCCCCTGAAAAAGGATATGTGGGTGTGGCAGGAAAAGCCAGAACCTGGAGACCCTCCCCTGCCCACCGCGGGGGCCAGCCGCCCAGGCCCAGCCACTCACTCATTCTTGATGAAGGCATATTTGTTGATGGTTTCGATGACATCTTTGAAGAGGATCTTGGAGGTCAGGGTGTAGCCATGATGCACGATGGGCTCCCCGTCCGGCCCATCCCAGCAGTCCACTGCAGGCAGGCAGACCTCGGTCAGCCCCAGGGCCTGGCCACAGTGAGCCCAGGCAGGCTGAGCTCCAGCCAGAAGGGGGCCTGTCCCCTTGCTCAGTGTGGCACACAGAAGAGGCCTTCCCAGCCCCTGCCCAGAGACCCCCAGGGGCTCCTCAGGCACAGCCCATCTCCCATAGCTGATGCCAGTCCGGCTGCAGCCCATAGTCCAGGGCTCACCCTCCACGCAGCGGCAGCCTGCCTGCAGGACCCAGGCATACATGTCCACCCGTGACTGGGACATGAGCTGGTCCCCCACAAGGTAGGTGTTGTGGGACGAGGTGATGAAGTAGTGGCTCAGCGGGCGTGTCATGTCCTGGTGCACGCAGTGGTGCTCAGGGTTGAAGATGTCCCCAGCGGGGCTCCTCGTGTAGTTGGTGAAGCCTGAGGACAGTGCGGCGTAGGGGCCGTGTCAGCCCGCCCCCGGCCTCCTCTCATGGCCACCTGCCCCGACTTGACAGGACACAGAGCAGCTGTCCCAGTCCACAGGCTGGGCCCTCATTGCCCCTCCAGCATCCCAGGACCGCCAGGCAGACGGCAGCGCCCCACTCACCATCGATGCCCAGCAGCCCTTTACTCCTGTTTTCGGGGCACGGCTCAAACTGCTCGATGATGTCCTGGCAGCTCTCCAGGGTCACACCGGTCATCTAGGCCAGAGCAGGGGCATGAGCCCAGGGAGCCCATCCCTGACCTGGGAAAGCCTCGACCAGCTCCACCTGACTGCTGTGCTCTGTCCATCAGCCAGCTCCCCTCACCGCTGTCCCCTGTCTATCAGCCAGTTCCCCTCACCGCTGTCCCCTGGCCATCTCTGATCACACCGGGGATGGCCATGGCGGGGGCACTGGCCAGCCACCCCCAGTGTTACATGACTTGGGACTACCATGGGTCACATGGTTTTTGGATGCTTGCTCTGACTGCAGACTCTGACAGCACCGGAGGGGCCTCTGACCTTGTCAGCTGGACCACCCCCCACTGGTGTGAGGGCTGTGGCCCAGTGTGGGCCTGGCATGGAGCAGAGGCCATGTGGGGTGGGTACAGGAGAATGATGACCCTCATGCTAAGGCAGGCACAGGCAGCCCCCTTCTCCAGCTCCTCCCGCTGTCTGCCTAAGCCCCCACACACTGACCCTCCCAGGAGAGCTGAGCACCAGGGTCCAGGCCAGCCTAGGCCACCCCAGGCATCACAGGCTGAGGGACCTCCAGGACCCTGTGGTGCAGCCAGGCCAGGAGCTGCCACCCCACCAGCAGGCTTCTTGGAGATCCCTGGGAACATGGTGAGGTAATAGGTCAGGGAGCCCAGAGCCAGCTGTGGGCCCCTGGGAGGCCCAGCAACCAGGGGTCTGAGCCAAGGGCACCAGTTGCCAGCTGGAGGGTTCTGTCTGGCTCCTGAGTGAAGGGAGGGTTCCAGAAGGCTTGGGACAAAGGTCAAGGAGGGAAGGGTCGCTTCTGTCCACCCCCATCCAAGTCCCATTCCCACCATTGCCTTTACTGGGACAGGGCCTACTGTCTGCAGCCAGGCCACCCACAGCCACATGCTGGTGCCACCCCTGGTGGCCGGGGCACAGGGCACCTGAGACAGGGGGGTCCAGTTGGCTGGTGCCAGCCTCCCATGCCTCCTGGGCATCATGCCTGCAGGATGGAGAAGCCGCTGCCATGGGATGGAACCCTGAAAGCTGCACCAGCCAGGTGGGTGTCTCCTGGGAGCTCAAGCCCAGGGGAAGCTCTGGGTTTGTGGTAAGCTCAGGGATGGGGTACTGCCATAAGATCCTGCATAAAACCCACCCAGGCCTGACCTGGGCTTCCCAAGGCCCCTCTGCCACTCCCATCCTCCCCCTAAGACCATCACCAAGAGGCTGACAGTCCATGTGGCCAGTAGAGCGGAGGTCCCTGAGCAGCTCCAGGCCAGGGCATCTTGGCCCCTGAGGCTTACCCTGTCCCATCTCTCCTCCCTGAAGAGGGTCCAGGGTCCTCACTTGTACTCCTGCAAGGCCTGAGGGTGGCCACACGCAGTCTGAGCCCCTCCCATGGAACCCTGTCCTCACTGGGGCTCTGGCCTTCCTGTCTACCACCTGGCTGGACCTGCAACTCCTGCCACCAGGACACGCGGTACCCATTCCCTGCCCAGGCCTGGGACAAGGTGGCCAGAGCCCTGAACCTCTGGACACTAGGTCCCTAGTCAGTGGGCAGCATCCAGAGAGCACTTGGCTTTGGCATTGGTCTCTAAGGATGGCCAGGCCTTCTTGGGGTCTAGATAAAGGGGTGTGCATGCCCCTCTGGGATCCAGGAGGTATCTGAGTGTCTGCTGGACAAATGCGTGAGTGGACATCGTGGCAGGCCTAGTGCCCTAGGGCAGCAAGTCAGCCAGACACATATGGCTGGAACACAGAGGCCTCAAAGGCTGGGCCTGAGGACCCTCATTCACAAGATGCTCAACACCAAACCAGGAGCATGGCCGAGGTGGGGGGCTGCAGGGTGTCCACGGTCAGGACTGAGCCATTCAGAGGCCCCTGGAGAAGAAACCACAAACCTTCCCACCTGCCTGGCTGCCCCACAGGGCGTACTCTGTAATATCAAAACTAAAGCCAATGCTGGGGGCTCTCAAATGCCAGGCTGTGACCTGCCCCACCCTAAGTTCTCAGTCAAAGCTCAGAATAGAAGGTGAGGCCTGATGGCCGCCCCACCCCTGCCTGGGGGTGCGCACCTTCTGCTCCACCTGCAGGAAGCGCTGCAGACCGGCGGCATCCAGGTGGTCCTTGTGATTGCTGTAGGTCAGCATGAGCAGGTAGAGGTCCCGGCGGGTGGACATCATCTTGTAGAAGGCACAGAACTCCTCAAACCCCAGTGTCCCTTGGTGGTCATCCGTGTCTGCTTCCTGCAATGCAAGGCCTTGGGTCCCCATGGACACCTCACCCAGGGCTGCATGCACAGGGGTCCTTCAGGGGCACTGTCACCCCAGTCAAAACCAACACACAAGCCCACCCTCTTATATGCCACTGCCCTTGTCACGGGCCACTCCCGTGCTCCAATCACTCCCCAGGTCACGGGCCCACCCACCAAGAGGAGAGTCCTGTGAAAATGCAGAGCTGACACACCTGCCGGATGCCACGTGCCTTTCACCTTCAACCCGAAAGCAAGTCCACTCAGCTCACACGGGAGCCAACACCACCAACACGAGAGCCAACACCCCCAACACAGGGGTCAATGCCCCCAACACGAGAATCAACACCACCCACAGGGGAGCCAACACCCACATAGAAAACACCCACACAGGAGTCAATGCCCACATGGGAGCCAACACCCCAAACACAGGGGCCAACACCACCCGCGTGGGAGCCAACACCCCATACGGCAGTTAACCACATCCCCTGGGCTGGAGCCGGGCAGTGCAGCAGAAGCCCAAGGTGTGCAGAAGCCGAGGGAATTCATGGTGGCAATAAAGGTGCCATGGAAGAGGATGCTTGAAATCCTTGAGCCTTAAGTATTGGAGCCTTGGTCCTACAAGGGAATGGGAGCCCAGAGCTGGGCACAGCAGGGTGAGAGCATGACCTGCTTGGAGGTGACATGGCCCCAGTGTGACACCCCAGCTCAGCCCTCACTCACGAGGAACACCAGGACACCCCAGCTCAGCCCCCACCAGGAGGAACACCAGGACACCCCAGCTCAGCCTCCACCACGAGGAACACCAGTGCCTCTCCCTGCAGTTGGAAGAATGTCAGAGCTCAAGGCTTCGGGCAGGGCCACGCTGACAGATGGTTTCACACCTGCCCAGCTGCTTGGTATCTCGAGGGGCATCTTGAGGGGCCCCAGGCTCCCCGTGAGCCACCTGCTGTCACCTCTGCCGTAGCCTCTCTGCTGATGACCTGGCCAGAGGTGAGGCAGGCTAATCAGATTTGCCTTGAAGACAGGGTTCTGCCTGTGCCTGTTCACCCCAGGCTGGGCACACCAATACCTGGCTGGCAGGTGTCCACCCACACTGGCTGAGTCTTCAGGCGCCCCACAGAAGTCCCAGACCAGGTCCCCTGAGAAGCAGAAAATACCTCCAGAAGTAGAGGAGGTGCTGCGCCTGCCACAGCAGCCTAGAGGCTTCATGATTCAGGCTCCCAAGCAAAACCCCACCGGGCCCTCTTCCCAGAGCCCACATAGGCTGAGGACAGCATGCTCTCAGCAACCCACCCAGGGGCTCCAAGGGGGCCTGGGAGGAGCCCAGAGCAGGGTTGAGGGAGCAGGCCACGCCTCTCAGGGCAGCCCCATGTCCTAGTCCACAGGAGGGCACCGCCTGAGCCTGGGGATGTGCCTCAGCTGAGCAGGGACTGGCACCAGTTCAGCACCATGGACAGCAGCAGCCACCAGCCTCCTGGGACCAACCTTGCCTCCCATGGCCATGATCTGGCGTGGCAGGGGATGATGGTGCCAGGTCCCCTGGGGTCCCCTCTGAGCCAAGGGGGTCACTGGTCAGGTGGCCCCATCACCCCCTTCATCCCTGTCCCCAGGAAAGAGCCCTGGCTGCCATCTGCCCTAGACTCATGGGGGTAGGTCAGGACCCCAGGGCCAGGCTGTGTGCCCAGGCCAAGGCTGGGATGAGGCCAGCATGGCATGAAGGACCCAGCTAGAGCCACATACACTGGGGCCCAGGGGGCTTGGCATGAGGTGTGAGGGCAGCTCCAAGTCTGAGGCTGCCCACTCACTGCACCCAGGACAACAGTGAGGGGACACACTGCAACTCAAAGGGGCCCCGTGGGACACAACCTGGACTGGTGGCCCTCCCCAGGCCTGTGGCTGAGCTGGGCAGATGGGGCCCCTCCATGGAGAGGCTGTGCACCAGCGTGAGCTACTCTCCACTGAGCAGGAGCAAAACTGCCTGGACAGTGAGGCCCTTGCGGGGCCTGAGCCCAACCCCAGAACACCCCAGATACAGTCACACAGCATCTTTTCTTCCCACAAAGGGAAGCTGCAGCTGTTGAACCACACCTTGGCCAAGCCTGCCTCGGTGCCCACCCAGTGTGCCCTTTGGCAATTAGGCCCCGCGCTGGGTCCAGCCCACTTCCAGCCTTAGCTTTGGTTGGATGAAATGAAGCTCAAGCCAAGTCTTTATCCACCATGCAGGGCCCTCTGATTAGGCAGCCGGGCAATGCGAGCCATGTTTAGCTTGACCACCAAACACCAGGGCCACTGCACGAGGCTGGAGTGCCAGGCCTGTGACCGGAGAGCCACAGCTGCCCCACCATTCCTCTCCAGAGCCAGACCTGCAGGCTTCCCCCTCTGCCTGCCAGCACCCCCTCCCCCACCTCTGCCTGCCAGCCCACACTGAGGATCGCCCTCCACTGCCTGGGGCTCCCTTGGGGAGGTCAGGCTAGACCTTTAGGCCCCAGAAGCCGTGCCCACTCATGTTGGATTCAGTGAGGGGCCTCTGTCTCCTCCTGCTCAGAGACCATTCTGGAGCCCGCACGCTAAGCCTGGCATAGCCTCAACCCTGTGGAAGGGCCTGCTGGCCCCAGAGCTGCCCCTGAGCCTGAATTTGGTTGGGGATGGCCCAGCCCAGGCAGGCAGGGAAAGGGGGTGCTGAGGTGCAGACTCAGGTCCCTGCCAGCCCCCAAGGCCCAGGCAGACTGTCCCCACTGGGGCCTTCAGGAGGGGCCTCTGAGCCCGCAGCAGTCCCCAGTGAGTGTCTGCAAGCATCCGGCCCCTAACTCAGGCACACACCCCATGCTGTGAGCATCCAGCCTCCCTTGCTCCAGCCAGGCATGACCAGCCATATACAGTGAGAACAGGCCAGAGTAGGCAGGAGCTGGCAGGGGCTGGATGTGGAGGGGCTGTCAGGCTGTGAGCGTGTGTGTGTGTGTGCCTGTATACATGTGTGTGCATGTGTGTGTGCACATGTGTGTGCGTGCATGTGTGCATGTCAGGGACCCCAGGGCCTGGCACTCTTACCCACAGAACCCTCTTTCCAAGACACAGCAAAGCAGCAACGCCCCGAGCCTGGTTTACTGGCTCAGTCAGCGTCACCGTAACCAGGACCTGCTGACGGGCAGAGTTCCTCTCCCCCAGCCCAGCAGGCTTTCCGGAAACAGAAACTAATTACAGACAATAAAGACGGCAGCTCAGCTGAATGCTGCATTTCCATAACTCCTATCATCAGGGTGGTTGGGCGAGGGCCACGTGGGGAAAGTAACAAGCGCATCGGACTGTGCCCCAGTAGGCCAGTGTACCCCCCTCAAGGCTGTGAGGCTGGGGGCCTGGGAAGGGGCTGCAGCTTCATTTGGGCACCTGCCCTGAATGCCAGTGCACTCACCTGGCAGGGCCTGTGCCAGGTGCCCTGACCACTTTCCCTGGAGCTGGTAGAGCAGACCTCAAACCAGCTGCCAAGAGGAGACACCAGGGGACCCCCACCTGCCCGCCTGCCATAGGCTGTGGGATGGCTGGCCAGGCGGCCCCTCCTCGGCAGTGGCCACTTTGTGCGGCTCAAAGGCACCGCCAGGGTCCTTCCAGCTCAGGCAGGGCTGGCTGGCCCCCAGCCACACCACCACAGCCCATGCAGCCCTGGCTCCGGAGCCCGGGCAGGACCCCGTGAGCCTCACCCTGAACATCTGCTTCACCCTCTGGCGGGGCAGGTTCACATTGAGCTTGTGCAGCAGCCGCAGGACCTCGCTGACGCTCAGGCTGCCGTCCCCATTCTTGTCCGCCTCATCAAACGTCTGCTTCAGCCACTTTGGTGCCGAGTTAGGGGCCAACAGGAATCTACGGGTCCAGCCCCGCCATCCCATCCTCCAGCCTAGGGAGGAGGGAATGGGGGATGCCAGGCTACTGGCCCCTTCCCCACCAACCCAGCAAAGGCAGGCCCCCTCCCCCACACAGGGCCAGCAGCCAGGGGCCGGTCCTGGGGTCTGCCCTGCCTGCTCAGTACCCAAGGATATTGGTCCCTGGTGCGCTGGCGGCGAGCCAGGCTGTCCTCATCACTGATGCCGGCCATGAGGTAGCGCAGGCCGGTGACCCAGGTGCGTGCCACCTCGCTGCTGGTGGAGACCAGGTCCAGTGACTCTCGGTGGCTGCCGTGGTAGATACTGAAGCAGCAGTTGTGGTCAAAGCTGCCATCGGGGTAGCGCTGGAAGACCTCCGACTGCCGCCCCTCACTCACCTCCTGGATGGAGTCGATGGAGACTGCCAGGTGGGCAGGGAGCACTGGTCAGGACACCCAGGGCTCAGCGTACCTCTGCCAGCAGCCCCAAGGCAGCAGTGACCAAGCACGTGGGAGCTCCTCACCCACCTATGCGTGACTCTCCACAAGGCTCGGGGGCCAGGGCTCAAGAACAAAGGGTGAAGAGCTGTGAGACTGCTCAGCCTCCCACCCCCACTGACCAAGTCCCTCCCTTTTTCCCCTGCTCCTATGGAAAAGACACAGCTCCCCCACCCACAAGGGAGAACGTCCACCGCCCCCCACACCTGCAGCCCCCAGTGCCCAACAAGCCCAGAGCTGAACGCTTAGCCAGCACGTCCCCATATTCTGAGAAATCCCCTGGCCACCTTCAGGGCTCCAGCGCTGCTGGTGAGACCGTGCCTCCAGGGACCCCAGCTCTGTGCTCAGGTGCATCAAGGCTCTTGTGACCTCAGGTCCCCTGGGGGCTCCGAGGCACGGCTCCCTCCAGGGGCCCAAGGTGGCTCCACCTTTGGCAACCTTTGGGCTGAGGTCTCGCCCAGGACACCTGGGTCCTGCCCATCAGCAAAGCCAGCAGAGACCCTGGCTGAGCCCTGCTCCCAGCCCTTGAGGACTGTCATGTCTCTCCCCAACCTGGGGGACCCCACCCTGTTCCCTGTGTGCCACAACCCTGCCTGCCTACCTGCTGCAGTCTCCATCTCAGGCAGCCCCTACTCCCTCCAGCCCCCCTTCCCAGCAGCTGCCTGGGCCAATGCTTGCCCATCAGCACACCCCTGTGGGGGTCATTTCTGTTTATGGGGAGCTGTGACCTCCCTAGCTAGACGAACTATGCTATGCCCCTCCTCCCAGCCCAGCACTCAGCACAGGGCTGGGCACAGCCATACTCAGTCCCCACTGAATTCCAGGGAGCTCAGCCAGGTGGGCAGGGGCCTGGGTCCCTCCCACCCTATAGCCCAGAGGTCACTGCTGATCCCCAAGACCACTGAGCCAGAGGTGTCCAGGCCTAGGGTCTCACCACCCCTCAACCATCAGCAGCTGCTCTGGGAGGCTTCCTACCCCGTGTGCCCCCAGGGACTCCAGCCTACCCCCACTCCAGGGCACCCACTTACTCTTGGCCTTCTCGTTCTTACGAGAGGGCCTCCAGCGGATGCAGGAGCGGTGCTCGTCCAGGTAGTAGAAGCGGACCAGGCCCTTGGAGCCACCACGCAGCTTTACCATCTGCATCCCCTCCTGCATGGCACCCAGGCATCGCTCCACTGCACACAGGAGACACACGGCTGTCAGCAGAGGCACGGCTACTCCTCACATCACTGGTTCTGCCCACACCACCCTGCCAGTGACGAGGCAAAGGCCAGGGCCCAAAGCCACCTCCACCCCAAGTGCTGACATGCCTGGGTCACACAGCCCAGCTGGGCCCTGCCACTTCTCCCCAGATGGTCCTGGGGACTGAGGGCCCTGCTCCCTACCCTGCTCAGCCACCTGGGAACCGGCACTGGGCCTGGGGTCCCAAGAGCCACCACTCTGACAGAGCCAGCACTGAACTCAACAGTGGGAAGGCCAGGCACAAGGCCAGACAGACGAGGCGGCTGACCCCAGCTGTCCAGGGCCACAGTGAGTGGAGGCCCCTTGCCAGGCACAGGGTGGGCCAACAGGCAGCAACCCCATACCCTGCCCCCGCCCCTGCCACCAGCCACAGGCGGCTCCTGGGAGCAGATATTCGCATTCCCGAGTGCCTGCGCCCCTTCCTGGGGCATCTCCAGGAGAGCCCCCACCCTTCAGGAGCAACAAGGGCAGTGCCATGAACGCCCCGTCCCAGGGCCTGCACAGCAGTACGGACTCGGGAGGCTGTGGGCTGGATCCGAGCTTCCCAACCCTCCCCTCCCTGAGGCCACCTGTCCCGTTCCTTCTCCTCCCCCCATCCATTCGGCCTCCTGCTCTTGCTTGTCCCAGGGGAGGGGGCTGCAGGCTCCGGAGAGTCCAGGCCAGACTCAGCCGCCCCAGCCCAGGAACAGGCTGGTCCCACCCCCTCAGGCCCTGTGCACCCACTCACAGAAAGCACGGATTCCAGAGGCACCATCTGCTAAAGTTCAGAGGTGCTAACCCCCTCCCCCACGTCTGAGGCTGAGGGACCCCAGGGGGCGTTGTGGAGGATTGGGACAGTACCAGTCAGGCTTCCTTGGGGAAGCTACTAGGTGATCAGGAGCAGAGGGGAACTGAGGTATGGAAGGCATGAGGGGCTGGGCTCTCTGGGGCACTCGGGAGGTAAAAACACAGGGGTGGCTGCAAGGATGTGGGAGGGAGTAAGGCAGGACCTAGAGGCCTACAACAGGTCAGCCCCGACCAGGCCCTCCGCAGGCCACCCAGACACATGCTCCGCCCTCCACAGGCCACCCAGACACAGGCTCCGCCCTCCGCAGGCCACCCAGACCCCCGCTCCGCCCTCTGCAGGCCACCCAGACACATGCTCCGGCCTCCCAGCCATGCCCAGCCAGTCTCTTCTGCAGTCTACTAATGGCAAGGGCCCCGACGTCCAGCCCGCCCAGCCACCTGGGCTGCAAGCACCACTGACCCCCAGAGCACAAGGGACCCCGTCAGTGAGAGCATGGAGCATTGGAGCCACTGAACTCCCCCAATCTTCCCCCCTGGGTTCAGCCCCGAGGCCCTGCAGGCACCTGGGAGACCAAGGTGTGCTGAGGGCGCTTCTGAGCGGCTGAGAGGCAGGGCCTGCTGATGCTGCCAGACCCACGTGACCCCTAGAGTGAGGGGGCGGGAGGGGAGTCAAGTGCTGGGGTGGGATAGAGCTGCTGGGGTGGGATAGAGCTGCAGGAGTGGGATGCAGCCCCAGGCTTCTTGCACCTCCACCTCCAGGAGCAGCCCCCACCCGCCAGGGCCCGCACTCAGCCTGGGCCGCTCCCCTGCCCTTTCTTACCCAGGGGGCCGAGCTGCCACTGTGAAGACAACACCACGCTTCCTCCGACCCAGAGGAGCACCTCTGCCAGCCAGGCCACCGTCCCCTTGGTCCGGCTCTCAAGGGAGGGCCAGGGGCCAGACATGCCCTGACTCTGGCCGGACCTGGTTCACGGAGGCCACAGAGGCCCCCCGGCCCTCAGGCAACAGAGATCAGGCAGTGGCAGTGCTGGGGCAGGACTTCCGTGGGGAGTTTTCTCCTCCGCCTCTTCCTCCTCCTCAGGGACCTCCGAAGCCCCCACAGGGCTGTGGCCAGGCCTGGCTGGCATTGGTCTGGCCGTCACCTGCTGTCCCTACAGCTCCCAGACCAGTCCACCCATCCTCCAGGGCCACCAAGGAGTCCCCAAGGCTGCCGAATCCCATGGCTGCGAGTGCCCTCAGCCCCGCCCAGTCTCTGACCCAATCCCTGTGCTAATCTCAGCTCCAGACCAGCTGGCGGAGGATTTAGGCTGATGGGACTCCCAGCTGGGCCAGGAGGACACTGGGGAGGCAACAGTGTTTCCCCAGGACCCAGGTCAGCCGATTTAGGGCTGCGGGACAGAGCAGGACCAAGAGGGGGAGGAGGATCCTCCTGGAACCTGGAGAACACAGCTGGAAGGCCTATGGGGCATGGGCCTCAGGGGACCCTATGTGGGATGGGCCTCCCCGCTGTGCACCCACCATGCTGAGGCTGGCCTGGAGTGGTCCCTGCCCTCACCCCACATCTCTACTTAGGAGGGCCTCTGAGTGGTTCCTGCTGACCCACCACACCGTCTCAGCTCCCACTGAGGTGAGGACCCCAGGTCCTGCTGCCACCGGGACCACATACCCACCCTGTTTACTGGCCTGGCACCACAGGACAGCACGGGCTCCCCCATCCCCAAGTCCAGGCAGGGACACCAGGGGCAGCTATGGGCATGGGAGGTGGGCAGACCCTGTTGAACACCAGCCACCTGTGTCCTGGCCATGCCCACGCTGCATGGCCATGCTGGGGGACCCTGCCCTTCTTCTCAGTCACTGCCCCAGCTGCACTGGCTCCAGCAACAAGGACCCCAAGGCCCCGGGCAACTGCCCTCTTCTCTCCACTCCAGGGAGGAGTTTGGCCTGTGTAGCCCAGGAGAGGGAAGTGCCAGGGCTGGGCATCCTGGCAGAGCCCTGGGGCCAAAGTCAGGCATGGGAGGAGGCAGCCCCTGAGGAGATGGCCGTGCATCTGCACTGACCACGGATGACCAGGGCTGTGCCTGGCCGGATGAGATGCACTCAGCACAGAGCCAACCCAGGACCCACCAGGGGCTGCTCACAGGCTCTGCTGCTCTTGGCGGAAGCAGGTCAGCAGGTGTTTCTGGGCTCTGCTGTGGAATTAGATTAGGGAGCCATGAGCCTTGGGGAGACGAGAGAGGCTAGAGTCCTGGTCATCCTCAGAAAAACAGGGCCTTGGGGCACGGCCACCATGTCAGGGGCAGCTCCGGGGCCAGGAGGCAGCCCGAGGGCCTGGAGACAGACCAGACAGCCACAGCCCTGGCCCAGGGCTCCGGTCCACTGATGCCTCGCCACACCAGACTACAGGCTTCCACTCCCACCAGGGGCATCCAGTTCTCCCTCATGCGCCTCAGGGACCTCCCGGCCTGGGACGCACCTGCTCTCCCCTCATCCTGGGCCTGGCCCCAGCTGGGGGTGCTCCTGCCTCTCACCCACCCCTCCTCAAAGCACCCCAAGGCTGGGCTTCTTCCGCCTCCCTCCCTCCCTCCCTTGAGCTCTCAGCCACTAGCTGGTCCCCCATCAGCTGGGGTTGGGGCTTAGAGGCCCCATCGCCTAAGCAGGGGTTCTGAGAGGGGCCGAGGATTGAGTGCCTGGCCCCAAATCCCCAATGTGGGGCCCAGGCTCCCGCACTCCAGGCCCCCGACCTCCCCAGCAGCCCTGGCCTAATCCTCCGCTGACAGGGCAGGAAAGGCCCAGCTAATCCTTCCTGGATGGCCTCGATGGGGGCTGCCCCGCCTGCCCTGAGGACCACAGTGACTGCCCTCTCCCTCCAGAAGTCGGGCAGACACACAACCGCAGCTGCTGAGTGAAGCCAGGGGCACCCCAGGCCAGGGACATGGGAGGGACCCAAGCCCAGGGACTTAAGAACCTTCCACCTGCTGCAAGTGGCTAGACCCAGCCCAACCCCCACACGAGGTCACGCCCATGCCACCAGGCAAGCCTGGCCCCATGGCCTCTGTGACCAGGCCGTACGCTCACCCTGCCTGCCCTGAGCCAGGGGCCGAAAGCCCACGGGGAGGCCGAGGAAGCCACACTGCTCTGCAGCTCCACACAAGGCCCAGCCCTCAGCCATGCTCCACACCCTCCCCCAGGCCACCTCGGCCCCTCCCGTGAGTCTGAGTCAGGACACCTGATGCAGGGGCTCAGGTGGAATTGAAGGGCCGCACCTGGCCGTGGGCCAGCACCAGAGGCAGACCTGCACCTGCCATGGCAGAAGTCGAGTCCTGGTCAGGGAGAGACATGGGCTCCATGGGGGAGAGGAGGAGAGACAGGGGCTCCATGGGGGAGAGGAGGAGAGACACGGGCTCCATGGGGGAGAGGACACAGGGGTGGAAGGGCCCTGGCTCACCCACTGCTCCCCCTGGTCCCTGCACACCACAGTGGGGGTCCCTAGTCCTCAGACCACTACCTGACCCCCGGGACATCCCTGGGCCAGGGACCTCATAGTCTTTCTCCCCTGCTCTGTCCCTGTGAGGCACACAGGGGGTGCTGGCTGGACACAGGTAGACAGGGAGGGACGGGATGGGCAGGACAGGGCGGCTAAAGGCCAGCAGGCCTGCTCTGAGGAGGTGACAGGAGCCAGCGCCTACACGGGAGAAGCCTCCCATACACCCAGATGGACGGACAGGCGGACAGGGCCACACCCCACTTGGGGGGAGTTCATGGGAGGGCTCTTCGGGCCCCATAGTGACACCCAGGAAGGCACCTGTGACCCTCGGGCTCAGCCCCACACCTGGGCTGCACGGCCTCACCCTGACTACCTGGTCCTGCCAGACCTGCCCCTGACCTTGGGTGGTCCTCCCTGTCTCGGTGCCTCAGTTTCCCTGCTGTGAAAAGTTTGCTCCTGCAGTCCCTCCCTTTCTTCCCAAGGCCTGAACCAGGCGGGCGGTAGCTGCTTAGAGGAGGAAGAGCAGCTGTCGGAAGCCAGTGCGGTGCTGGCTTAATATTGTTTTTATGTCGGAGATCGATCTTGTCCTAACAGCAGGCCACACGGGCCTCGAGGATGCTGGCAGCAACAGGCCGCTGGTGGCTCAGCATCTCCGCCTCCCCCACCAGGAAGGCTGGAAAATCAATGGACTCTTCCAACAAAACCCACGACTCACACCCACAGGCCTCCCAGCGCGTACACTACACACACCCGGGCACCTTCGGGTGCCACAGCCCCTCCCATGACAGGGCCCAGCCCCTTCTCTTCCCAAGCACGTATGGGGCGGGTGGGGGGCCCATCTCTTCCAGGCCGGTCCAGAGGGGGCCCTGGCTGCCTGTAAGCCCCTCCTCTCCCGAGGCTGGCTGCCTTTCACCAGGACCTTTCAAAGGGCCTCCCCAGCCATCAGAATGCCAGCAGCAGTGAGGTGTGAGGGCCAGATGCTCCTACAGCCCTTCCTGGCCCTGGACCTTCCACATCCCCAATGTCCCCCTCCCATGCTGCCCTCACAGCTGGCCCAGAGGGGCTGAGCCCGTGCTTGGGTGGAGGGAGGGAGGAGGAAGTGGCCGCCTTGCCCCAGCCATGGCGCCCACTGGGGATCAGCCCGGCCCCTGGACCGGCGCCGCACGGGAGGAAGGGCCGGGCCCACACACATATGGCGGAGATTATTTAAACGTCTCAGAGAAGCGACTTGTCCCCCCGCACGTCTGGGAGCCTCCTCCCCAACTATTTTTATTTGATCAGGAGTGTGAGTCTGTGCCTCGAGCCCTCCCCTCAGGCAGGACCCCAGGGTGGTTGTGCTAGGGGCCCAGGGGTCCCAGGAAGGGCAGAGGAACCAAGGGCAGGTGCCAGGGACCCATGGGGCTGGGGCCGCCCCCAGACACACATGGAGGGCACCACAGGACAGGTGCTCTGCTCTCTCCTCACAGCACCCTCCCTGTGGTGGCCATTCTCGGCCCCATGGCAGCACTCAGCTCGGCAGAGGAGTGGGCCGGAGGGGGCCCTGGGGCCTGGCTGTGTTCTGCCCTCAGTGGGTGGCTCCTGGTCAGTGTGCTCAGAGCCCTGGGGGAGCTGGGACAGCCAGCTCCCTGAAGGGTGGACAGATTCTCAATGGCCAGCCATGCTGCATCAGCCTTGCTGACCGACCTGCCCTCCACCTTCCACTGGTGACAGAGCAGGGGGAGGACAGCAGCCAGCCTCATGCTCCCCTGTTGGGCCAGTGGGTGCTAGGAGGACCGGGCTCCTGCAGGGTCCAAAAGGATGGCCAGCAGACACCTTCTTCTGTCATCCGGCCACCAGGTATGGAGGATGGGTGGGAGGACTTGTGACAGTCACAGGTGTCCAACGCCCTCAGCCAGGGTCCCACTTCCACAAAAAGGTGCCCCTCATCAATAATTTGTAGTCACTGGACACTCTGAGCAGTCGGCGGTGGCGAGTGGACAGGGCGGCCTCTGAGGCCGGTGCCCTGTGCCCCGAGCCTCCCTCCAGAGCAGCCCCTTCCTGGACCGGTGGGTGCCTGCCCACCCCAGGCCTCCACGCTCTCCAGCCGGCCAGCTATGGCCAAGGGGGCCCCAACACCTGGCCTTTCTTCAGCCTCCTCTAGGACAGCCAAGGCCAGGTCTGTCTCGGCAAGGGTCCCTCCCAAAGTGGGCTCCCCTTCCTGCCTCCTCACTGTCCCTGGCCATCCCCAACTGGCAGCAGCCCAGCTCACAGCGGCGGTATTAATCACACTTGACAGCCCCATCAGGAAGGGGATGCTATTATAGACCATTTCACAGCTTCCCCTCCTGCAAGTGTCCCCTCTGTGTGTCCCTGGGGGCTCCTATCCCTGCCACCAGCCACTAGTTTTTCTGAGGCCCTGGCTGCCTCTCTGCCCTCACTGAGAAGGACATGGCCAGCCAAAGCATCACACCCACCTCTCCTGGGGCTCTCTGAAGGCAGGTGCACTTCCCAGGGCACCCCAGCCACTACCCAGGGTACTCCAGAGGAGCTCCAGAGAGAACTAGGCTCCTGGCAGTGGCGGTGGGGGCGCCTTTCCTGAAAAGTCACCAGATGGAGCCCGGCCTGCCAGCTGGGAGAGGGAGCTCCTGCTGAGTGAGGGGAGGGGGCTGCAGCTCCAAGGGGAGGGTTCTTGAGCCACATGGGCAGAGCGAGCCCTGTCCCCAGCCCAGAGCCAGGCACAGGAGGGGCAGTGGGAGCTGGGCGGGCCGCCAGGCAGAGCAGGCACAGAGCCATGAAGGAGGCGAAGAAACAGGAGGAGGCCGAGCCCGCTGCATCCGCCCTGCACAGAGCGGCTCCTCCTGGCCAGAGCAGCCCAGGCCACCGCCAGGCCAGGCAGCTGCTTCCTCCAACAGCCCCTTGAATGCTCCTGCAGAGAGCCTCAGAAAGAGTGGGTGTCCTGGAGATGACCTGGCCCTCCGAGTTTCCCTGCCCAAAGTTTCTGGCATCTTGCACAGTTTGCTCAGCCCCTCTCTGGATCTCCCTGCTCAAGCTGGCCCTAGGGCTGGGCCGGCTGCCCTGTCTCCCACTCCTGCCTTTTCGGGGCCAGTGAGGTGCTCCCCAGGTCGGCCCCCACCCACACACTAGCTGACCCAGGAAGGGCACAGCGCTGCCCCTGAGAACTGAGCTGCCCGAAACCTGGCCCTTGGTCAGCTCCTCAACGGGGGCCTAATCAATGTGAAATCAAGACCACTCACTCCCTTGGAGGTGTGTTCCTGGGTGGCCAGGTCTGAGCATGAGGAAGGGACGCACCCTCAGGACAGCGTGGGCACCATCCCAAGTCAGGGCTGCACCCTGGTGCCTGGGACCTGCTGCTGCAGGAGCCCCTCTAGCCCCCACCTAGGTTCTGCTCTCTGGGCAGAGCTGGAGGGAGCTCCACAGCCCCACCAGAGTAGCTCATTTGTGTCTCTGACCATCAGCCACACAAGGGCCCCTCTTGGGGTCTTTACCCAGCTAGCATGGATGCCCCATGCCTAGGGTCACCCCGTGTGGGTGAATTCTCAGGAGCCACAGGAAGCATCCTGTCCTGAGATGGTGTGCACCAACCCTACCTGCCCCCATGCGGGAGGCCAGCGCCCACTCGCCTTTCCCACACAGGAAGTCTGTCCAGCCGGCGGGAGCCCACATACACAGCACTGGGAGCAAAATCCCGGGAAGAAACAGGCATGCTGGATTACTCATTCCCTTCCCTAGCCCCTCCCCCAGCCCACCCTCAATGAAGGTGGAGCCTCTGGGTCCAGGTCCCCAAGAGGGCCCACGGAACCCCCCACACACCTGCCCCAGCAAAGGGCACTGCCAGGGCAGGGGCTGGCCCATGGCTTCTCCAGGAGAAAGTGCCAGGAACTGGGATGCCATCATCAGCTCATTAGCTGTGCAGATGGAGGGCCAGACCCAGGACACCGGCCCATCTGCTCCATCCTCGGCAGCACGTGAAGTCTGTAAGGACTGTGCTGTTGGGTCCCCTCCCTCTGCCCAGGATGGTGGCACGGAAGGTGGGCTCAGAGCCACTCCCACCACTGCCCACTCCTAAGACTAACTAAGGAGTCCTAAGACTCCTTCCCTGGCTGGCTACAGACTCCAGGTGTGCTGGGTCTCCCGGACCTTACGGCTTCAGGGCCATGTGGCAGCAGCCAGCCCCTCTGTCCACAGCAGGCAGGTGTCCTGAGCCCAGCAGCCAGCACAGGGCAGTGACTCCAGGGAGCTCTCTGCAGGCCAGACAGGCAGAAACCAGGGACAGCATGCCCAGGAGAGCCCTGGGATCAGGACTTTGGTCAGTGAGCAGGCACATCTGGAGTGACCCATCCTACAAACAGAGTGTGTGCCCCAGCAGGCCTGGTCACACCTGCCATGCTGTCCTCCATTCAGAGAGGGCACCTCTGCCTGGGGGTAGGGCAGGAGAGGGGACAGGCACCCTGGAGCAGCTGCACGGGCGAGGCATGGCACCACCACTTTGCAGACACACTGGCCCTGAACACTCACAGCCACCCTGTGAAAGCACCCAGTGCTATCCCTCTTACCTGTGGAGGCTCTGAGAGTCCCTTGTGTGAGGTCACACAGTTCATCAGAGGCAAAAACCAGCAACCTGGCCCAAGTCTGCCCAGCAGTGATGCCATGTCCCACCCCACATGTCCACGCCAGTCAGAGAGCAGAACGACCAGGATCCAAGCCACCCGGAGGCAAGCTCCTACTCTCCCTGGAGACCTAGGAAGTTCCTCCTGGTATCCAGCCCAAGCCACTCCTGCTGCCACCACAGCCACTGTCCCGCTTCACCTTTTCCTCTCCCCACCCCTGGCCCAAGCTAGGCTGTGCTCGGGGAGCTGGAGCCCCTGCTCCACCCAGTGCTGAAGAGGCTTGTCCAGGACGCCCTTCAGAAGCGCTTGCTGTGAACAGCCCTAGGGCTCCCGCCACCCCAGCCGCTCTGCTCTGTCTGTGTAGGGCAATGCCCAGCTCCCAGGTCAGGAAAGCATGACAGATCACAGCAAGAAATCTCCAACCCAGAGCGGGATGGGCTGGGCCAGCCTGTGACTCCAGGGAACCCTGAAGAGGCACAGCAATTGCCGGCCCTCAGAGAAAGCAGCAGCTGCCCTGTCCATGGTGCTGACCGGAGCTCAGGGCCACCTCTGCTGACCTGGATGAGGGGCCGGGATGGGGTTGGGCCAGGAGAGCCCCTAGAGCCTCAAAGGCCAGAGCCCACCAGCCCCTGGCACCCCGATACCTGCACCCCCCCCCCAGGCAGTGCACTGGGGCCAGGCTGGGGCCTGGGTGCAGGTCAGGACCCGTGTCAGCGTGGCTGAGGGCGCCTCCCCGCCACCCACCTGGACTGTGTGGACCCCTTGCAGGGAGCAGACCCTAGTGTTGAGAGATGTCAGCACAGGGGCAGATGAGGTAGGGTGGGGCGCCGGGGGGCAGCACCCCTCCTCTGGGACCTCGTCGCAGGGATGTACAGGTAATGGGGTCATTGGGCCGCACTCCCTGAGACCCTGTTGCGAAGGGCCATGCACTGCCCACGAGGGGTCAGCAGGTCACCAGCGAACAGGTCCGGCCCTGGGCTCCCCGCGGGGCCCATCACAGCTCCCTTCCTGGGACCCTACCTGCTCCCTTACCTTGGTCCTGGCTGAGCCCGACCGGGCGCCCAGCCTCTTCCATGGCTGGTGGGCACCAATCTCAGTTACCTGCACGGCCCAAGGGGCCGCGGGGCCCGCGCTGGCCCCCAGTGTCCCCTGAGCCCCGGCCCAAGCAGGGGCAGGCCGCACGCAGTGCCCATGCCGACGGCAGCCCCACAAGCTGCCTCGCCCGCCCCGTGAGGAAGGCGAGGGGAGGGTGGGGCGGGGCCGCTGCCGGGACCGCCCCTCCTACAGAGCCCCGCCCACTTAACCCTTGGCTACCCAGCCCGGGCCCAGAGGCCTCTGCCGGGTGGAAGCAGGCAGCGCACCTGGGCCTGGGTCTCTGGTGGGCAAGGAGCTGGCTCCACTCAGAGGCCAGAAGGAGAGGCGGGTTTGGACGCTGGCTCGGCTGCTGGCTCTTCCCATATCGGCTTGAGCAACCCACCCTGTCCATCCTACCCTTCCTCCCTCCCTCCTTCCCTCCCTCCTGGCTGCACCCCCAGGACCAGAGCCAAATGCTCCCTGGCTGGCTGCTCCACCCCCACAGGGACCCTCAGGTCATGACAACCCAAGCCCCGAGGTTGCAGCCAAGAAGAGCCACCTACCCCAGGAGGGTCTCTGGGAAGGGCTGAGCACTGCCGACAGTCACAGGGGTGACATTTCACCAGCTGCCCTGGGGGCCGTCCAGCGCTGGAGGAGGCTGAGCCCCAGCATTGGCTCCCAGTGACAGTGACAGCTGCAGCCCTGCATGGAGCTACACCCCTTCCTGTGCTCTCCCAATGCCTCACCTCCCGGCCCTGTCATCAGGTGCTGAGCTGCCCTCCCTCACCCCATCCCCTACCTCGAGGAGCCAGCAACCAGCCTCCTGCACTGGCTGCTCCCAGCATCTGAGGGCGTCACACTTTCCAGATGGACAAAAGAGACATCCACCCATGAGGGGCATTCTGAAAGGAGCCACCTCTGCCCCAAGGGACCTTGAGCCCCCATTCCAGAGAGTGGCCTGGGTGGCTTGTGTGGACGCTGAGCCCCGGGTGTGGGCAAGGCAGGCAGGCACACAGGCTGTAGCGGGAGGATGTGAGGCCACTTCTGGGCTCTCCGAGCCGCTGCCACCTCAAGGAGTGACCACCTCCTGCCAGGCGGGGCTCCAGTGTGGAGGGGGAGGGGAGCCGCCAGCAACTACATTACCACCTGGGTCCTGCCAGGGAAGGCCCCTGGGCCTCGCTGCCAGGTGCCCTTAAAGGAACTACCTCCTCCCTTCACCGCTACTCAGGGTGGCCTGAGCCCCTCGGCTGGAGTATCCCCTGCCCTGGTCTCTGGGGACCGGCCCTCGAAAGTGGGCAGTCTCTGACACGGCCCCTTTGGCACTGCCAGAGTCCCAGGGCCTGTGTCCACCTGCCAGGCATAGCTGCAAGAAGGGAGGGGCAGCACCCTCCCTCTGGGCCCCTGTCTGAGTGGGTCCTGGCACCGAGCTGAGTGTCAGGGCTGAGGGGAGGCCAGGCCACGATGGGGACTGCCCAGAGAAGGACACTGCAATGCACAAGTGCCAGAGGCAGCCAGAGGCCCAGGAGCAACAGGCATCCCAGCACCCCCCATACCTGGGCTCCACACGTCCTGGTGACAGTCCGCTCAGGAAAGGGCCAGCAGCCCCAAGTCTCAGAAGGGAGAAACGGAGTCAGGGAGAGGAGACAGAAGGCGAAAGGCGCAGACACACCCGAGGGTGGGAAGGAGGGAGAGAGGGGTGCGGGCTGCAGGTCCCGGCCCAGCCAAGCATCCCTGGAGTGGACAAAACCCCCTCCAGAGGCCAGTGAAACCCAGGTTCAGGTTCTAGTGAAGAATCCATCCTCGAGGCTGCCCCCGCCCTCCATTCAGCCGGGAGATGATTTCCGTTACCGCTGGCCTGCGATTAAAGGCAGTGATTAAAAGCCGCCTGCTGCACATGTTAATTTGCTTAAGATTCTGATCTCCTAAATCTCCTTTCTGGGCATTTAAGCAGAATTCTGTCTTAGAGAGCCTTTGGCCTGGCGGGCGGCAGGCAGCGGGCCGGGAGGCGCCATGGTAGGGAGTTTAATTTTATCCTTCTTTGAAGAAGGTGACTGGAAGGAACCAACGCGTCCAGACACAGAGCCCGCCATGAGCCCGCCGTGAGCCCGCTGGAGCCCCTGCCCCCGCCCATGTGCCAGCACAGCTGCGAGGACCAGACCCAGCTCCTGCCTTGGCCAGAGGGTAGAGGGCACAGGGCACAGGGTCCCCACCCCATGGGCCCAGAGCTGTGTCTCCTTGCCCCACTTGCTGGGATTGGTCCTTGCCTCCTGGGTCTGAGGCTGCCCCTGTTCCCATAGTCTAAGGCTGGATCTACCATGAGCCCTCGCTGGTCTGTCCTTGGGTTCACAGGCATTGCCAGGACAGAGGCCAGAGGACACCATATCCTGAGACAGGGTGAGTCTAGACCTTGGGCCGTGGTTCTGGGTGCTCAGCAAGGCCCGCAGGCGGGCAGAGCTGGCCCCCATTACCTGTGCCTCCTTTTCCTCCCTGCACACCTGCTCTCCAGGCCCGGGCTCTGTACACAAAGGAAGCCACTCCCCCTGCCCTCCTGGGCATCAGTGACACCAAGCCCAGCCCCTGGCCTGCTGAGCCCCAACGCCTTCTCCAGAGCGGAGCCTGAGGGTCCCATCCTCAGTCCCTGTGAGCACCAATAACTGGCCGTGAGCCCGAGGCCACCTGCACCAGGTGCCACCCCAACATCCACACTGCCCTCCCCAGACCACACAGTGTCTCCATCTCATCTCCCTCAGCTGGAGGGGCTTTCTTGCCCTATGGGCTGGACAGAGGCCACAAGCGGGCAGGGAGCCACCCAGCATCTCACAGGGGTAGGCTCAAGAGGCAGCAGAGTCTGCACAGAGCCCAGGCCTGGGCTTCCCTGAAGCCCGCTCCCATTCCTCCTTTCTCCATTGGCTTGGGGTAGCAGGAGGCGGCCCCTCTCCTCAGCCATCCTGCAGCAAAAGCTCCTCCACCTCTGACTCCAAAGGAAACCATTTACATGGCCCCTGCTCCAGGCCGTAGGTTCAGGAAGTCTTGGCCAGGCCAGACTGGGACCACTGCAGGCCAGTGTTGCTCCAGTCTCCCGGGCACCCCTGAGGGCCTGTGTGCACTTGTGTGCATGCCCAGGGGCAGGGCAAGTGCTCTGTGCACCAGCCTGCCTCAGGTTCACCAATTTTGGACCAGCAGGTGACCCTGTGTTTGAGCAGAAACAGCCCCAGAGAAAGGGATGGAAGGATGGAAACTCGCATCAGGGGAGGGCCAGCAGAGTGAGTGCAGAGCAGGGAGGGCCCCCTGCCCATCCTGGAACCCATGGAAGGAAAGCCCGGCCCCAGGACTTCTGGAAGCCCCTCCTGGTCAGTGGGCAGCCCCCTGTGCAGCTAGGGAGGCCAGTGGCCTGGTCACACCTGCAGCCAGCTGCCGAGCAACCCCTGAACAGGGGCCAGCACCATGTCCTCTGGGGCTGCTGGCCAGCTAGGGGTACCCTGGGTATGTTCCTGAAAATGCCACTGTATACAGGAGCTGGGAAGGGCGGTAACCAGCTAGGTTGGGAAATCCCAGTTCACACCCTGGCTCTCTGTGCGCCCCATGGGAATTCACTGCCTCCCTGGCTTTGGTTTCCCTGAATTGAACCCAGGAGACCAGTAGTTCCTCAAGGGCCTGGCCAGCTGGCACCTGGGCTCAGGTCGTGAAGGAAGAGGGTTCCAGGTGGAGGGCAATGGGCGCCTTCAGTGGGGCCTGGTGGAGCCAGACATTCTTGCACCAAATGTCCGGGTGCGATATCCCCTTGGGTGGCCACTGCCAGGGGTAGGGCTGGGAACCCTGTTCTCAGATCGTGGTCTGACTGGTCCCCGGCTGCACAGCTGTCTCCTAACAGCCTCCAGGAGCAGAGCCCTGAGAAGTCACCTCCCGCCAGCAGTGTGGGGCCTTTGTGGGGCGCCTCGGTTTCAGCTTCTGAGTTCTGTCCTACATATGTCTCCAAGGAAACGCTTCCCGATGACCTGCTGCAGTAAACAGATTTTCAGCTGCAGCCCCATTCAGCAAGCTTGGGCAGGCAGGGGCTCTGCAGCCCGCCCACCAGCACCGGGGCAGCCCTGGGGGCACAGCGACGGCCCCCACGTGTCTCTGATTCTGCTCCTCCAACACCACTTTGGAATGCCTGAGTTAGATGGGCCCCAAGAGGCCCCTGGATCTGACCTCTTCACTTTTCAGATGGGGAAACTGAGGCAGGGGAGTCTTGCCCGGAGTCTCACAGCCCAGCTGACCCTGCAGCTCCCCCTCGAGGGGGGGCTGGTTCCCAACGGTCCCACTGGCCCTGTGGGCCCCCAGAGCGTGAGCACCCCAGCCTCCTCATCTTGCACAGAATGTTCTAATTACCTCTCAGGAGCACCAAGTGCACGTTTAAAGACAGAAATGTGGGCCCCTCCGGTGACAAGACAGTGCTGACAGCTCTGCCTCTGGGACAGGCAGCCCAGTAGCCTGAACCTCAGACATTTTAATTATTCAACACCAAAGCCAATTCCGTGTTGCTTTCTCGCCTGGTTTAAGAGTTCTGTGGCTGTCACAGCTTCAGTTAGGAAACTAAGCCCACTGTGGGGACCTCGAAGGGCCAGATCTACCTCCACTCCCACTGCCCCAACACACATTTCAGCACCAGGACAGCTGAGGGTCCTCCTGTCCTGGGAAGTGGCTGGGGGTGGGGGTACAGGCTAAGGCAAGGGATGCCTCTCTGGGGCCCATTTGTGTCCCCAACACAAAAATCCCCTGGCCAGGTGCGGTGGCTCATGCCTGTAATCTCAGCACTTTGAGAGGCCGAGGCGGGTGGATCATGAGGTCAAGAGACGGAGACCATCCTGGCCAACGTGGTAAAACCCCATCTCTACTAAAAATACCAAAATGAGCTGGGTGTGGTGGTGTGAGCCTGTAATCCTAGATACTCGAGAGGCTGAGGCAGGAGAATGGCTTGAACCTGGGAGGTGGAGATTGCAGTGGGCGGAGATCATGCCACTGCACTCCAGCAAGACAGACTCACCTCAAAAAAAAATCCCCTGCTGCCTTGGCCCCCAGTGCCCCTCGTGGAGCCACCCCGGCGATGCACCGAGCCCAGAGTTCAGTTCTGAGGCTCTGAGGTCACAGAGGAGCATGTGGCCTGGCCGAGGAGGAAGACAGACCAGTGAGGACCTGGCCAGACTGATCACAGACCACCCAAACTGACCGCAGCTGCCGCAGATGGACCAAGAGGCCTTGGGGTGACCACCTGACAGCAGGCCACGGGGATAAGACCACACATCAGAGGGGGTGTCAGGCAGAGGGGTTGTCAGGCAGAGGGGTTGTCAGGCGGAGGGGTGCCAGGGGGAGCGGATGCCAGGGGGAGGAGGTGTCAGGGGGAGGGGGTGTCAGGTGGGAAGGGGTGTCGGGGGAGGGGGTGTCAGGCAGAGGGGGTGTTGGGGGAGGGGGTGTCAGGTTGGTGGGGGTGTCAGGGGGAGGGGGTGTCAGGTGGGAAGGGGTATCAGGGGAAGGGGTGTCAGGCAGAGGGGGTGTTGGGGGAGGGTGTGTCAGGGGAAGGGGGTGTCAGATGGGAGGGGGTATCAGGGGAAGGGGGTGTCAGGGGGAGGGGGTGTCAGGGGAAGGAGTGTCAGGTGGGAGGGGATGTCAGGTGGGAAGGGGTGTCAGGTGGAGGGGGTGTCAGGCAGAGAAGCTGTTGAGTGGCACAGCCGGTGCCGGCAGAGTTCCAGAGGGGGGATCCAGGAGAGGCAGCCCCGAGAAAGTGGGATACAAGCAAACACAATCAGAGGGGACACGGGGTGCCGGGTGGATGGCCAGGGTAGGCCAGCCAAAGAGGCCCTGGGTGGGGAGGGGCTACCTCGTGGGTCTGGCATCCCCAGCTGCCCTGCCCACCCTCCACTGTGCCATTCCCCAAACAAAGGCCCCAGCCCTGCTTCTGGTCCCCCCAAGCCTGGGGAATCGGCAGACAGGTTCCATGGGAACATCCTTAATGCCAAGGCAGAAGCACAGAAGAAACAAAGAAGACAGGACAAGAAACACTGGATTTGAGGCCCACAGAGGCGGGAGGCACGGGTCCAGGGTGGTTAGTGAGCATCACTGTCCCCACAGTGTCCCCATGCAGGCAGGAAGGGAGCCGAGGCCCTGGGGCTGGGTGACCCAATAGGGAGCGGAGGCGGGGGCAGCTGCAGGGATCAGAGCTTCAGGAAGGCTCTGGCCTGAATCCTCTCAGCGGGGCCCACACATCTTGGCCTCCCTGTGCCCAGGGCCAGGTCCCACATGGACCGAGCTCAGCCTGCCCTGCTAGCAGCATCCGCAGTCACAGCAGGTGCCCACACGCCTCCCTCCTTCCTGCCACAGGACACCCTTGCTGGGGGTTCAGGCGCCGCCAGAAAGGCCCTGGTCAAGGTCGGCAGGTCAGGTGTCCGGCCCCAGGCTGCGGAGCCCCACTGGAGCCCAGGGGAGCAGGCACTGCCCTGGCTGCCCAGCCCTACCCCCCTGCATCAGCCTGACCTAGATTCTGTGCCCGCATGCAGCAGCCATGCAGAGCCCTGGCCAGCCTGGCACGGAGTCCAGTGAGCAGGATTCCAGGATGAACACTGCCACGTGGACACCGACGCAGCCACATCCCAGGACACATACCCTCAGCAGGGTCTGTCCGGAGCTGCTGGCCACCTGGCCTCACCCAGGCCCTCCCTATGTGGGGCTGTGAGATCCCGCCCCAGAGAGGGGCACTGGGCAGACTCCAGAGCCCCCACCCCACCAGGCTGGCCCCCAGCCTCAAAGGCCTGCTGAAGGAAGGAAAGAGAGAGGAGGTGAACCCGTGGCTGCTACCCTGCAGGTGGAGAGCGTCACCCCTGCACTGAGGGGTCAGAGGCTCAGAGAAGCTGCAAGACCTTCTGAGGCCACACAGCCTGTCACTGTGAAGCCTGGGCTCGGGTCAGCACCCTCAGCCCCCAGCTCCTCCCAAGGGCCCCCACAGTCTTGGCCCTACAGCACCAGGGGCCCTGGCCACAGGCCCCACCCCCAGCACCAGGGGCCCCTTCAGCCTCACCAGCCTCCACCCGTGTCATCAGGCCCACGCAGCCCAGCTTACACCTAGGTGCTGCCCAGGCCTCCCAGCTGCTTGCATGGTTAAAAATATGAAAATCCTTGACAAAGACGCACGTGCCCCTGTTATGCCACTAAAGCCCCTGCCTTTGGCTCCCAGGATCCCTGGCCTCAGAGTCAGTTCTCAAGCCAGAGGGAGCCCACACGGCCCCTGCCCAGGCCGGTACCAGCCACCCACTGCGTCCTTGCTTGCCTAACTCCAGTCCTCCTGTTCGGCAGCCCCAGCCATCAGCCAGGGTTTATGCAGCACCCACTGTGTGCTGGGCATGGCTCGGAGCTGGGGAGGAAGTGATGGGGGAACCAGAGGCCTTCTGGTCTGGGAGACACAGAGGAGGGGGCAGTGGCCCTAGCTCTTGGGGGACCCCGGCCTGGGACCCTGGGGCAGCACGGCTTAGGAAAGGCCTGGAGAGAACAAGGTGCTTTCCTGGGCTGCAGGGCCCCTGGGGCATGAAGGGCCAGTCCTATGGGGGCTCGGGCCCTTCCCTTAGGCTGGGCTAGGGCAAGGTGAGGAAGCAGAGGGTGGAAGGGGCCTGGGCAGGTCTGGACAGCGCCAGCTGGGGCACAGTCACTGCCAGAGAAGAAGAGCCCTTGGCCCAGGTGCCACCTCAGGGTACTCACTCAGAACCAAACAGGCCAGAGGCTAGTGAGCGGTGGCCAGGGCCGATGGACCCTCCCCTGGCCGCCTTCACCTGCCTGCACTGTGTCAAGGACAGCAACCCCACCACAGGGCGCTCACCGGATTGTCTCTGAAAGCCACCGCCCTGGGCCTTCTACAGCCATCCTGTCCCACGTGTGAATGATGCAGGAGCATGTCCCCGGGCACCGCACTCCATTCCGAGGAGCTCCGGCTCAGTGTCTGCCAAGGAAGACCATTGGAAACTATGTGCGTCTCCAGCAAGACACAACAAACAGGCCAGAGAGGGTGGCATTTGTCACCATATCCCATGCAGGGTGAAGGGAGGCCCTGGGTGGACCCCGAGGGTGCAGGGTTTTAGCCCCAGTGAGGCTCCTGGCAGGTGGCAAGAACCCACTGACTGCCTGGCATCCCCAAGGCCCCCTCCTGAGCCCCACCTCCAGATGGAGGCAACAGGGCCACCAGGGAGCAGGATTCAGGGCTGAGTCTGCAAGGAGGGGGCACAGTCACTACAAGGTGGTGGCTCAAGAGTGCCCAGGAGCTGCCCCATTGCCAGACCAGCATGGCCCAGGCAGCCGAGAGGCAGCACCAGCCCCTCGGGTCTTTGTCTGTGGAGACGGCTGAGCACACGTCACAGAGTGGGGACATCCCCAGAGGTAGTCACTTTTTACCTGGTTGCCTAAGCACAGATTAAAAGCCAGTGAGACTCAGGTTTACAGGAGGCTGACACGGGAATGAAACGGCCTCGAGACCATCCTTGTGCAGATGGGCCTTTGGGGCTGCCCGTATCGGCGTGGTCTGGGTGGGAGCTCCACGAGGGCAGAGCCAGAGCCCTCAGCCACTCAGCCACTCCGGGGGCACAGATGGGGCCCAGCTTCTCCCCAGGCCCAGGAAGCTGGGGTCACACTGACCTTGCTGGCCCCACTGAGTCTACCCTGCCTGCCCACTCCTGTGAAAGCAGGAAGGCTACTCAGGCTGACCTGGCGCCCGTTCCCCAGCCATTTGGCATGTCCAGGTCAGCCCAGGCCAATGCCCAAGGGGGCCCATCCAGCCCGGCCTCCAGCCCTTCCTGCGTTGTGGGTCCCGGCGGGCAGCCCCTGCTACAGGTGGCCTGCCCCCTCTAGTGCCCTGCTCCAGGGTCTCCGCCATCTGCTCCGAGGCAGCTGGATGCCTGCATGAGGTTCCGGTCTCTGGACAGCAGGACACACCCTTGTCCTGTCCTCAGCCTCATGGAGCTAGGCACTGAGCAGGACCTATAGGGACTGAGAGAAGTCCCCCTGCCCCAGGCAGCCCCGTGCCCTGCCAAGGTCCTCCACCCAACCGGCTACCTTCCCTGTGCTATCAGCACTCCTGAGGACCGGCCTGGGTGCCCACAGGGACGGTGCAGCCGCCCCCTTCACACGAATACCTGGGGCCAATTAGCCCCACAGGGATGACCAGGGAGCCCAGCGCCCCCCCGCCCGTCAGCCCCCTTGGTGCCCAAGGCCCACTCCTCAGTCTCTGCCCTCCCTACCACCAGCCTGGAGGATGGCGTGGGCCCAGTAGCGCTATGTGGGCAAATGTTTATTTGTTTACCTTAGGTGGAAAACAGAAAAGAAGGCAGGCTGCTTATCAGGCAAAAGGAAAGGTCATTCAAGGGTTGGGAGCTGCCCCCAGCACACGCCTCCCTCCAAGGCTGTGGTGCTGGGGTTCGGCCATGACTCAGGGTGAGCTGGCCTCCACCTTCGGGGAACTTGTCACCACCCTGTGGTCAGACACAGAGGAAGCCGCTTCCCCCAGGGAGTCCTCCCTGACTGCCTTCAGGTCACTCTTGTGCCCCTCAGAGGCAGGAGGCCACTGAGCGGCTCGGCATTCCCCAGGGTGAGTGCAACCCCTCCTGCCACACAGCCACATCTCTGAAGATCCTGGGGGGGGAGACGCCTGGAGCCGGTGGCTTGGGCACCCTGGAGAGAAGCGTGGTGGCAGTAAACTGAGGCAGAGGGGACTCAGCCCCTTGTGATCACAGCCCATGAGGCTGCTGGGGAGCACGGGGTCCCCAGTCCCTGGCCACTAACAGGTCACAGCCATGCTAGAAAGCCCAGCAGGGAGGGAAGGCACCCTGAGTAGAGGACAGGCCAGGTCTCATTCCTGTCCTTGCTGATGGGTGGAGCTGCCAGCAGGTCAGTTCACATCTCAGCTCACCTGAGAAAGCGCTGGATGCCCCCAACCCCCCGCCATCCCACACAAGAGTGAGATGACCACCAGGGCCGGACCCAAAGTCACCAACACCCCACCTGGCGCCTGAGGACTGGAGCCCCAGAGGGTTCTGAAGGTGGGTGGCTTTTGCCCCTTAGAAAATGGAGATGACAGGCCAGGGCCCTGGATGGACAGAGAGGACCTGCCCAAGGCATAGGGGAGATGTGGATCACCCCTCACAGTCCTGGAGTCCTCGTATGAACCTGGGGCTCCCTTCCCACCTGGGAGCCCCTCACAGCTGTGAGACCTGCTGTCCATAGACCCAGCATGGGCCTGAAGGGGTAGAAAAGGGTCCTACTAAGTGGGCCCATTCGTTCAGGAAAGGGTGGGCTCCTCCCATCAAGACCCCTGGACAAACCAAGGCCAGAGGAAGGCCCGGCTCCCTGGCTTCAGAGGGGAAAACTGAGCCCCAGGGAGGGAGGACCCCTCAAGTTTCAGCCATGTCAGGAAGCTGAGAGAGGCCGCATCTCACCATCTCCCCCATGTCCCCCAACCCCAAGAGGTCGATGGGTCTGCACAGGAAGAGCCACCCCGGTGACCTCACGCATCCCCAGAGCAGCAGCAGCGGTGACGGTGATGGTGACGGCTGAGTCACTGCCCGAAGCTTTTTAAGGCACAGCTGAGAGCAAGGGGCAATTTAAGTCATTTTGATAAGCGCTGAAGTGCGTGGCTAGAGCGCCGCCTCCCCAGCGCCAACCCCCCCCCAGTGCTGCCCCCCCTCAAGCCACCCCCCCCAGCACTGCCCCACTTTTCAAGCAGGGCTGGAGCCCCTCCAAGACTCTGCAGGGCTCGGTGGCCATGAAGTCAGATAGGAGCCAGCACCCAAGGGACAAATGGGGGGCTTCGCTCGGAAGCCTGGGGAGGCCTAGATCCAAAAAATGCCCAGAAAAAGTGTTGGAAGCTCAGGGGCAAAGTGCCCACCTGGTGACCTGGTGCTGGTGGCTCGCTGACCCTGATGACCCCGTGGCAGGCCCAAGGGACACGCTGGGTCTCCCTCTGGGCTCCACCTCCCAAACACCCACAACCAATGCTCCCCGGCAACGTCGTTTCCCACAAACACAGAATCTAATAATTCCAATAATGCCAAGCCCAAAATAACACACAATGAGCCACTTGCCGAGCTCCTACTGGAGAATGGAACTGACTCAAACACAGCTGCAAAGGCGCTTTAAAAAGACACTTAAACACACGCGCACGCACACACACCGCCCGCCTGAAGGATGCCAGCCTCCACCCATGGCGTGGCTCCACAGGTATGGAGGGTGAAGACAGGGGCATGTGCGGGGAGGGAGGCCCTGTAGGGGGTGGAGGGGCCAAGGGGCTCCCAGTGGCCTTACGTCCCCAGCTGGGGATGACATCGGCAGGTGCACTGTGCCAGCTGGGAGATCCTGCGTCCATCTGCAGCAAAGGCCCTGGGGCCACCCTCTGAAGGTTCTGACAGTTCCTGCCTCTGCCTGACCCCCAGGGCCACAGGGCACAAGTGTTCCCACCCCCCACAGGCAGCTGCTCCAGCTGTGGTGGCCACAGAACACCCTTCACACTCACTGATTCTAACTCCACCTGCAGGAAGGTGGGCTACCAGCCTCCCCACATCAGCCCCTGGGGGTCCCCCGCCCCTATGTGCTCTCCCTGGGGGGTGTCTCCCAACCCAGTGCAGGCCCTGGGAACAGCAGGTGAACTGCCACACATGGGGACCAGCCCCGAGGGATGGAGAGGGGGCCTGGTAGGGCTGAGGGTCCTCCTGCCTCGATGCCGTGGCGCTCAGCCCAGGCTGGGGAATAGGGACCTGCCGGGCCTCTGGGCAGCTCCCAGCCTAGACCAGCCACCACCCAGTCAATGTCCACTGCCAGGTACCCACCCACCCCCGCTCTAACAGCCAAGGGTCCTGTGCCCGTCCGCCTTAGCTCCCACAGCCGAGGGCACGTGCCAGAGCTAAGCCTCTCAGATGGGTCAGCCAGGTTCCTGTCTCAGAAAAAAGCATGGTCTCAAGGGTGAGGGGAGAGCCAGGTCCCAGCCCCACTGGGGGCTCTGGGGGGTCTAGCCCGTGGAAGCTGCAGGGAGGAGCAGAGCCGCCTGGAGCAGGTGGGGTCAGGGCCTGGCTGGATGCCAGTGCTCAGGCAGGGTGGCCCCAGCCTGGACAGCAGCTTCCTGGGGGCGATGCACACACCACTGGTGATAGGGAGGTGGTTCTTTGGCCGTGAGCCATCTGCTCTGTCTCACCCACACTGCCAGTGAGCCCCACACCGGGCCAAGGACATAGTGCTGGACCTTTAAAGATAGCCTCTGACCCAACAGCCCCCCAAGGGCCATGAGGCCGAGGGCCGAGCCAGGGCAGTGCTCTCAGGGAAGCCACCAGTCCCAGTTTGTCCCAGGCCCTGGGCACCCCCACCCCCGGGAAGCCATGGGGCTCACATCCTAGCCCCTCCCCACTCAGGGACCTCACCTGGGAGGGGGCTCCAGAGGCCCTGCAGGGTTCCGGACAGAAAGGCCTGGGGTCAGCAGTCAGACCACCGCTTCCCAGTAAAGGGACACGTTGCTGGTTCAGACCCTGGGAAGCAGGAGGCCCGTGGCCTGGAGCCATCACTGACAGTCCCCCAGAAGGGGCCGTGCCTCATCAGGTCACCTCAAGCATGTCACCTGGTACCTACCAGCCCCTTCCTGAGCAAGTGCCTGAGCTTCCAGGGGTCCTGCAGAGGCAGCCCTATGACCCTGTCTCAGGCTGCCTGGGCATCCTCACGTGTCAGGGTGAGTCAGGCATGGCAGGCGGGGCACTGGCCAGCAGGCAGCTGGAGGGCCCAGGCCCAGGCCACCTCCACTATTGCAGGGCAGGAAGGGAACAGGCAGTACCTGTCTTAGATCAGCCGAGTGAGGCAGGACAGGCCCCAGGGAGGCTGACGGGCACCCAGCTCGGCCTGCTGGAGAGACCTGGGGATCCTCACGGCTCTGCCCACAGTGGGCACCTATAGGTGGGCAACAGGATGGGGGTGGTGCTGGCTCCATGGCACCCCCAGAACCCACTACCAGCAAGCCTCAGTTTTCAGAGACTCCCCTACGAGGGCTGGGGCCTGCCCTCTTTGCTGCACCCCACTTGGGAGATGCAGGCCAGGCCTCTCCAGCAGCTCCCAACACCATTGCCTGAAATCCTGGGGACCCTGGAAGCCATAGCAGCCCTCCTGACCAGGAGACGGGGGCAGGCACTGGGCTGGACCTAGGCCTGGTGTCTGCTGGAGTCAGAAGAGGGTGTCCAGGGGCTGCACACAGGAAAAGGGACCCCAGACAGAAGCAGCGAGGCACAGGCACTGGGGTGCACTTTCCTCTGCCCCACAGCGGGTGGAAGGGAGGGATGGTGGAGGGTCCTGCCCCTGCCAGAGGGGGTGGCCCTGGGCAGCTGGGAGGGCAAAGGCCACAGGGCCCAGTGAGGACGCTGGCCCCAGGACACCTGAAGGAGGTCCTGTGAGCCCCGTGTCTCAGCCCAGACCACCGTCAGTGTGCCAGGGCCAGCGCCCCTCTTCCAGACCGGGGAGGGCCTCTGTGTGCACAGATGCTCCAGTGACCCCCTCCAGACAGGGCCTCTCCTTCACCGCCTGCCACCCCCAACCTCAGTGTGCTCATATTTGCCATGGGCGATGGTAACAGCATGGACCAGGAATGGGAGCCTTAGGGTCTTCACCACCCAAGCAGCTCCCATGCAGGACCACCCCGGGAAGAGCCCAGGAGGCAGCACCCCCCAGGCCACATCCTGAGCACAGCGGAGGCACTGGCTGTTGGGGACAAACCTGCATTTTGGCAAATTGTCCCAGCTGCCCCACAGGAAGATGGGGGGACTGGCAGGAGGCCTGTGCTACAGTGGGGGTCAGGCAGCCTAAGCCTGCGTGGAGGTGGTGAGGAGTCACACCTCTGAGGGCACTGAGGGAGCACCCCCACCGGGAATGGATCCATGGGGAAAGGTGGGGTGAGCCTGGATTTCCCGCCTGAGAAGCCAGGACCAGGTGACAGCAGGCATCCCCTCCTCCAGGCTGTCCTCCAGGCTGTCCTCCTCTAGGTTCTGCTGAGCTCCAGGCAGCAAAGGCACTGCCCTGATTGTGTACTTGCTGCACCTGGAGCCAGGCCCAGGGGTGGTCAGCTGAGGACAGCCAGCGACTAGCCAGGCTGCAGACCCTCCCAGGACCATGGCTGACCAGGTAGCCAGGCCTCCCAGAAGCCTAGCTTCTGGTTGGGGAACCCCAGGCTGCATCCCCTGTCCCCAGGGCCTGTGAATTATTTGAGTCCCTCCCTGGGCCCATCTGCTGCTCTCTGGGGTGGCTTGGGGTGGGGTGAATGAATGGCGTGTTTGCTCCCCACATGCCTGCGGGGGGGCTGCTGGAGGGAGGTGGACGACCCCAGCCCAGTCCCAGCCCTCACCTCTTGCTTCTCACAGTGGCTTCTTCCAAAGACCAGCAGAGCTGGGGCAGGTGACAGGCAGGGAGGGCCGAGGCAGGAGGGAGAGGAGGAAGCAGGATCAAGGGCTCCCGTCCCCACCAGAGAGGCTCCCTCCACCAGGCTCACTCCAGGACAGCAGCTACTGCCTTTGAGCAGAGATGAAATACTTCCGTGGAGCTGCTACCCGCCAGGCAGGCTGGGGGTCGGGGTGTAGGGGGAGCTTGGGGGGGACCCAGGCCTCAGCGGCTCCTGGAGAACCTCCACTTTGTCCCCTGAAGCTCCACTGTCCTGGGACCTGCAGCCGGGCGGGCTGCACTCGGCCTCCACTGTCCTCCTGCACCCTGGATGCACACGTCGAAGTTCAGGCTCAGCAGTGCAGAGGGGCTGCCCCTACCAGCAAGTGAGCCTCGGGCTGGAGGGAGGGGCCACCTTCCTGGTCACTGCTGGGGCTTGGACCGAGACAGAAGCCTCTGCTCAAGCCACACCACCACCGACAGGCCAGCAGCAGAGCACAGACCTCGATTCACAGGGTTGGCATTTCTGAAGGATGACGAAGATCCCGGGGCTCAGAACGTGTTTTCTGTGTGAACAGACACTTCCCCAGCAGCGTGCGGCTGACAGGCGCCTGCGACAGCTCAGCCTGAATCACAGCCCCCACTCACCCACCCACCACATGCCCTTCCCACCCCCGCAGCCCAGATGCATCGGGGGCAGGGCTGGGGCCAGAGCACCTTAGGGTCCCGGGCCAGTGAGGCCAACTCACCCAGGCCCCTGTTCTGCTGCCCAGCCCCCAGAGAGGGGTCCCACTGGCCTTTCCTATCCCCATTACCAGGGCTGCAGTCTGGGGAAAGGGCTCACTGCTGCCAATGTCAGCTACCCCCCCAAAAGCCCCCAGCCCACCTATGGCACAGACCCCCACAGGGCTGCCCCCCTCCACGGTGGGCTACAGCTCTCTGGCCTCACAGTGGACCTTGGAGCCAGTTCTTGGGGCTGGAGTAGAGGGGCTTCCTGCAGAAGCGGGGGTATGTGGTGCCCAGAGCTTCCAGGGGCTAGTCGGGCAGCACTGACCAGTCCAGAGAGCCAGCACTGATCAGCACAGCATGGAGACGCACCTCCATGGCCTCACTCTTGGTGACAGTCTCTGCCTGTGACTGCTGGTGGCGTCGCTCAGAGACACTGCTGCATATGATCGTGGGGGGCCGGGGAGCACACATGTCTCTGGTCCCAGACCCCACAATCAGGACACGGGGCAGGCCCACCACTGCCTGCCATGACTGGGAGGGAAAGGGCCCTGGGGAGTGGAGAGGTACCTGGCACCTTGGTGACCAGCTGCTGGCTGGCCCCTGAGCTCTGTCCCAAATTGCACCTCGAGTGCTGTTTCCAGACTTGTGCTGGTGGCCAAGCAACAGCCTCTGAGGGAGGGCCAGGGACATGTCCCAGGAGCCCACGTCACTAGCACAAGCGTGGGTCCCCATCCTTTTCTACAAGTCACCAGCTCACCCTCACAACCACCATTGCCCCCGTTTTACAGATGAGGAGACTGAGGCCCAGAGGCACAGCTATCACCCCAAAACCCACAGTCCAGGAACTGGGCAGAAGGACAGGTGTAGTTTGAGTCCAGGATGGGGGCCCATGTGCTTGACCTCAAAAGAGCCTGGCCAGAGGGTGTGAAGAAGCCTGGGATGCAGCAGTCAGCAGGCAGGGAGTGGGGGGCAGGCCAGGAGCCAGGGACAGGAGGGGAGTGGGGTGCAGATGGGGAGTGGGGGGCCAAGTAGGGGGCAGAGAGTGGGGTACAGATGGAGAGTGGGGGGCCAAATTGGGGGGCAGACAGGGAATAGGGTGCATATGGGGAGTGGGGGGCCAAGTGGGGGAACATACAGGGAGTGGGAGCAGGTAGGGAGTGGGGGACCAAGTGGGGGGCAGACAGGGAGTGAGGTGCAGATGGGGAGTAGGGTACAGATGGGGAGTAGGGGGCCAAGTGGGAGCAGATGGGGAGCAGGGGGCAGACGAGGAGTGGGGGGCCAAGTTGGGGGACAGGTAGGGAGTGGGGGGCAGGCCAGGAGCCAGGGACAGGAGGGGAGTGGGGTACAGATAGGGAGTAGGGGGCCAAGTGGGGGCAGACGGGGAGTGGGGTGCAGATGGGGTGTGGGGGGCCAAGTGGGAGCAGATGGGGAGCAGGGGGTAGATGAGAAGTGGGGGGCAGGCTGAGTGGAGGGCAGGCAGGGACTGGGGGCAGGTAGGGAGTTGGGGGCTGAGTGGGGGCAGGTGGGGAGAGGGGGCAGGCAGGGAGTTGGGGGCCAGTGGGGGGCTTGGTAATGAGCTCTTTTGCGTGTTCTGAAGGCTGCAGGAGGCATTCCAGAAGGCACAGTGCATCCGCATCCTCGCTTCGTGTGCAAGGATCGGGGAGAATCAGCGGCTCTGAAAAGTGGGGCATGTCCTGGTGAGCTAACGAGGCGCCCAGAGGACCAGCTGCCCGCAAAGGAGGCCCCTGAGGAGGGAGGGAGCGGCTGGGCGTTTGAATAGGCCCTCGAAGGATCAAATTTTGCAAATAAAAAACAAATCCCCTCCTGGGAGGAGGTGCCCAATATCTGTCCCCCACCCAGGCCCATCCAGAAAGGGGACAGCAATGGGTGAAGCCACCTCTGCCGGGCGCCTTTCCCTGCACAAGCCTCAGGGGACTGGCCAGGCTGGGAGGGGCTGTGGCTCAGGAGACCCCAGGGGAGCCACAGAGACTGGACGCTGTGTACAGAGAAAAGGCATCACGGACCCACTTCCCCAGGGCTGAGCTTGGCAGGCAGCAGCCCAGTCTGGGGCCAGCCTTCCACTTTCACATCAAAGAAGGTCTCAGAACCCAGCTAGGTTCTGAGAATTGTCGGTACTCCAGAGACTGGCTGAGTTCCAGGGAGCATCGGGAAGCAGGGGCAGGAGGGGCAGCCACTGACCCTCAGAGGGGCTAAGCAGAGCTCACACGCAGCACACAGTTTTGTCCACAACACATTACTGCTGGCCCATTTCACAGGTGAGGATGTGGAGGCTGAGTCCACTGGCAGAGGCCATACAGTTGCAGATTGGGGACCCCAGTCTGCCCAGCTCTGGGGCCATGTCCTCCATGCCAGTGATGTCACTGGGCAGAGCCACCCCACCCCAGGCCAGGCAGAGGCTGCCTGCAGACCCGGCCCCTACCTCACCTGACACCACTCCCTCAAGTGTGCGCCTCCACACCCTGTCTTATGTATTTATTTATTGATGAGATGGAGTTACTCAGGCTGGAGTGCAGTGGCACCCTCTTGGCTCACTGCAACCTCCGCAATTCTCGTGCCTCAGCCTCCCAAGTAGCTGGGATTACAGGCAACCACCACCACACCCAGCTACTTTTTTGTATTTTTAGTAGAGATGGCGTTTCAGCATGTTGCCCAGGCTGACCTCAGGTGATCCACACACCTCAGCCTCCTAAAGGGCTGGGAATACCGGCATGAGCCACCGTGCCCAGCCAGACACCCCAGTTTAAAGCATGTATTTCTACTGAAATAAACCAACCTCTGGGCGGTGGGGGGCTGCAGTGCTGAATCTGCATTTTCAGGGCATGCGAAGCTGCCCTGACCCCTGGCCCCGTCTGAGCCTCCTCAGAGAGACTGGTGGGGCCTGGAGCCTGCAGAGCCTCTGATCCTGGGATGAACTCCAGGGCCCAAGACCAGGGCCCTTCCTCAAGCCAGCAAAGGAGCAACATGCAGCAGTTTGAAGAAAGAAGCATTTAGGAGGCCCCAGCCACCTTCCAGCAGCAGTGATGACCGGTGTGGTTGGGAACCAGGAGCAGCAGCTCCTTGGGAAAGGACTGAGGCACATCCAGGCCTCCAGCAGCTCTCTTGGTTACCTGTGGAGCCAGAACCCCACCCAGGGAGAGACTGGGATGGTGGGAGGCCAGGAGGCTGGGCTAGGGGCTCCCACTATGGGGTGGGGCGACCCCACTCACTCCAGCCCACGCTCTGCCTGTGGGACCCAGCAGGGTGAGATCCAGGCTTGCCTCGGGTGGGGGTGCTGAGGGGTGGAGCACAGGGCCACGGTAGGAGGCTGAAGGGCAAACCCCCCCTTCCCGCCCCTGACCGAAGACACATCCATATCCCGGAACCTGTGATCTTGGCCTTATTTGGAAAAAGGATCTCTGAGGATGCGCGTCAGTGAAGGACCCTGCACGGAGATTGTCCCGAATGACCCAGGCAGGCTCTAAATCCTCACAGAAGACAGAAGACTCAAGGCGAAAGGGAAGACGGAGAGAAGGGAGGGAAGACACGCAGAGGCGGGAGGCAGCCACAACCCAAGGGACGCCAGAGCCACCAAAAGCTGGAGGTGGCCAGGAAGGTCCTCCCTGGGAGCCTGCAGAGGGAGCTCGGCCCAGCCACACCCTGACATCCAGGACTGCCAGAGAATAAGCACTTGGTGTTTTCAGTGGTCAGCGAGCAGCAGTCGGTCCAGCAGCCACAGGACACCCACCTGCCGGTGTCCTGCTAGGCCGGACACCCGTGGCACCTGGCGCTCTGGGAGGGCGAGGACAGCCCGGCTGTCAGCAAAGCCTTCCTGACAAGGGGTCGCCTTGTCCGGGGTTTGGCTGTCTGGGGCCACCACCAGGGAAAAAGGACCACAGCATCCAGGGGTGGCCTCCACCCGCAGGCCCCACGCCACAGCCTCGTTTGAATGTCTGAACGATCTCGCCACTCTCCTGGGGCTGCAGGGGAGGGAGGGAAACGAAGGTAGTGAGTGCCTTGCCACGGTCCACAGCCAAGAAGAAACTGAAAGATCCAGGCCTGGCTGCGGGGCACCAGCATCCTCAGGGAACACATCCTCTGAAGTCCTCCGTCCCATTGGCTGTGGGAAAAGATCCCAAAGACTCACAGAGGAGCTGCCACAAAGTGATGGCATTGGCCCTACAGGGGCCAGGTCTGTGGACACCACCCCACCCAGGACAGACCGGGCCACGTCAGGAAGGAGTGAGGCCAGGGTGCCAGGGCTGAAGCTCCGGTCAGGGGTCTCCCTGGGCCCAACCAGAGGGACTAAGCTGGGGACATTTCAGCCACTTGCACCCCCCCAGCCCTTCCTGCCTTCCAGTCTCTCCAGGATCAGCAGCTCAGTCATGGGCAAGGGTCACAGTGGAGCACTGGGTCAGCAGCTCCTCCCTGGAGCTGCAGCCCCTCCACACGGTCAGATGTCTCTGGAACCTGCACCCACCAAGCCTGTCCCGCCTTGCTCCCCCAGTGGGAGGGTACCCCAGAGCTCAGCAGAACTGGAGGGGGATGGGGACCCAGAGAAGGCTGGCTTAGCCTCTTCCCCATCTTGGGAGTGACTATGTGCAGGTTTGATGTGTGCAGGTGTGTGTGGGTGTGTGTGCAGGTATGTGAGGTGTAGAGGTGTGTGCGGGTTCGTGATGTGTGCAGATGTGTGCAGGTGTGTACAGTGTGCAGCAGTGTGGTGTGTGGGTGTGTACAGGTGTGTGCAGCTGTGTGATGTCTCCAGGTGTGTGCAGGTGTGTGTGTGCTGGTGTGTGTATGGGTGTGTGTGCAGGTGTGTGATGTGTGCGGGTGTGCACAGTTGTGGTGCGGGTGTGGGTGTGTGTGCGGGTGTGTGATGTGCACAGATGTGGTGTGTGATGTGTAGAGGTGTGTGCAGGTGTGGGATGTGTGCAGGTGTGTGCAGCTGTGTGATGTGTGCAGGTGTGTGATGTGTGCAGGTGTGTGTGCAGGTGTGTGATGTGTAGAGGTGTGCGGGTGCGTGATGTGCGCGTGTGCAGGTGTGTGTGCAGGTATGTGAGGTGTAGAGGTGTGTGCGGGTTCGTGCAGCTGTGTGATGTGTGCAGGTGTGTGCAGCTGTGTGTGGGTGTGTGTGCAGGTGTGTGATGCATAGAGGTGTACGGGTGCATGATGTGTGCAGGTGTGTGCAGGTGTGTGAGGTGTGCAGCTGTGATGTGTGTGGGTGTATGCAGGTGTGTGCAGCTGTGTGATGTGTGCAGGTGTGTATGCGGGTGTGTGTGGGGGTGTGTGCAGGTGTGTGTGGGTGTGTGATGTGTGCAGGTATGTGCAGGTGTGTGATGTGTGCAGGTGTGTGAAGGTGTGTGTGGTATGTGCAGCTGTGTGATGTATGCAGTTGTGTGCAGGTATGTGCAGCTGTATGATGTGTGCGAGTGTGTGGTGTGCGCAGCTGTGTGTGTGTGCGGGTGTGTGCCAGTGTGTGGTGTGTGCAGGTGTGTGCGATGTGTGATGTGTGTGGGTGTGTGCAGGTGTGTGATGGTGTGCAGCTGTGTGATGTGTGTGGGTGTGTGCAGGTGTGTGCGGGTGTGTGTGCGGGTGTGTGATGTGTATGTGTGCAGGTATGTTTAGAGGTGTGTGCGGGTGTGTGTATGTGTGTGGGTGTGTGATGTGTGCAGTGTGTGCCGCTGTGTGGTGTGTACAGGTGTGTGCAGGTGTGTGCGGCTGTGATGTGTGTGGGTGTGTGCCGCTGTGTGATGTATTCGGGTGTGTGGTGTGAGTGTGTGATGTGTACAGGTGTGATGTATTCGGATGTGTGGTGTGATGTGTGCAGCTGTGATATGTACAGGTGTGTGGGTGTGTGATGTGTGCAGCTGTGTGCAGGTGTGATGTGTAGAGGTGGGTGCGGGTGTGCAGGTGTGTAATGTGTGCAGGTATGTGCAGGTGTATGCAGAGTATGATGTGTGGGTGCATGCGAGTGTATGCAAGTGTGTGCGGGTGTGATGTGTGCAGGCATGTGGTCTGCAGGTGTGTGCAGGTGTGTGATGTCTGCAGGTGTGTATGGGTGTGTAATGTGTGTGGGTGTGTGCAGGTGTGTAGGTGTGTGCAGTTGTCTGCGGGTGTGTGCAAAACACAGGACCAGCGAGCGGGGAGGAGCTGAAGGCGGAGGGGACCTGGAGGATGCAGGTGAGATTAGCACCTGGGCCTCCCCACACAGATTTGGGACCGGAGTGGATGGCCCCACCCCGAAGCCACCCAGCCCTGGAACCCACAGGGTCCTGTGTTTTTTGCCATCAAGCCTGGCTCCTCCTGGAGCCTTACCCACAGGGTCTCATCCGCAGTGGAAGCTCAGAAGGCAGGTGTGAGGAGCCTGCTGCGATCTGCGGGGGAGGAAACCCCGGAATCAATGCCCAAAGGCTGCTGGGAGCACAGAGCGGGTGGGAGAGGAAGGCAGAAGAGGAGCCCTGAGGGCAGCTCTGACACGGGTGGGCACCCCTGACATCTTCACCTCCACCAGGCCACTGCACTGCCCTGAAACTGGCCCCTGCAAGTTGCATGCGCATGGGCATACAGGTGTGCGGGCCCACACACGGGCTACAGGGCCAGGGGAGGAAGGAGCCCCAGCCCAGACTCAGCCCAGTTCTGGGGAGAATGAGACAGGAAAGGGACACCCGCATTCTTGTAGACCCCGACCCCTCTGCATGCCCGACCCCTCTGCAGACCCTGACCCCTCTGCAGACCCTGACCCCTCTGCATGCCCCCAACTCCTCTGCAGACCCCGACCCCTCTGCAGACCCTGACCCCTCTGCATGCCCCGACTCCTCTGCAGACCCCTACCCCTCTGCATGCCCGACCCCTCTGCATGCCCGACCCCTCTGCAGACCCCAACCCCTCTGCATGCCCCCAACTCCTCTGCAGACCCCGACCCCTCTGTAGACCCCAACCCCTCTGCAGGCCCTGACCCTTCTGCATGCTCGACCCCTCTGCATGCTCGACCCCTCTGCAGACCCCGACCCCTCTGCAGGCCCTGACCCCTCTGCATGCCTGACCCCTCTGCAGACCCCGACTCCTTGCAGACCCTGACTCCTTGCAGACCCCGACCCCTCTGTAGACCCCGACTCCTTGCAGACCCCAACTCCTCTGCAGGCCCCGACTCCTCTGCAGGCCCCGACCCCTCTGCATGCCTGACCCCTCTGCAGACCCCGACTCCTTGCAGACCCCGACTCCTTGCAGACCCCGACTCCTCTGCAGGCCCCGACCCCTCTGCATGCCCGACCCCTCTGCATGCCCGACCCCTCTGCAGACCCCGACCCCTCTGCATGCCCGACCCCTCTGCAGGCCCCACTCCTCTGTAGACCCCGACCCCTCTGCAGGCCCCGACCCCTCTGCAGGCCCCGATCCCTCTGCAGACCCCGACCCCTCTGCATGCCCGAACCCTCTGCAGACCCCGACCCCTCTGCAGGCCCCGACTCCTCTGCAGGCCCTGACCCCTCTGCATGCCCGACCCCTCTGCAGACCCTGACCCCTCTGCATGCCCGACCCCTCTGTAGGCCCCACTCCTCTGTAGACCCCGACCCTTCTGCAGGCCCCGACCCCTCTGCAGACCCCGATCCCTCTGCAGACCCCGACCCCTCTGCATGCCCGACCCCTCTGCAGACCCTGACCCCTCTGCATGCCCGACCCCTCTGCAGACCCCAACCCCTCTGCATGCCCCCAACTCCTCTGCAGACTCCGACCCCTCTGTAGACCCCGACCCCTCTGCAGGCCCCGACACCTCTGCATGCTCAACCCCTCTGCAGGCCCCAACCCCTCTGCATGCCCGACCCCTCTGCATGCCCCGACCCCTCTGCAGACCCCGACTCCTTGCAGACCCCGACCCCTCTGCAGGCCCCGACCCCTCTGCATGCCCGACCCCTCTGCAGACCCCGACCCCTCTGCATGCCCGACCCCTCTGCAGACCCTGACCCCTCTGCATGCCCCCGACTCCTCTGCAGACCCCGACTCCTCTGCAGGCCCCGACCCCTCTGCATGCTCGACCCCTCTGCAGACCCTGACCTCTCTGCATGCCCGACCCCTCTGCAGACCCCACTCCTCTGCATGCCCGACCCCTCTGCAGACCCTGACCCCTCTGCATGCCCCCGACTCCTCTGCAGACCCCGACCCCTCTGCAGGCCCCGACCCCTCTGCATGCTCGACCCCTCTGCATGCCCGACCCCTCTGCAGGCCCCACTCCTCTGTAGACCCCGACCCCTCTGCAGGCCCCGACCCCTCTGCAGACCCCGATCCCTCTGCAGACCCCGATCCCTCTGCAGACCCCGACCCCTCTGCAGGCCCGACCCCTCTGCAGGCCCCGACCCCTCTGCATGCCCCGACTCCTTGCAGTCCCCGACTCCTCTGCAGACCCCGACCCCTCTGCAGGCCCCGATCCCTCTGCATGCCCGACCCCTCTGCAGGCCCCGACCCCTCTGCAGACCCCAACCCCTCTGCAGACCCCGACCCCTCTGCATGCCCGACCCCTCTGCATGCCCGACCCCTCTGCAGGCCCCACTCCTCTGCAGACCCCGACCCCTCTGCAGTCCCCGACCCCTCTGCAGGCCCCGATCCCTCTGCAGACCCCGACCCTTCTGCATGCCCGACCCCTCTGCAGACCCCGACCCCTCTGCAGGCCCCGACCCCTCTGCATGCCGGACCCCTCTGCAGACCCCGACCCCTCTGCAGACCCC